AGCAAACATGAAAAACGTCTTCCTAGGATAAAGTTACAGTTTTAAGCTCAATATATTATTGCTTGATCACAGGGAAAGTACAAGCCATTGGAAGATCAAAAGTATAAACTCAACAGAGCAGAGAGAGGAAGGCCTTTGTCCATTGACTCCAAAAGAAGTGGGAATATTTTTGAAAGGTCTCGGATATTCTCAGTCAACAGTCATATATATTGCAGCAGGGGAAATCTATGGAGGTGATGATAGACTCTCTGATCTTAAGTCGCGCTTCCCAAATCTAGTCTTTAAGGTCTGTTCAACCACCTCTTAAACTTTCATGTTACTGGCAATCCAAAGATGCTATAATGTTTATGTTCATGTACTGGATTTTCTAGGAAACGCTTGCTGGGAAAGAAGAGTTAAAAGGTTTCACAGGCCATGCGACTAAAACGGCTGCTCTTGATTACATAATTTCTGTTGAGAGTGATGTGTTTGTTCCTTCACATTCTGGAAACATGGCAAGAGCAGTTGAAGGTCACCGCAGATTTCTAGGGCATCGCAGGACTATCACTCCCGACAGGTTCTATCTTCTTCCTTCTGTTACCTTAAAAAAAGCATTAATCTTTTAGCCATTTTGTTATAGCCTATGACAAGTTTGGTGTTGTTTGCAGGAAAGGACTAGTGAAACTCTTCGGTAAGATGGAGAGAGGACAGTTAAAAGAAGGACCAAAGATGTCCAATTTTGTGAATCAAATGCATAAAGACAGGTAACAAAAGAATCATACGTTTGCTTCTTATACCATAAACCTAAAAAAAACACATCTCTGATGCGAGAAGAGGATTTATTTGATCGATTTTGCAGACAAGGTGCACCGAGGAGAAGGAAAGGACCAACGCAGGGGATCAAAGGACGTGCACGATTTAGAACTGAAGAAGCCTTTTATGAGAATCCATATCCAGAGTGTATTTGCAGTTCAAAGGAGCACAAAGAACCCTAACTAAATTTTCCGAACTTTTTTTGTTCTGTATCATTACATGCTCATTTATAGGCATCTTAATTATAGTTTTCACATATTTCTCGATATCTTTTCTGTTTTTGATATCCGGAGATCTCTAGCCGAAGTAGAAAGCTAGAAATTTTTGTCATTTAGTTATATAACTTCTCTTTCGGCATTTTTTCAAAGATTCCAAATTTTAACCAAACTATTGTCAATCAGAATGGAACAAGAATGAAACACCAAAGTTACTACTGATCGTTTTACCATCCAGACAAAAGATTCCTACTGTTACAAGATCTATTGAACAAAGTGCGTGTTAAATTTTTACAGACAAAAGTCATCTAAGGATATGCAGATTAAAAGTAGACCATAACCATAACTATTTGAAGTGTAATGCCCTCTTAGCTCTGCTCTTTGTAAGGAGTCCATATCATTTTGCTCACATCCACATCAAGACCACCTCGGCCTGCCGCTTTCAAGTGTCGGTCCAGTACCTTAGGATCCGCGCAAATCACGTGTTGTCCTTTCCTGTATTGTATCAGTTCCAAGCTCTGCAGGGTGCTTAATATATCTTCTGCTTTAATCGCTGTCATGTCGCTCAGCTCCTACATTTGAAAAAAAAGGTGGGATATATGAAATGATCTGTTGATGGATAGGCTAAAGAGCATGATTACAGATATATAGACATACATACCTTGATAGATATGTTTCCCTTGTGCTTTTTCAAGATGTCTAATAAAATCCGAGTCCAGTAACCTCTGTAACTCACTAACCCTAGATCAGAGAGCGGCCTTTCCGGTGTCCCGACTTTGCCCTCTTTCTTTGAGAGTTCATAGGCTGTAACACAACATAACGTGTAAGCTTTATAGAGAGATATGAGAGAACAACAAGAGACTTAAAATGAAAAAACAAAAACTCACAGAAGGCTATTAGGAATTTGCCATAGCCTTTCCTTTGATATGGAGGAAGTGTGAGGATGCAAGCCAAGTTGTAAGCTTCTTCCGAGTGTTTTTCCTGTAACAACAGAAATCGCATTTTTTTCATCAGACCATCTAATTGAAACCGAACATGTACATAACAGACCTAAGAGCCAAAGAGTGCTGATACCTTTGAAAAGTATCCAACCATGTGGCATCCACGATCATCACATTCACAGAGAATATAGAACAGGAACAAATCAACGTCATAGTAAAGAGTCTTGTGGTCAAGAAATAACTTTGCCAGATAACAGAGGTTCTGTGCATAGACCTTATTCTTCTTGCCATCCACCTGTAAGATATTACAAATAAACTCCCAGGTCATGAAAATTCATTTACATAAGCTGATAAATGTACTAAATAAACAACGTAAGACTAAAGCTGTTTAGCCAAACATGGTTGTTCAAGTTCTGTTTTTTTGGCTGATAATTTGTACCCGCCGGTTTGGCTAACCGAACAATTGTATCATGATTCTTTAAATTCATCAATATAATACCTATTTCGACGAAAAAAGACTAAAGCAGATGATTTAAAGATGAAAACGTCAAGATATTACCTCAAACATTGACAAAGTAGAGCTTCGATAGATTTCATCCCCAGGGGGGTGCTTCAAATCGCATTTCCTCTGCATAGATAAAGGACGATTGAGCAAAAGTTAAGTAAAAAGAATGAACCATAAAAGGTATGTATGGAATATTAAAAACTGTAAGGAAAAAATGATAAAAACAACCAGTTGCTAACCATATGTCTTTGAAGCTGCTCTTTGCGCTTCATAAAACTGAGGCAAAACTCACAGAAAAAGAGCTTCACGCAGTCATTGTATTCTGGAGGAAAAGGAGAGAAGTACCATGTCTCAATCTCATACTTCCCAAGCTCAATCGTAGCTATGTTCTTCACTTTCGTGAACTCCTCGTGTTCACGCAAACTCGCAGCATCCAGCTCTTCATGACCCTATACAAAATATCGAAAAACATCAGAATATATAGCATGCCACACAGTTCACTAAAACCACAACAAACTTTAACTAAGTTAGACAATCACTATACCTCTACATGTGTCTCATCAATCTTCCGTTTCTGGTGTCGTGTCATCTTCAAGCTAGTCACCTGTAACCACAAACACATCTCTCTGTTTCAGTGCAAATTACAGAGAAAAAAGCTCAAGAATTTGAAGAAAAATGGCTATTACCTTGTCTTCAACTTTTTCATCTAAAGCACACTCTACTGAATCAAGGTCAAGCTGTTCAAGCTTAATCCATTCATCCAATCTTCTATTAACTGCAGTTTCCACACAAGAGTTGTGAAAATCAAACAACTAGAATTACAAATCCCTCTAATTCAATTCTTCGAAATTTCAGCTCCAATCTATAAACCCTAGATTCACAAATTCAGATAGAGAAGGGAGGAAATGACATACACTCTGTGTAATGAACGTAGTACTCGTAATCATTGTGGCCACCATTATAATTCTTCCGGCGCTCGATAACCTTCACAGGATGGTATTTTCCGTCTCTCCATTGACACATCACGCGAGTACCAACCTCAAGAGGAAGCACCCCCATTCTTCTCTTCTTCGACGCATCCGATTCTGAGTTCGTGAGAGCGAGTATCGTTCCAGGAGTATGATTCTGATTCGAATCTCCGCCGTTGGTTGCCGGATTCTGGTTGTTCGACGCCGGTGAGGCGATTATCATCGCCGTCTCTGTATTCGCAGACGATCCCATTTCTTTAGTCGGGTCGGAGATTTTTCCCGGGTAAAGAATATAATTAATAAGGAGTGAGGCCCAATAACCATTTTAAAGGCTACATTGGGCCTATCTCTTATAATGGGCATGTACTATATCTCTAACCGTTTTTTTTTTTACCGTTAATACACGTTTAATAACTGTTAGGTGTTGGTTTAGTTTTATAATCGCCAGGTAACAATGATTAGAAGGAGCAAAATCATAAAAACTAAGAGATAATGATAGAAAAATAATTTCTAAATAAGAGCAAAATAAGTGACAGAGTCAGTATTTTGTCGTGAATGGGAAACAGCCAAACAAGGCTTTATGATTCGTACTAATCACAAGATTCATAGATCAAAAACTCACAAAGTTCCAAGAAGCAAAGACGAAAAACACAACTCATCATCATGTCCTTGAAGTTATGGTCCTTGATTCGCACACCATGTTCCTCTAAATTAACCAAAATGATTTTTAAGAACAAAAAAGATTCACATGGCCACTTTACTGTATCTTGTATGTGAAATTTTACATCTCATTTTTGGAGTGAATGTTTCACTTTTACTTGTCATTTTATTTTTCGGTGATGAAAGAATGTGTATATGACTTACTTTTTAATGAAGAAATAATACAATTGATTCCTATTTCAGTTGTTCACATGTAAACACGTTACATGGCAACTTGACGAGAGGAACAAAAAAATCACCAATTCACATTGAGAATTCTTTTGATTTGATACACTCTAAGCAACAAATTAATTTCAATTAAATGATTTTATTTGGTGATTACTCCACAGTCCACACCGTATTAGAGCATCTCCAATCCACCTCTATATTTGCTTCTAAACTCTATTTTAGAGGCAAATTTACTCTAACCCACCTCTATTCTCACCTCTAAAATAGAGATCTCTATTTTTTTCTGTATATATAGAGGTGTGAATAGAGAATCTCTATTTTAACCTCTATAAATAGAGTTAAATTTTTTAGAGGAAAAAATAGAGAAACACATTGGAGTCAAAATAGAGAAAACTTACCTTTATCTCTATAATAGAGCTAAAAATAGGGAAATACATTGGAGATGGTCTTAGTATAAACTACCGCACTTATATGTCATGGTCAACACACCTTAATTTTTTTGTTGTAATTAATTGTATAGAATGTAATTAATTGTATAGAATGTTAATTTTATAAAACATGCGAAAATCATTCCTCATTTTGTACAATTACAAATGATAAACGAAAACAGTAGTATTATTTTTATTTTATTTTTAAATATGTAATTCAAGAAACTGCTCAGAATATAAAGACAAGAATCCTCTTTCTTCCATCTCTATCTCTCCGTAAACAGTTGCTCAAAACCTTCTTCTTGAAATGGCTACTTCTCTCATCTTCCTCCTTTTCGTTACTCTATCCTTTTCAGCATCAACCCTAATCTCAGCCAAATCCAACGCAACAATAATCGAATCAACTTGCAAATCCACAAACTACTACAAATTCTGCGTCTCAGCTCTCAAATCCGACCCAAGAAGTCCCACAGCCGACACAAAAGGTCTAGCCGCCATTATGGTCGGCGTTGGTATGACAAACGCCACCTCCACCGCAACTTACCTCGCCGGAAACCTATCCGCCACCGTAAATGACACCGTCCTTAAAAAGGTCTTACAAGATTGCTCCGAGAAGTATACTCTCGCGGCTGATTCTCTCCGGTTAACAATTCAAGATCTTGATAACGAAGCTTACGACTACGCTTCCATGCATGTGTTGGCGGCGCAGGATTATCCTAATGTTTGCCGGAATATATTTAGGCGAGTTAAAGGGTTGGCTTATCCGGTGGAGATTCGCCGGCGTGAAGCGAGTCTGAGACGTATATGCGGTGTTGTCTCCGGGATTCTTGATCACCTTGTTGAATGATTTACAGTTGCATTAACTTTGGTAAAATCTCTATTTAAGTTAAATCGTATTTCATGAATTTAATATGGAATTTGTAACTTTTGATACCGTTACTTTATTACTTTATTAGAGATCTCATCAGAATATTGGAATTTAATATTTCTCAATCAATTTACTAATCATACCAAAATCTGAAGTAGTCGTGTTTAGTGCCAAATATTTGGGGGAAAAGGCTTCTTAAGAATTGGGAAGTACTAGAGATATTTTTATATTCGTTTGATTGAATATATCTTTATGTAACTTTTGCTTTATCTCTATGCATTATACGTGTTATCGCTTCGGAGATGTTACACTTTAAAAAACTGCGATAAGGTTTCAAAAGTGTCATCTCAAAAGAGAAAGGTAACGTCGTTTATATATTTTTAAAAATAATTTTAAAGCTGAATAGATATCGACCTCATAACTACTACTGCTTTTAAGACGACGTCGACTGATACACGAACCAAAAGCAAAAGACGTATGACTTTTTAATATATTTACAAAATAAATTTAATTTAAGGTGGAAACATATAGTATAAATTATTGAAAGTGAATGTTCGTAGGTCATTGACTACAGTTTTCGATATCAGTTTAAATAATCGACTCATAATTGAACTAAAAGCATAAAATAATTAAACCATATAAGAACACTAATCAGACCGGTTTTAGAATAAACCGGGCAAGTCGGTGGATAAAACCGTCATTTCATACGGAGACTAATATTTGGCGCCCAAATGACCCCTAAAGACGCGCCAGAGTGAAAGCACCTTTTTGTTATTCTTCTTCTTCCCACTAATCCACAAACCCTAGAAATTTTCTCGAATCACGATTCTGGGCATTGTGGAGGATTGACAAAAATGAAGGGAGGTACGATACAGATAAGTTGGCACGATGGGAAACCGGTGCTAACCCTAGATTTTCACCCGATTTCCGGTTTACTCGCCACCGCCGGAGCCGATTACGACATCAAGGTAATTCAATTCTGAATTCAAAATTTGAGTTTAGAATCTGAGGTTTTGAACAGTTTCTGGATCTAGTTAGATCGATAAGCATCTAATTGAGCGGGTAATTTTGGAATTCGAATATTTGAAACTGCGATTGTTTAGAAATTTACGGGTTACTGAATTTAACATTTGCAATTGTTTTGGTTTTGATTGTTGACTTTGCATTCACTGTTGACTAACAATTGAAAAATTTCAGCTATGGTTGATAAATTCTGGTCAAGCGGAGAAGAAGGTTCCTAGTGTATCTTATCAGAGTAGCCTTACATACCATGGATGTGCTGTCAATACCATTCGTTTTTCTCCATCTGGTAATCTCACCGGCTTTTTGTTTTATCAGAAATGTTCTTGAGTTGTAATCATGTTAATTTCTGTGTCATCTAGTGGTGACTGAGTGCTCATTATTATATGCAGGGGAACTACTTGCCTCGGGAGCAGACGGTATGATTAAAAACATATCTGGTGGCTAAGATGCAAGTGTGTTTTTTGCATATTTTGGAATGGGTAATGAAACCAATTGTGCACTTCTGTTTTTGTTATAATGCAGGAGGTGAGCTTATTATATGGAAGTTGCATCCTAGTGAAACCAATCAGTCCTGGAAAGTTCACAAGTCGTTATCGTGAGTTCTTTCATCGAATAATAAGCTACGCTGTCATGCTTCTGTAGACTTTAAATTGGAGGCTAGCAAGAACCATCTTCTAAGAATCACGGTTTTTTGTTTGAATACTGTTGCTCTATCAAGAGGGGGGGAGAATGATAATGTAGGCTAGTAACATGGTGAAATGAGTATTAAAGTCTTACCAAAATTACCAATATGGACCCAATCGAATGTATGCTGTGGTGGAAAGTATCAGTTATTGGACGTTTCTTCCATTATCTCTGAAGCAGCAATGTTGGCTAAGAGATATGTTTTGACTTTTGTTTGTCCTGCTAGATTCCATCGAAAGGATGTCCTGGATCTTCAGTGGTCTGCTGATGATGCTTATCTGATTTCTGGCTCAGTGGACAACTCTTGCATTATATGGGACGTTAACAAAGGTGAGTAAGTAAAAGAGCAGATAAACTGTTTTTATGTTAGTTTCAGATTTTCTCTGCTTCTCAAGATTCCGTATTTGCTACAAGGTTCTGTCCATCAGATACTGGATGCCCACTGTCATTATGTTCAAGGTGTTGCCTGGGATCCCTTAGCAAAGTATGTAGCCTCTCTTAGTTCAGACAGAACATGCCGTATATATGTCAATAAGCCTCAAACAAAAAGTAAAGGTGTTGAAAAGCTGAACTATGTTTGCCAGCATGTTATCATGAAAGCAGATCAGCAACAGGGTGATGAAACTAAGGTTAGAGAGAAAATAATTTTTTCATGATTCATCACGGATACTCAGTATTCCTGATTTGAAAATAACATTTCATGCAGACAATAAAAACCCATCTCTTTCATGATGAGACATTGCCGTCTTTCTTTCGAAGATTGTCATGGTCACCTGATGGATCTTTTTTACTCATTCCCGCAGGTTATTATCCCTATTACCCAGTCGTGTTTTTCAGATAGTTGCCCTAGATCATCACATTGTTTACTCAGGTATTATTAATGTCTCTAACAGTCCCTGTTATCTCTGTGTTGCATTTCCAGGTTCTTTCAAGGTGTCACCCACATCCGAAGCTGTAAATGCTACCTATGTCTTTTCTAGGAAGGACCTTTCAAGGTAAGATAATCACCTCACCATCTCTTGTTTGGAAGTCGTAAAGGCTTGTGGAACATATTGTAGGCATGTAAGCTCTTCTTTAAGCTGAGCCAAGTGGCCTCAACTGGTTGAGCTTATGTATGAGATAATTAGAAATCAATACAAAGTCTCACCCTAGCTCATTTCATTTTTCCACAAGCAGGCCTGCACTGCAGCTTCCAGGTGCCAGCAAACCGGTTGTAGTGGTTCGTTTTTGCCCTGTTGCATTCAAACTCCGTGGTTCAAATTCTGGTACATATTATGTTTTCTCATACCATTTTTTCAGTTTCTTCTGTGACAAAAAAAGGCCCTCATGACGTATATATTTCTCTTGAAAGTGTAGAAGAGGGTTTCTTCAAGCTTCCTTACCGTCTTGTGTTTGCCATAGCAACTTTAAATTCGGTGTACATATATGACACAGAGTGTGCTGCTCCAATTGCAGTCTTAGCAGGTCTCCACTATGCTGCAATAACCGATATAACATGGTAAAAAGAATATACATATTTATTTCAGATCTGGATGATCCTTCTCCAAATATTCATGGTTCTGAATTGTAACCAATGATCATTTGTTCAATAGGTCACCTAATGCATCGTATCTAGCACTATCCTCACAAGATGGCTACTGCACACTAGTTGAATTTGAAGATAAAGAACTAGGAGAATCTGTCTCCATTTCAGGTTTGCTCTTAGTCCTTTCACTCTCTAACCTTCCTGAACCCGATTGACCCATCAATTCAATTACAGTTGGAAAGAAACCTGTTGATGGTGAGGAGAAAAAGCATGATTTAGAGAAAGCTGACGAACTAATGACCGAAACAACACCAGACGAGAGCAAGAAACAGGCTGAATTAGAACAAAATGAAGCGAACAAACAGCCATTGCCGAGCAAAATTACCACGGATGGTGAGGAGAGAGAGCATGTTATGCAGAAAACCGATGATGAAGTGATGACAGAAACAAGACATGAGGAAGAGAATCAGCCATTGCAGAGCAAAGTTAACACACCGGTCTCAAATAAACCAGCAAGGAAGCGCATCACACCAATGGCTATTGACCCCTAATGGTAAACTAGCTACTGATGTTTTCCTTTTCTATCTCTTTTGTACTCTGCTACAAATATCTTTCTCATAGTCTACAACTCTACATTTAGACATCAAATGTATAAATCGTATCGATGGGTTTTTGCAGCAAATTATAGTCAGATGGCCATGTTATGGACTTGTTTCTTTAGGCATATGTCTCGTCTCAAAGGCAATGTACATAGATAGACTCACATATGTATGAACACATGTGATGGTTTTGCGTACATTGTGGATCATTACTGGGCTCGTAGTAATACATGAGTTAGTTAGCTTGGCATCAATGTCTTAAAGGCCCAAATATCATATACAGCTTAAATGCAACAATGTCAAGGGATGTTGTGCTGGAGCTTTTACGGCCCGTTTAAACGAATTGGTGAATCACAACAATAATTGACCGGTAAAAAAACATAATTTTACCCTAATTTAAATTTTCTAAACCCTTTCTTCTTTCCTTAAGAGCCGTAAAAAAGGTAAAAGAAAAAACAAAAACCCAGAAAATCAAACTCTCTCATCTCCAATGGCTATCGCTCTCAATCTCTGAATCTCATCCTTCTGTCTCTTTCTCTCAATCAGATTTCAATAATTCTTCAATTTCAAATTTCTTTTTTTTCCAGTTTCAATTAAATTTGTATAAACAATTCCACCTATACACACACAAATACATACAAAAATATCTTCTCTCTCCCTCCAATGGATTCTCCGAAACTCCCGTACTCTCTCTCCGCCTCTTCTTCCACCCCATTCGCTTCCGCCGCCGTCAAACCTCACCGGAATAAACTCCTTTCCCGTAATGGCATCCTCATCATCATCGCCATGTCCTGTATTCTCCTCCTCCTCATATCTCTCCTCATCTACGCCACCGTCTCAAAATCCTCCCGCAGCCACCGTAATCAATCGCACCAAACCCCAACCTCCGACGATCATCCTCCGCCGGAAACACCTCCTCCTCCTCCTCCAATTGCTCAGATCCGTCTCGCATGTAACGCAACGCGTTTCCCAGACCATTGCGTTGCCTCGCTCTCTAAACCGGGTCAAGTCCCTCCGGATCCTAAACCGGTTCAAATAATCCACTCTGCAATTTCAGTCTCCTTCGAGAATCTCAAATCCGGCCAATCAAAAATCAAATCAATCCTAGACTCATCCGCAGGGAATCAAAACCGTACGAATATCGCCACCATTTGCCTCGAGATCCTCTCTTACTCTCAACACCGTACCGAATCAACGGACATCGCCGTGACAAGCGGCGAAATCAAAGACGCTCGTGCGTGGATGAGCGCCGCTCTAGCTTACCAATTCGATTGCTGGTCAGGTCTCAAAACCGTCAACGACACGAAGCAAGTCGTCGATACGATCACGTTCTTCGAAGATCTCGTGAACCTCACCGGAAACGCGTTGAGCATGATGTTATCGTTCGACAATTTCGGAGACGACGTCGTTTCGTGGATTCATCCAGCGACGGAAAGAGATGGGTTTTGGGAGAAAGCTGGGCCGAGTTTGGGCTCGGGTACGGGTACAGAGGCTAATTTGGGTTTTCCGTCTGGTTTAACGGAAGACGTGACGGTGTGTAAAAACGGAGGGAAAGCGTGTAATTACAAAACGGTGCAAGAAGCCGTTGACGCAGCGCCGGATACTAACGGAACCGTTAAGTTTGTGATACGGATTAAAGAAGGTGTGTATGAGGAAACCGTTAGGGTTCCGTTTGAGAAAAAGAACGTCGTCTTCATCGGTGACGGAATGGGCAAAACGGTAATTACAGGGTCGTTGAATGTTGGACAGCCAGGAATGACAACGTTTAACTCTGCAACTGTCGGTGAGTTTTTTCTTAACCTCGTTAAACCTTTCTTTAAATTTATTACTACTAATTAAGGAACGTAAATGGGAAGAATAACATTAAAGTCAAACATAAATTTGTTTTTTTTTTCTTTTACTCTTGTTGTGTCTTTTTAGTACTGTGTCTACATTTGCTCTGCCACGTAAAAAGAATATCATTTATTGTTATTTAATTTCAAGATTCAAGTTATGTCGATAGAATGAGACTGTCCCTGGTTCCACTAGAGACAGAAACCATGTGACATTTACTTGGAAAAATATATACATTGGATTTTGTTCTATAAACATAGATCTTCTAATAATAGACTATAAAAGTTGCTACATAATGTTTATGTTATTACTTGTTTTTGGTTTTGGTAGGAGTTCTCGGTGATGGATTTATGGCTCGTGATTTAACTATAGAGAACACGGCAGGAGCAGATGCGCACCAAGCGGTTGCGTTTAGATCAGACAGTGATTTCTCCGTACTCGAAAACTGTGAGTTTCTTGGGAACCAAGACACTGTTTACGCTCACTCTCTCCGTCAGTTCTACAAACAATGTCGAATCCAAGGCAACGTAGACTTCATCTTTGGTAACTCAGCTGCCGTATTCCAAGACTGTGATATCCTAATCGCTTCAAAACACTCCAAACTCGAGCAAGGCGGTGCAAACAACGCGATCACAGCACACGGTAGGATTGATGCCTCGCAGTCCACGGGATTTGTGTTTTTGAACTGTTCGATTAACGGAACAGAGGAATACATGAAGGAGTTTCAAGCAAACCCTAAAGGGCATAAGAACTTCTTGGGTAGACCATGGAAGGAGTTTTCGAGGACTGTTTTTGTAAACTGTAATCTAGAGTCTTTGATTAGTCCTGATGGATGGATGCCTTGGAGCGGGGATTTCGCATTGAAGACTTTGTATTACGGTGAGTACAAGAATAAGGGTCCGGGATCGGTTAGAACGAATAGGGTTCCATGGAGTAGTGAGATACCAGAGAAGCATGTTGATGTTTACTCTGTGGCCAATTTTATTCAGGCTGATGAGTGGGCTTCCACGACTGCTTGATTTTGTAAAGGAAAATTGAGGTTTTAGGATTTTGAAAAGAAGAGAAGAGAAGTCGTCATTGTAACTTTATTGTAGTGTCAAATATTAGTGTGGTTTCTTTATCGTTCATTGGGGATTCATAAATTAAAAATTGAAGATAATAATCAATCAAAAAGTTATAATTTTCTGAGTGATGGAAGAAACCACATAAACCATATCATACCAAAAAGGAAGGAAACTTTAAAGCCCCTTTAATATATTATCATACTTTCGAGTGGTTGAAGACTCTTAACTTCATATTGTAGATGCAAGAAAAATGAGAAGAACTTTAAAAATGCTTGATGCTTCAAGGAAACTACATTTAAACTGTTTCAAAGGGTTAAAAGTAAATGACTTCAATGTTTTACCATGTGTCAAACACATATTGTGAATGACATTAATGAATAAGGTGACAGACACACAAAGCTATGGGTTGGTTTACAAAAAAACAAAAAAACAAAGCTATGGGTTGAAAGAGAAACAACATGGGCAACAGGGCAAGGGGAACAAAACATGATCTTTTGGTGTGAGAGAGATCTTCTTATATTTATAGGTCGGAATCAGAACTTTTCTCCTCCTTTGGTGGAGCATACTGCCTGGTGAGACGGGATCTAGCCCATGGATCAAGCGGCACTCGAGGTGGTGGTTGAGGTGTTGCTGGTTTTGATTGTCTTAGCTCGTTCTCTCTATCAATAAACCTGCACCAACAAGAGTCAAAACAGTTAGCTCACTTCGGAAACTTCCTAAACTAGAATTAAGTACCGGTACCTCGAGATACACAAACCCTAGATATATGTGTGAATTCAAAAGTCTTAATGTTTGATCTTAAGATATAGCATCATCCATATTGTCCTAACTGTGGCTAAACTAAACTCGAATTCAATGTACTTCTGTGAAAAGAGAAGAAATTTGTTTACTCAATATAGGCCATTGGTGCAGCATCACCAACACGTATGCGAGTACGAAGCATTCTTGTATATCCACCAGCTCTATCTCTGTTAACACATAACAACATCCAGCTGATGAAACAGAGTACATAGCAAAGATTCAGAGAAAATAAAAATTAAAAAACGAGATACGAGGATTCACTTGTATCGATAAGCCAATTCTGTAAAAATCTTGTGAAGTACATCATCTCCTCTAACAAACCCAGCAGCTCGTCTTGCTGCAGCGAGTGAGCCCTGTAATAAATCATTTCATCACCGATATGGAAAGTGATCGCAGATCAGACGAAAAGAAGTTACTTTTGCTCTCTATCTCAACCAAATTCATCTAAAATACTTATCCCGGAGAAGCAAAAACCATTCATGTAAGTTAAAAAACCAAGATTTGTGTACACTTGAGCACAAATACAGTCCTAAAAAACCAACTATAGTCTCTGATTACCTCTTTTCCAAGTTGAACCATATTATCAGCAAGACGACGGACTTCTTTAGCCTGCAAAACCCCAATGTTACCCAATGAGAAACATTTTTTGAAATTTTGAAGAAGTGAGACAACAGATTCTCATCAGATAACTACTATAAACCCTAGCTAAACCCCAGATTAAAAGAAAATCAAAAATTGGGGGAAATAGGAATTAGTACCTTTGCAACAGTGGTCTCAATTCTCTCGTGTTTCACCAATTGAGAAACCATAGTCCTATTAAGATTTGAATCGAGAGAAATTTTAAGCAATGTGCGAAGACGAATCAGACAGATCAAATGAGAATGTTTCTACTAAGAAAAAAAGAAGAAGAAGAAGAAGAAGAAACCTGAGCATGGACATACGGTGACCTGCTGGGCGGCCGAGCTTCCTGAACTTGGTCATTTCTGCGACGGCGAAGCAATCGGAGAACGAATCGGAAGAAGAAGAAATAAATAACCTTCGATAAACCCAGCTTGGGTCTGGACCCTTAACTTATTAATGGGTCGGATCTTTTCATTTTGTGGCCCAATTACATAAGAAAGCCGTTTGTGTCATATAGAAAAATGTTTTTGAATTTAGAATGAAATTTGGGAATTAAAGATTTCATATATAATGTTTCCATCGGTTACTTTTAGTCCTTGATACTATATACCAAGAATCAAAATAACAATTGAAATACCTAACTTTTCCGCTGACCAAAACCAAAGACTATTGTTATAAAATAAAACACGGATCACACAATTTTCATATTTTGTGGGCGGTTTGTCGACTCTTCTCATTCGCATTCATAGTCAAAAGGCAAGGTCTCAAAGTTGGACTCGTTGTGAGTATAATACTCTGCTATTTTAATGTGTCTTCTAACAATCATATAAAGATAATAGCAACACTTAAGAATCCAAAAACATAAAAGGTCAGTTCGATGTATATAGTCAATAATCTAAAAAGTAATATAGTTTTAAGATAGTATATAGTTTTTGTTTTTGTTTAATACAAGTGTGGGGAACCAACCAGCTCATTCATGGGTTTTCCGAGACCCTCCCAAACTCCCAAACAATAGATAATCAAATACATATATATCCTTTCACTTTCTAAAAACAACTATATTGAAGGATGAAAGTAAGATTCTACGAACAAATCAAAATCATGTGTTTGTTGAAGACAGTTGATCGGTTCAAATTTTGTTTGTGATTGTAGCCAGAACACTTTCTAACTAAGTGTTAGCCAGTGAAGTGATTGCTGGCAGTGATCACGAACGAAAGATTAATAGAGGCTAAGATTTTGTATGGACTTTTGACACACAAATAATACCACAAGATGAGGGAAAAGATAAAGATGATTATGACTTATATAGGCTTATGTCTATGTCGTGTATGATGTATTCGAATCTTCTAAAGACAAATCAAAAATCACATGTAACATCGTTACAAATTGTGGGTCGATCGGAACTATATGACGTATTTATCTTTTTGACAATTTTGGACCTATTACCAACAGAATATATTCAAAATGCGCATTTAGAGAAAAGCAATTTCATATCAATGATACGAACAATATGATTAGAAAATTCAAGAACATTATTATTATTATTATTTGATTTTACTTTACAGTAATAAGAGAATAATAGACTACACATTCAATGAGCAATGAATTGAATCTCTTTTTAGTTTATATTCACTATTCAAAATTTCATTTTGTTTACAAATTTTCTTACCCTTTTAACCTCTTTCCCAAGAAACAAATCCTAAGAACGAAACCCTAGTAAGTAAAAAAGAATTGATTAAAACGGCATGATATGTGTCGTTTTGGTGTCGTAAGCCGAAAGGCAAGATCTTGAATTCACCTTGAAGACCTTAAGAAGATCCGTTAACATACGTCTAACGGCGGGAGAGCAATTGCTCTGTAACAGTAACAGAATTTTCGTAACTCCGTTAGCACTCGTAACAGCTTCCAAAGCTTTATCTTCTTTGAATAGATAAGAAACACTCCATAGCACCGTCACGGCGTGCTCCGTCGCCGCCGTCGATACTTTCATCAGCTTCTTAACCACCGTCTTCAAACACTCGCCATCTCCGCCGCAAATTTCCGATCTCCCTTCCTTAGTAGATGCTAAAATCTCGAGAAGCTTCAAGCATTTCTCAGTCACCGAAACGCTCGACGACGTTGAATCTGATAACAATTTCGTAACATCTCCGATGAGTTTCTCTCGGATTAGATTGAGTTTCACACGTTTCGGTGAGCTAATCGCGATCAAGCACGATAAACTCGATTCGATTAAGCTTAAATCGGAATCTTTGCTAATCGATTTCATTAGCTCCGTGATTACACCATCTCTCTCGGCGATTAACAGCTTTGACTCAGCGTCGACGGCGATGAACTCAAGTAAACCGGCGCAATCAATTTTCAATTCGACATTCCCGGTTTTAAACAAGTAGACGATAACCGTTAACCGATCTCGACCGTTCAAAATCAGATTCGAAAACCGTCTCCGATCTGAGATTTTGGTTCGAATCATACTCAGAATCTTCACCGCTTCTTGAACAACCAGTGACTTCGCGGCGGAGGTGGTTTTGAAATCTACCTGATTAATCAGATCCACGAGAAGTCTCACGAAATCATCTTTTCCGGCGAGAAATCCTCTGTTATCATCAGATTCTCTACCGAATCGAACAATCTTCGACAAAACCTCGCGATCATCTCTTTCTTCTTTCTCGATCTTCACTCTATCAATCGCATCGGAGATCTCGTCTCTCGTCGGAGCAGCTAATTCCGCCGATTCAACACAAACTCGACGACGAACAGAATCAGACCAAATCTCTATAAGACGTTGAAGAGTCCGATTCGGTATGAAATCCTTGTTCTGAAGAATCTGCATCGTCGCCGGACAAGTGTTATTCCCGCCGTCGAGCCACCGTTGGATACTAGCTCGATCGTAGGTAACACCGGTGCAAAGACTCACCGGAGATTTCATAACGTCGAGTGATATAGGACATCGGAAGAACGTCGGAACAGTGATGCAGAGATCATCCTTCCTCATTGCTTTGGCCGTTGATTTTTTTTTTCCGATTTGCTCCAAAAGAAAGCGTGTGGGAGAAAGAGAAGAGAGAGAGAGTTTGTTTATGTTTTTAGTGCGTGGGGTTTGGTTTAAAAGATGAAAGAGAAAAAGAGTCAAACTTTGGTGACGTCAAATTTCACTTTTTTGACGAGAATTTTAGTGTTTAAATATCTTTTAATACTATTTTAATGACTAAATCGAATAAACTTTTTCTTTTAACATAAATCGAATAACTTTTTTTTTTGCTCTTCTCTTTATGCTATTATAAAATAACTATACTACAAAATTAGAATAATATTTTAGCACTCTCCAAAGTTGAAAAATATATATTCGTATTCAAACGTAAAAATAAAATCTGATATATTAAAATCGATTTTATATTTCACTTTAGGTCGTTTGGTCAAAGAAGAAGTCTTCTTTCGGCGCGTTAATATTAGAGATTTTCAATCGGGTATATATCACAGCCGTTGATCTGGATTTTAAAAATTTAACGTGTTGGAAATGGACGGTGAGGATTTATGGAAAGTGGATGCAGATATAAGAGTAGAGAGAGTGGGGTCCACGCTCCACCGTTTGAGATTTGGGTCCACTTATACGTCTTAAGAACGCACCGAGTTTTGGGGTGTGAAATTGCACGTTTGAGATTTGGTGTGGAAATTTGGGAACTTTTTTATTATTTTTTTACGACCCTTCAATTTAGGTCTTTTTTTTAATAATATCCCTCATTATCTTGTTTTCTTAGTTTTCCGTCCTCGTTTTCACATTGGAAAATTTGTAACGTGTTATTCGAGTTAATCGAATAAGCTTCAAATATTGCTGAATCGGTTTAGTTAGAGATTTGTCATTTGGCTATTTACCTAAATAGATGAAACAATAATTAAAATTATATATTTAACAAATTTACCGTTCACTATATGATGTATATTTCTGTAAATTTTGTAAAATGTAGGCATAAACCAATAATATCTAAGAAGAAATGGAAAAGATATTACGTAGAAAAGGAAAAAAGAAGAATAAATGAACAAAATTGTTCAATTGACCGGACAGATTCTATGGGCTACAATTGCATCTTTTGTTGCTCCTCCACTTCTGTTTGTTTTATGTCCGCAACTAGCAACACATGACGTGACACTTATTTTCTTCTTCGATACTTATTTTAGATGTGTCTACTTATGTTCATTACAAGTTCACCCTTCAAAATTTAATTTATTATGACCTTCGGCTAATTTACATTTTAAAGTTAAGTACCATGATTTTTTAACTAAACCTGATTTCTATCTTTTATAATTATTTATTCCTCGATGAATCATTTATTCAACTAACACGCTCTAAGACTTGCCAATAACAAGTCTAACCCCAACTCTTGTTTCATGCAAATAGTTCCAAGTCAAAGTCAAATAATGACATCAACACTAAACACCAAACAGCGTGCAATGAACTTGAATAGTGATTTAGGCAATTAGCATTATAATTAGGAGATTTTCTTCTTTTTAAGATATAAATAATGAATAAACTAATTGCTTGCACGTGAGAGGAGGCTCTACGTGTTGTGGTTGATTCAAACACTTACGTCCCGCACGTTTAAGCTTTTATGTTTAGTCTACATGAATGTCAAGCACCAAATATGAAACCATGGAAGTTTAAGAAAATTGAACTTCTAACTATTGGATTTGCCACGCGTTTAACTCTCTCACAAATTTTGTATTCTCATCTACTTTTCTAAAATATTTGCGGGAAAATAATTTCAACCTTCAAATTTGAATGATGGATCATGATGCTTTAATTAGTCAAAGTCCACGGTTATGATGATAATATATAGTTTTAGTCCCTATAAGAAGTTAGTAAAACGCATGATTAACTTTGAAGGTTAATTAAACAAATAGCCAAAATAAAATTGAATCAAATTGATAGGAATGATGTTTTTTTAGCAAAATTCAATTGGGTTAGGTGAAAATACATAAACATTTTTTTAAAGCACCTAATTTTAATTAAATGACATAGTTTTGCAAAATACAAATAATATTTTTGGCCACTTTAGTATAATGAAATGAAAGAAATTTAAATAAAACACTTTGGGATAACAGAAAAATAAACGATATCTGGAAGTGGCATCCACGGGCTTTAGTAGATTTTCCTATGGGCCTAGTAGCCTAAGATTTAGTCATTCAAGGCCCATTTAGTTTGTTTCTTTCGTTAGAAAAATATCTATCATTTTATTTACCAACATGCATGCATATACGGATATACGAAATGCATGAGAAAATAATCCAATAGTGTAAATTCTTTGGTTAATTTTTCGGGTAGACAAATAGTAATCTACGCTATTTGCAGATTCTCATTTTTTCAGAAGTTCAGAGAGAAAAACTTCTTGCCGTTTTTACTTTCTTGATGACACAAACCTGACGTCTAAATCGCCTTCTTATTGTGGTCCTTCTTGAGATTAGATTTGACGTCTTGAGTTTGTGAGATGACCGAAGAGACGCGAAACCATAGCACGTGTGCGATCAGTGTTCTACTGTGGTGCTCTGGTCAAAGTCAAACCAAGATTTTCTAACCAAGCGTATTTATTGTTTTATTGAAAACTAAACTGCTATGTCTCCGACAAGAAATGGGCAAAGTTTACCCACAAATAGATTTCTTTTTTTATTTTACGATTAAGTAAATGTGCATGCTTAGTAAAAAACACTGGACAGGTAAATACTGTGGATGCACCGAAACTAATTAAAAGTTTTGGATGGTTGAAAATATAAATTGCGAGCATATAATTATTTATGAAAAAGGTAACATTAATTCATCGGAAAATCAAAAGGTAGCTAACGAACTTGTTAGCTCACCAAATTGTCCGTGTCTTCACTACTCTTCACCTACATATATGTATACATGATTCAATTTATGAATTCATCAATCATTACTTAATTATATATCTGTTAACTTATGACACCAGTTATTTTACTCAAATCAAAAGGAGCAAAGATACAATCCTTGCTAAGTTTTAGGCGTCGAAATGTTTTGAGAAAATTTTTTCTGCAAAAATAGTATGCTTGAGATACATGTATATAAATATGGATGAGGCTTTTTGTATGCCAGCCACAGACACGATAGTTGGTGCGGCATATCATGTGAATGCTCGAATCACTTTCAATGAATATTATTCATTCATGACTCATGAGTTGTGACCGTGACTCGTGACTCGACTCATGAGACATGCCTCGCGCCACCTTTACCCCGACCGTTCCGTACACTATACGCGTATTAATTTAAGTACGTAACGTTGATTTCTTCACAGGTACATGTATCTTATCACATATATAAACACGATCGATCGCACGTGTGCATATTTTTTAGTTATGCGTTCAAGTGTATATATTTTTTCTAAATAAAGAAGAAATTAACGTTTGTGGGGGTTGCAGCGCAAGGAGGAAATTTATAATTTTGAAGATTATAATTTATAACTCAGATACCAAACAACGGAAAAGAGACTAGTTAGTAGTTAGTTTATTCTGCTATCTAGTCTGAAAAACTTTAGATATTAAACTCCTAAATTTTTCGACAATTAAGTAGTATAATTTTTAAAAAGCTAGATTACTTAGATGGGTTAATGCAATTGGCAAATGCTTTTGAATTTTTTCATAGACCAAATATATCGTAAATTTTGATTTTAACTGTGTGCATGTGAAAACAATCTTTTCATTCATATATTACATGCATGGCTGTGGGCTGTGGGCTGTGGGATTTGGTTAATGATTTACCGAATTGTGAGTTTTTAGAAAAGTTTTTGTCGAGTGGCCTGTTTTGGTTATTCCATGTTCTGGCGAAATGGATATCTAGTGTAAAAAAGCTAATTATTTATTTACTTTTTTTAAAAAATTTGCTTAAGTAATACTACCACACATAATACATTTAAGTTCACGTTTGAATTCATGAAAGAAAACTTTGTGTTGGTGATGCGTCTTGTGTTTATTACATTCATCACAAAACAAATGTCGGGCAATGTCTTACCAATCAGTCTCTATATATAATTATGTGACGAAGCACACGCAATACCATTAGTATATTGTTTAGTACTATCTATGATACTACATTATATTAATCAATGGTCCATAACTATAATTCACTAGAAACCTGTACAACCAATCTAGGGATTAGCTAGAATTGTCAGTCAGTTTCGTGTTGGCCTGAAATAAAATTATTTTGAAATATTATTTTGATAAAAGAATGAGATAATAATGGAGAAGTACGGTTGCTAGATTTGTAATAGGAGTAGCTAAGACGTAGTCAGTGTTTGAAATAGTAGAGAAAGGTATGGGCTTAGACCAACTTTAGATTTCAACTGTTGTTCCTGACATTACCAAGACTCTTCTATTTTAGTTTACTTTCTGTTCGTGTACTTCTTCTCATGAGATTGGGACAATAAGAGTCATTTTACTCCATACTCATTGAAATGTTTTTAATATAATTGTCTATAAAAGATAACTATATATTACAATATCAGGTGTCATAATGATATATTCTGATCGTTCTCATGTTAACTAAGAAGTAAAATTTGAAAACATCTTTTAATTTGTAACTCATTAGATCATATACTGTTTGATCTATTGGATATATGCCCATTAATCTTTTGTAATTTGTATGCCTAGACATACGGCTCTGAATATCATTTATTATATTTCCTTACAAGAGTGAATGAAAAAAATGGTAAAAACCGTATAAGTGTTGGGCAAAGGTTGCATTGAATGTAGAACCCTAATTAACTCTATGGAAAAAGCTTAGATAAGAGACTGAAATGGCAAGAAATGTGATTGATATATGAACTGTATGCATACGTGTGTCTACACAAAATATAGTAATCTATGTGCATTTTAAGTAGCTTAAATTGAGGGAGATTTTGCAATAAAGCTTGAATAGTTGCAATGTTTTGACATAATTATAATCGGTCACTATATTTAGAATGGGGCCTATCATTCTCTCCTAACCAAAGAAAACTATAAAATTATTATAATTAAAACTATATAAAGTTTTGAATCTTGACATAACATCTAAAAGGCTTTACCTGACCATTGTATTATTATTTTCTCTTTGCCCACTTTCCCCGTTCTTTCTTATTCATTGAACATAATAGGTGACATGAAACCTTGCATCCCCAAGGCATTTGAAGAAACAAATGAATCTAGCTTTCTTTGTTATAACCTTTTTATTTCCTTTCTTTTTTTTTGTCAAAATTATATTATTAATCAGAGTTCATAATCAACTAATTGGCAAAAAAAAAAAAAAAATTCTACCAGACAATTATATTTTAAATTGACAAAATCTTATATTTTAAAATTAGAAAAACTCAAACCTTACTGAAATCATGTGATTTCGAAATGCCAGTCAACTAAATGTTGAATTTACCAAACTTACACATAATCTTGTTAAGCAAGAGTAGTTATGATAATCCCCCAAAGCACTATAGCTTATTTACCATGCTAGTTTTGTAGAAGGTATAATATTTCATCTGCAAAGCAAAAGAGAATAATTCCTAGCAACTGTTGACGATAGAAAAAACACATTATTGCGCCGTACACACAGACGTCTTTTCCCCATTTTCATAAAGATAATTTGTTTTGAAATATATAATCATAGCAGTTACCAAACTTATCGTTCATTGTCTTAAGCGAGCTATCGTTAGTGTTTTTGATGGATATGATGAAAACTAATGGGATGTTTTCATTACTCAAATAACTTTAGCATAAAAGTGAAAGACGAATATGGAGGATACAAAAAGTTTCTACTTTCTCAGCATTCATTAAAACTTTAGTAAACAAATCATGGTATCCAACAATTTTCACATTTTTGCCATTCTTTCCTATATAATCCATGTATAGTGTATAGTTTTACTCACATTAATTTTGAGCTAAGATATAATCAAATCTTAAAATCACATGTGGGTCAAGTGAAAAAAACGCATCCCGTCGAACCTAAACCAATTAATGACAATAAAGTCTACAACCATTTTGTGTACTTAGTTACTGTAAATGTTTGTTTTTCAAATAATAACAAGAATAGTTTAAGAACTCTAACATTTTTTCATAAACCTAAATTATCAACAATTATAAGTCTAAAAAAAATCTAACACCAAACAGTTTCTTCGGCTTGTAGACCAAAACCAGTTGTCAACAAGTCTACAACTACTTGCATAGTTGAATAGTTCGTGAAAAAATAAATAGAAAATATCAGAAGTAATTAAATACACAAGAAAACATAACTCAAAACCTCTTCTTAGTCAGATTCTCTCTCTATCTATCCCTCTCAATCTCTATCTGCCCATATTTCTTGCTGTCAACAAATTCATTCAGCAATCTCCTTTTTCCCCATCAACAACAAACAAAAATAAAGTCCTTTCACAATTATATTAAAACAAATCCACCAAAAACCCTTTCACAAAAAACCTCTCTTCAACAATGTCGTCTAGAAACCGAAGATCAAGAATCAACTCTAAGTTCTTCTTCTTCACAAGAACCATTCTTCTTCTCCTCCTTCTAGGTTTCTGCAATGGAGCAAGAACAAACACGAACGTTTTCAACTCGAAACCACACAAGAAACACAACGACGCCGTTTCGTCTTCTTCGAAACAGTTCTTGGGGTTCTTGCCACGTCACTTCCCAGTTCCAGCTTCTGGTCCATCTAGAAAACACAATGATATCGGTTTACTTAGTTGGCATCGAGCTTCTCCGTGAAAAAAAGCCTTAAAGGTCATGAATTTTTTTTTCCTTCTTTCTATTAATTAGTTGTATGTTTCTTTCATTTTGGTTTCCCTCTTTAATTACCCCTTGCTTTTGAGTTATAAGCTGGTGTAAATGTCTTTCTTTTTGTGATGCAAAGAAAATGTTTTTTTTTTTGGTTTGATTAATGTCGACAAGGCAAAATATATTATCAGTATTATTATGAATTTGTAATTGGAAGGTGTGTATTTTTTGGATAGCTCGAATTTGTAATATTGCATGTATCAAAGTGTGAGAGCCGATCATCTTCATGATATACACGTGTTCTTGTTATTACGATCAACTCGAATGAAAATATACTAATAATTTAATTATCTAAAAGTTTATGCTTATTTCGAAATATGTTTTTTTTTTTAAAAAAGGTCAAATATTTAAAATTTAAAGAGGTTTGAAAATATATAATCGACTTTTTTCTTGGGATCTATCTATTTGTTTAATTTTAATGATAACCAATAATGTCTTTGAAATGTCTATTGTGATTTGTCAATGTGATGGACCAAGGTTGCATCTAATTTCATAGCCATTTAATTTATTTTGACATTAAAGTGACATTTATGCCGGGAAGGTGATCTTCATTCATCAATAGGTACATATAGATTAGAAATGTAAGATCAACAGAAAAAAAAAAGAAAAAAAAACATCTTAAAAATAAATTGTATGATATTGAACTACACTTGATTTTAGACAAATACGAAACCATCCCGTGATTTGTAGGTTACATTTTTGTTTAGTTTGGACATTTATAGGCATATGAATTCACCATTTACGTCCAATAGTTTCTTCTGTGTAGTGTGTAGTATTTGATTTTCTTAAGAAGCATAAACCGATTTAATTCCATAATTTATTTGATAATATGTCAACAACGATATTTATTTATTAGAAAACCAATCAAGGACTCTTCTTTTTTGTAGTTATTTAAAAATAATCAATGATATAACTAAGTAACTAACAGTACAGTCATCATCATTACATGTTTGTTAAGAGTAATGAGTTCTGAAACCTCGAAAACTATCTTCTTCTTCTTTTTTCACGCTCCGTCGTTTAAATTCAGGCAATCATATCCCCTTTCTATAAATTAGGTAAATTACGTACGGCGTTTTGGTAAAATAACACTGCCAAAAAAAAAAAAAAAAAACACTGCTATAATTTTCAAAACGTCTGTTATGTTGGGGAAAATTGCAAAAAAGTGTCAAAAACTATCAATATTTGCAGATTTAAGCTTCGTTGTAAAAAAATGCAAAATTACCGTTGAACTCAGTAACATTAACAACGCCTCAACCAAATCGGCTAAATAATGAAATTCAAATCTAACGTGATCGTTCTCTGGTTTCCTCAACCTTCTTCAAGAACAGGCCTTGATCCCAAACAAGAAGTCTGAAAATGGTTAAGAACTTGTTGCGACCAAATACAGAAAAAGTAAAACGAGAAAGACCTTATTTGTCAACTAAAAATATCCGGCATTCTCAATTTTCTGGTGAGAACATTGAGCAAGAAACAACACAAACAACTTTAAACCGAAACATCAAACGTTAGAAGCCAATCCAAAATCATGATTCAACAGGAGACTCAACTTTGTTCTCCTCAGCTGCAAAGAAGGGAATGGGTTTTTTCGGAGCTGGAAGACGTCCAATGCTATCAACCTTATCTTGTTGTTTAGGAGGTGGTCGCGCTGCTTTCGGCAATAACCTTCCTTTCTTCTCAAACCATTCCGGTTTAAGCAATGCCCTCAAGCCCAATTTGTTGTAATACACTCTTCTCACTGATCCTCCTGCTGCTTCCACCACCTCTTTTGCCCTAACCGTCACTCTCGAAACCTGCAGTAAACATGCCATTACTGATTAACTAAATACCTAACTTAGCAAATACATTGGATGATGCAACGACTTGATACTATACAGAGCAAAAGAAGCAAATGGTAAACCTCGAAATGAAGTGGCCATTTGATATCATCAGCACCACGACCCATTAGTCTTACTCCGTCTTCTATTTGCTTTCCTATGGCTCCCACATCCTGCAAACCGACGTTAATAGGTTCAGTCAGAAGCAGACACATTAAGAATCCTCAACTCAATCTAAACCCGTTGAATCAAAGAGTGAGAAGTATGACCGAACCTTGAGCGTTTTCATCGTAATCAATTCATGAGAATCTATCTTCCCAGCGTTTATGAGTTTGGCGATCTTTCCTAGACCAACCGGCTGCATCACAAAACAATCATAAACATCTTTAGTCGTTGCATCAATAGACTGTCAATCAAAACCGAAATCCTTATACACACAGTATCATCTACTTCACCACAAGCAGCTAAAGAACAGCATTAATGGCATTCAGAAAGAAGAACAAGAATTCGACCCTAATCTAAGGAATCAATCACAGATGTCCCTTCGAGTCATTGGAAGCTAAAAAAACAGAAACTTGACCTCAGAGACAAATCCCAGAACTGAAAGGCAATAGCTTTTTACCTGGAAATGGAGCTTAAACTTGTTCTTGAAGCCACGTTTAGGTAAACGACGTCGCAATGGAGTTTGCCCACCTTCAAAACCAAACTTCATCGTTCCTCTCGCTTTTTGACCTTTGTGACCTCTTCCAGCAGTTTTACCTTTACCAGACCCAATACCTCTACCTTTCCTCGTCTTGAGTTTTCTCGGCACATTGTCTCTCAGATCGTTCAAGCTCAATAAACTATACGCTCTAATTCCCTGAAACGACGAAGCCCTGCTCGTAAAGGTTGGGATTTGAGTAGAGATCGGAGAAGGACGGCATTGAAGAAGTGGTGAAGAGATTATGAATCTGGGTTTCGCGGTTTGATGAAACGAAGAATTGATGAGTGATGTTGATATGATCGACGAGAGTCTTCTTCTTATCATTTCTTCGTTGCGGGATCAAGCAGATTTCGATTTTAGAGACTTGATTATGCCATTTTGGGGATTTAGGGTTTATGAGATTTACAGTGAAGAGCTTCTTCTGAATCATCATCATCCATCACCATTGCTTATTCTTCTTCAGTACTGTCACTTAAAGGCCCATTTGTGGCCCAATCATCTCAGCCCAAATGCTTTTCCCCTATCAATGCATGCAAAACTACGTCGCTTTGAGAGAACTAAAAATAAAATAAAAACAGATAAGGGTTTTAGGTCATCGCCGCCATCGATATTTCTCCGGTAACTATTCTCTCTCTTTTTCGCCGCCGACAAAGCCCAGCTTTCTTTCTGTTGTTTTCTCGATTTTACATGTTTTTGTGAAATCTTGAGAGCTAATTTGAGCAGAGATGGATTCTGGTTATAAACCTGCCGAAGATTACGTAGTCAGTGGCGCAGAGCAGCTAGATGACGCTGGTATAACGCGTTCTGATGAGCTTTGGCTTATCCAAGCCCCTTTAGGCCGAGTATGTTTAGAGAATGATTCTTTATTGCAATTTGATCCTAATGTAATGTTCTACAGCTAAAGGACTTTTCTTTATCGCAGTTTCCAGAAATCGAAGAGGACACTCTTAAGGTTGAGCTAGATAAAGATGGGTTATTTGGAGGATTCGAGGATTCAGATGGTAAGTTTATGGTTTGTGTTCTGTCATACTCTTAATTATTGTAGCTTTGATCTCTAAAGTTGGATCATTGCCTTTGTTTTTTTTTTTTTTTTTTTCATAGGTGGAAAGTATGATCTTGCTAGCTTTACTTGTCAAGATGTTGATGCAGAGTTGATTATACCTTCTGAAGAATCAATGATTGGTACATTCCCATTACTTTAGAAGTAACTGAAATTGTGTCTGGTTTTAAGTCTTGATCGTTTAGTTTACACAGCCTTACCTTTTTCTTTAGTGATTCTTATGTTTGTTATGCGTTTTATGGTAGCTGGGAAGATTACTCGGCGAGTTGCAATAGTTCGTTACCCTGAGCCAAACGAGCTGCTTCAGAAAATGAAGGCCAGAACACAACAGAAGCTTGTTGGATCAGTCACGAATTCCTCTAAGAAATCATCTAACCTAACTCAAAGCAGCCGGCATAAAAGCGGTTCACGTAGCAGCAAATCGAAGAGCATGTTCTCTAGCTTCACCGAGACTCCAAAGTCGCCAAAAAGAAAACATTCAGAGTCCTCCTCAGGAAAACATCGGAGCTCAACAAGTACCGTTTCAGGCTCTTCAGAACGATCGGGAAAGATTAAGAAGAAGAAGGTGAAGAAGGAAGAGTAAAGATCTTTGTGCCTGTATTTTTTTTTGTAAGAGAGTGTTTGTGGCTGTTAAGATGTTAAATTTCGATTATGCAGATGATAAACAGCCAGTATTGTATTCGAATTCATAAGTTATTTCGCCATAGATGCTTATAAAAGTTCAAAGCTTATTAGCTACCATGGAACAAGGTCAAAGTAAATACAGCTTTTTATCTTAGTAAGGTGCAAAAGGATTAAACAAAAGCTCTGTTTGTTGTTCTTTTGTCTTCAAGCCTCTGTGGATGGAGTTGTTGCAGGGTCTTGTGATACTGGCTTCCATTGTTGCGGAGTTTGAGCTTTCTTTATCGAGAGAGCATGGATTTCTTTCATCTCTTCTTCAAGAGCAGCATTCACAATGCGGTGCCTCTCGAGCAATCTCTTCCCCTCAAACTGTTCTGAGACAATCTCAATCACAAAACTCGCACCACAGCTGGGAAAAAGGGTAAAGTTTAAATTGAAAAGTGAAAACTGGAGATGATATGTCAAAAGTCAAATGCTTGAATAAATGAAAGTTGATGATATAGTGATCATAAGACTTTACCCTCCAGATGTGTCTATGACTTCCTGGTTTTACACATAAATTAAACCAGTGATGTATACAGAGAAAAGATAACAAGGGAAACTTATTGCGCAAACCACATAAGTGAGTCAATGATCCAGTCTTAGAACAAAAGTATGATCCAGTTTCATAAAGATTTCAAATTTGAGTCTGCAAATGAAAAACAGAGGATGCATGATGCATGTGTGATCGATAGAAGTTGTAAAAAGTTTGCAACTTTTGGACAGACACAGTGACCATGAACAACAGAGAGTATTAGTTGAGTTACCAGATGAACAGGGTTGAGTTTCGAAGTCAACGAAGCTTCGACTTGCTCCTTCGTTACACCCATCTCTCTCTTTCTCTCTGCTTAAAAGTTTGATGCAGAAAAGCTTTGTGTGAGAGAACTTGTGTGCCCTAGTGATTCTAAATGGGTGAACCGAGTGAATCTGGGGGCCGACCCGAATATATTCTCTTCTTCTTAACTTTGTGATATTCGATACTATCCATAAACACATCATAAACCCCAAAAAGGCAAAACTCAGGAAAAGGAAAAAAAACTAACAAAATTTGTATTTTATATGTTGTAACGTTTTTGATACAATATGTTTGAAACTTTGTGACACAACATAATAATATCGTTTCATTGTGCAAGAAGAGAAATTTGTATCAATCAAATTCTCAGAATCTCTGCTGCTTATGCTTTAGAAACTGGTTTTGCATGCATTTATGGAGGAACCAACATAATCTCCATATATTCTAACAGTTTGCTTGAGGATTGATTCAGGATCATCATCTCTATCTGCATTTTTAATCACCCTAATAGTATTTACCTTTTTGCTTCTTCTCTGCATAACTTTTAATCTGTTTGGGAGTAAGCAGAGATTAAATATCTCCATCATCATTAAATTGATCGAAGAATTCGATTTATGAAACCAAAAAAAAAGGAAACAAAACCCATCGAAAGAAAAAGGAAATAAAGCCCATTGAAAGAAAGAAAAGGAAATAGAGATCACAATTTCCTTTTTCTTTGTATTAAAAAAGGAAACATAACAGCCTCCAACGGCTATATCGTAATCTCTGTTGTGTATATATAAGATTGATCAATACCCTAATTAACACTTTGCTTCTAAATAAATAATAAAGCTCTCACGCAGTTTCTTCTATCTCTTCCTTGAGAGAGAAAAATCAGAACTCTCTAATTCTCGATTCTTCTTCTTTTCTTCTATAACATTGATCGATCAATACCTAATTCCTTTGAGAGAGAAATATCAAAACTCTCTCTATTTCGTTGATGGTTACGCGGTCAAAGTTCCTAAAGGATTCACCGTTCTTCAAGCTTGCGATGGAGGTTTTCGTTGATGGTTACGCGGTTCTGTTTTGTCGATTGCTGGAAATTGTAGGATGTGTCTTGTTGAGGTTGAGAACTCTCCTAAGCCTGTAGCGTCGTGTGCCATGCCTGCACTTCCAGGTTAGTTTCAGTTCTGAACTTTGGATTCTAGGAGATTTTTTCCGCTGATGGATTGATTTGATCGTTGATTGGTAGAAGAAATTTGGATTTCGTGTTATTGTTAGGGTTGATTGCAGTATCAGCTTCATTCTATTCCAATGGTAGACTACTAAGAGTTTTTGTTAACAGGGATGAAGATTAAGACTGACACACCGATAGCGAACAAGGCGAGGGAGGGAGTGATGGAGTTTTTGTTGATGAATCATCCTTTGGATTGCCCTATATGTGACCAAGGAGGAGAGTGTGATCTTCAGGATCAGTCTATGTTGGAGCCTTGACCTCAAAGCCAGAAACTGGGAGTTGAAAGCAACAGAAACTATTGATGATGTTGGCTCCATCATCCGTGTTGATAGTCGAGGTCCACAAGTGATGCGTATCATTCCACGCCTTAATGAGGTATGTTATGCTTTTGTTCAGAAAACACTATTTTTTATAAGTATTTTACTAGATGTTGAACTCGTGAATGTTCTTACTCAGGATATAAACGAAGAATGGATATCTCACAACACCCGATTCTGTTATGACGGCCTGAAAAGCCAAAGGCAAAGCCTGGTGTCAATGAACAACGGCTCCTGTTGAGGATTTCACAACTTCCAGGTATCTTTTCTAAACTAGTTAATAATTTTTACTAAAATTTTTAGAGAATATATTAATAATATTAATTTTAAAATTTAAAACAAATTTAAAAATTAAACTTTAAGAAAATAATTAATAAATTTTAACTAAAATCATGTTAATTTCACTATTCTTTTTTAAAAATTAGTTTGAGTGTTCAATTTTTAAAACGTCGAAAACTAACCGCATCTAGGCATCCCGTCCTTAGTTGGTCCGTAAGCTTTGGTGTTCGAAGTTCGGCAATGTTTGCACGTAATATAGATTTAACACTTAAACTCGTTTTTAAAAAATAATTAAAATTTAAAACAAATTTAACACTTAAACTTTAAAAAAATAATCAACATAATTTTTAACTAAAACCATGTTAATTTCACTATTACTTGTTTTTAAAATATAATTAAAATTTAAAACAAATTTAACACTTAAACTTTACAAAAATAATCAATATAATTTTTAACTAAAACCATGTTAATTTCACTATTACTTGTTAACCAAATATAATTAAAATTTAAAACAAATTTAACATTTAAACTTTTTAAAAATAATCAATATAATTTTTAACTAAAACCATGTTAATTTCACTATTACTTTTTAAAACTTAGTTTAAGTATTAAATTTTAAAAACGTCGAAAACTAACCGCGCCTAGGCATCCCGTCCTTAATTGGTCCGTAAGTTTTGGTGTTCGAAGTTCGGCAATGTTTTCACGTAATATAGATTTAACACTTAAACTCGTTTTAAAAATATAATTAAAATTTAAAACAAATTTAACACTTAAAATTTAAAAAAATAATCAATATAATTTTTAACTAAAATCATGTTAATTTCACTATTACTTGTTTTAAAAATATAATTAAAATTTAAAACAAATCTAACACTTAAACTTTAAAAAAATAATCAATATAATTTTTAACTAAAACCATGTTAATTTCACTATTACTTGTTTTAAAAATATAATTAAAATTTAAAACAAATCTAACACTTAAACTTTAAAAAAATAATCAATATAATTTTTAACTAAAACCATGTTAATTTCACTATTACTTGTTTTAAAAATATAATTAAAATTTAAAACAAATCTAACACTTAAACTTTAAAAAAAATAATCAATATAATTTTTAACTAAAACCATGTTAATTTCACTATTACTTGTTAACCAAATATAATTAAAATTTAAAACAAATTTAACACTTAAACTTTAAAAAAATAATCAATATAATTTTTAACTAAAACCATTTTAATTTCACTATTACTTTTTAAAACTTAAACTAAGTTTTAAATTTTAAAAACGTCGAAAACTAACCGCGCCTAGGCATCCCGTCCTTAATTGGTCCGTAAGCTTTGGTGTTCGAAGTTCGGCAATGTTTTCACGTAATATAGATTTAACACTTAAACTCGTTTTTAAAATATAATTAAAATTTAAAACAAATTTAACAGTTAAACTTTAAGAAAATAATCAATATAATTTTTAACTAAAACCATGTTAATTTCACTATTACTTGTTTTTTAAATATAATTAAAATTTAAAACAAATTTAACACTTAAACTTTAAAAAATAATCAATATAATTTTTAACTAAAACCATGTTAATTTCACTATTACTTGTTAACCAAATAAATTAAAATTTAAAACAATTTAACACTTAAACTTTAAAAAAATAATCAATAGACAATAGGAAAAGAAATCATTTAACCATTCAAAAGATGGTTTTGACATCAATTTGTTTCTCTGTAAACGATCAAGAGAGTGAAGAACAGAGTGATTTATACGCATCAAGGCAGAGTTTGAACTTCTCTTGTGCTGCCTCCTGTGAATTTCCACCACATTACCAAATTAGTTTCTGTAGATGATCGCAAGAAAACATGCAACCTTTTTTTACACTGTATGTATATATATACCTGACAAGGCCCTTGGTGTTTATCTGGATGCCATTTCAAAGCAGCAGAACGGAAGCTGCAAAAACAAAGAAAACTCTAATGAATAATCAATCTCTTTGATATTGGTGGAAAACATATTTGAAAGACTTACGCGTTCTTAACATCTGAGATTTTGAGGGGACCAATTGGACGCAAACCGAGAACTGTTCTCTGAGACCGGGATTCTACGATTAATGGTTCTTCATCACAAGAAGATACATCACCCCAATTCTTGCTTCTTTGAGACTGGTTTGTCCAGCTAAAGCCTTGTCTCCATTCAAAACCCGATTTTGAGTCTTTCGAATATGAATAAGCCTTATGAGATTGGGATTTACGGTCAGCGAATGTAGTCTCGGTATCAAACTCACCGTCAAGACTTCCATCTCTGTGCCATCCTATAATAGAGAGATAACTCAAATGGTTGAAACAGAAAGATAAGAAAATGAAAGCTGGAAAAGAAGGAGAAAGCAACTCACTTTTTGTTTTCTTATCGCGAAGCTTTTTTCCCCGACCAGGTGGAGATTTCTTCTTTACATGCCTGTCCCGGATCTCTCGATTTGGTTCCCCAAAGTGCCACTCCTTCTACGTACAAGAAAAGACGATACATAATCATGCTACAACATACTCTCTTGCAATCTCTTAAATGTATTGAACCTAGTCCATAAATAGCATTTCAACAATGGACATGAAAAATAACTCACCTGAAGAAAATCTCTACTTCCTTTGGTGTGGAAGAGAAGATTGTGCAGAGCCTTTTTAGCATCAGAACGCTTCTCCTTAACGGTACATGTGAATCTTATAGAGTTCTGAGATCAATATTTGCAAGCTTCAGAGGCATTACATTCTCATATGATGAGTTTGAATAGATAACACAAAATACTAATCAAATTCATCAACAAACTAGATAAGCAAAATTGACGAAAGTTAGAGTTCAGTATCCATCAAGCTGATAATCACAGAGCTACACAATCAATCTATACAGTGTTCCTATTCTTGATTCCAAAATCAGAATAAACCAATCATCAACAAGATCCTAAATCAAAATTCTCAATTTTTCAGCTTTTGAATAGTTCGCTCATAGAGTGTTTAACATCACACATTATATCCACAGGTTTGAATATATACCTTTGAAGCTCGTTTGCCTTCAGAAACTTTGCCACTCTGCCAAAAAAAATTGATGCAAGTATCAAAACATTTAATAATCGAAACAGAACATGAATAACAGAAAAATCTAATCTTTGAACTTACAGAACCAAACTTTTTACTCGAGTTCTCAGACAAAATACTTGTCGAGTGAAACGGAGCGAAATGGGTTGTCGAAGAAGACGATAATTCAAGAATCGAAGAGATTTTCAGCGACGATAAACTTCTCCATCTTGCTATTAGCATAGTGGGCTTTCCATAGACATTAATCAAAAGAACTTGTTTTTCTCCTTCCGCAATATCAAGATCAGAATCGAGAATAGAGAATTACCAATCCCAACGAGTTAATTTCCTTAACGGAGAAGGCAGATTGTAATCGCCAGTATGAGATGAAGAAATGGAGACACTACTACACTAGTGTGGAGACTGGAAGATGAAGGAACCAAACAAAGGAATGGAAAATAGAAATTGAAAACCGGTTAAAACTGGTTAGCCGTATCGAACCGGTGAGCCGGTAAATTTGGGAGCTTATTCACCAACTCATTCACGGGCCAGTATCAACAAGCTCTTTTCAATTTTCTTTTTTGGGCCGGATTCTTCATCATTTAACCCAAACCTGATCTGGATTTATACTTCTTATTTGTGATTATCATATGAGATTTTCCGATTTTTTAGACAAATTACTTGCTACTAAGTACTAATAATGGCATCATACAAGTAATTTTCGAAATGATAAAACAACATCACTATTTGCACCATGCTCACGATTGATGTTTTTAATGTAATGGACTAATGGCCACGTATAATATGACCGTTATGTGGAAGATTTCTTTTATTTATTATTCGGTATGCAAATGGACAACAGAGATTCCCACAGAGATACTAATTAAATCATATATTTTGTTTCCCTTTTCTCGTTATATCACCTGCTCGATTCAGTATCAATAATATATACTATGCATCAAAACAAAGATTCGATTCCTATCTTTTCTATCAAGAGAGAGGTTTTATATTTATAAAACAAATCAAATTTTACTAAAACTTTTTTTTTTTGTAATAAATTTAGGTTTTAGCACAAAACCCATATATATTAAATAAAATCTTTGTCTCTCTATATTCCTTCATGGCCGCAGAGAATTTATCGGACATAACTCTTCTTTGACCATCCCTTACCTCCGTTTTCAGCATTTCTCTCTCTAATCTCTCGGAAGATAAAAGGCAAATCAAGAGAGAGAAAATAATTTTCTCATAATTGTTTACGAGATGGGAAACTGTGCCATCAAGCCAAAGGTTCTCAAAGATTCTGACGAGGATCTGGTTCCGGTGGAGCGAGAGACGGCGGTTCCGGCTGATCATGATGACAAGGATCCTGCTGAGAAGAGCGAGAACATCATTGCTCCTAACGCTGAGGAGGAAGCTGCCGCTGCTGCACGACGGAGCGAGAAGGGAAAAGAGATTTTGATTGAAGATGACGTTGATGATCACCACAAACGCCCTTCTCTTAGTCACTTGTTTCATGAGGTAATTTTTCATTTTTTTTTTTCTTCATAATAATCATCTATTTCATTTTACGTAGTTAATTAATTATATTAAAACATGTTCATAGTATACAGATGTGAAAATTAATTTCTGTTTTAAATCATTATTTATCTAACAAAATTACGTTAAAAATGTTTGTATGTAAGTGATTATGTAATCAGTAAATGATAGCTTTTAAGATTAAATTATTTATATGATTTCTTATTATTATGTGAACCAGACGGCATTTTGCAAGGGTAAATCAAAAGACAAAAATGCTTCTCTTGCCTTCTAAGTTTTGAGGACCTCTTTTAAAAAAGTAAAAACTTTTTAATAATTAATGCATATGTTTTACATTTTATATGTGGAAGTGGAACCTAAAGAAACAATAATATATCCTGAAAAAAAAGGAACAATAATTTATCCTGAATTCTGATTTTTCTTCACTTTTTTTAATCAATTTGTGGATGAGTTTTTTTTTTACAGGACAAGACAGTAGTGGAAAAAGAAGTAACTGATCTAACTCCGACAAAACCAGACACCAATAACAAAACCAGTCCTTCTTCAGAGATTTCAAAGCTTGATACTACTGCTTTAGGGGCTTCTAATGTCAAAGATTCAAAAGAACCATTTGACGTTCAGACTCGAAATGACCTCGAAGTAAAGATTCCAAAAGATTCTGATGTTAAGACTCCTGACACTCCTAAAGCTAAGGAAGCTGAAGAAAACTTTTCAGACAATTGGGAAGTTAAGTTTCCAGAGGAGTTGGAAGCTAAGAAAACATCTGAAGCTGTTAAGGTTGCAGAAGAGTCAAAACTTCCAGAAACTTATGAGGTTTCTGCTCCTGAATTGTCTGAAATTAAGATTACAAAAGGATCAAATGTTCCTGAAGTCTTGGTGGATAAGAATATTCCAGAAGTTTCGGAAGTCAAGTCTGATGAAGTTAAAGTTGCAGAGTCAGAACTTCTAAAGGTTTCTGAAGTTGAATCTACAGAGGATTTAGAGATTAAAGTTCCAAAAGTATTTGAAGTCAAGACTCCTGAAACATCGAACGTTAAGGTTACAAATGAAGCAGAGGTAAAGACTGATCAACTATTGGAAGTTGAGGTCACAGAAGAAAAGGAGGTTCCAGAATTTGTGGATGCTAAAGAGAAGATCGAAATATCTGATCAAGACAAAGAGATTGTGTTGCCTAAAACAGAGGAAGAAGAAAAAGATGTGTCTTTGGAGAAGCAAGTCAAAGAGTCTACATTGTCTGATTTAGGAAACAAATGAGTTACAAGAGAAACAACAGAGAAATTACCAATCATGAGTAGCTAAATGATATTTTTCCAACCATTTCATGGTTTATAAAACAAAACAAAAAACGATTTAGCATTCTTTAGGCAATTTCAGTTTGTGTGTTTGATATATATCTCTTTATTGTTTTTTTTTTTTTGAAAAAATTATGGGGATAAGTAGTCTATTTGCAAGTCCCCAAGTTGTACACTTTCCAGAAGATCTAAAAATTCATTTAAAAAAAAAAAAAAATTGTTTAACTTTCAATTACAGTTTTAGTAAATTCATTAATGGGTGTTCCATAATCCCATATTTTATTTATAACCAATATTTTACATATTAGAAAATTTAGTTTTCTTGCTTCAAAATATAATCTATGAAAAGTTAAAAACCACCATAAGTGTACAGTACAAAATGATACGTTAACTAATAGTTAGTTAAAACTGGTGTGTGACAAAAAGTAAAGCAAAACAAAATTTAATACAGAAAGCATAACTATTCTAGACTCTACTAGATGTGAATGATTAGTCACATAAATTAATAAATTATATAAAGCCTAAATTTTAGCACATATAAGACAAAAGTTAACACATTATTGATTATTTCAACTAACGACAACCTTCACTTCATTGCACACGACATCATTTTCCTTCTGTAGATCAGTCTTATCATCGGCACTGTTTTTCTTCTCTTTGCTTTTCCCCCACAACACACAATAGAGTCCTATAATCAACAATAATCCACCTACAATACTACAAAAAACACATATACACATGTATAAGTTAATTTATTATATAGATAAGGGAAACTGAAAATAGCAAAGAAGATTTGTTTAGAACCTTCCAAGACTGATGATCTCGCACAAGAGAATCGCTGAAGAGAGAAGAGTGAAAAGGAGAGACAAAGGAGTGAACATTGATAAAAAGACAGGTCCTCTCTTTTCTATAACCCATGATTGCAAATAATATGCTACGCCTGTTACTATGAATCCCTGCATATATGTCACGTTTATATTATTAATACGAGATTATTTATACTATGGAAATAATATTAATCAGGAAATGAATTAAGAGTTAATTAATTACACAGTAAATGACTGCAACGAGTCTTAGGTTCCAACCAAGCTTCCATGCTGAAATATCTCTCTCTAAAGCAATCGCGATGACGAAGGATTGAATCGAACTCAATAGACAATGAAGAGTTGTGAAGTATAGCTTCGAAGGGTAAACCTTCAACACACGACCCTGTTTATTAAATATGAAACAAAACTAATTAAACTAACCGGAAGTTATATCACAATTACTCAAATTAGCATAATAAAAATACTCAATTATTTGCCCTATAAAGTAGTTTCAACAATGCGACAATGTGTGCAGCCATTTGAATAAATACCTGTAAAACGAGCCAGAGACCCCATAAAATGTTGGAGGTGATCATGAGGACACATCCTTTGACCCACGAGGTGGAACCGCCGGAGACGTGGCCGGGATTATTATGGTGAGGATGCTCTTGGCCATGATAGAAATGAGGACATAAAGGTAATTTCAGTAGTGGACCTTTGTAAAGAGCTAAGGTTATTACCCCTCCCATGCACACAGTAATCCCCACAAGCTTTGCTGTTCCTTGTATGCTCTTAACCTTAAGCCTCTCCATTCTTTAAATTAATACACAATAAATAAATCTTAGAAAGAGTAAGTCATTAGGTATTCATATTAATGTGTCATTAATATATGCTTGTAATTTGTAAGTATACCCAAATAAGAGAGCCAAGAAGAATGTGATGGCCGGAAGGGAAGCTGTTGTGGCCGCGGCTAAAGTCGCCGACGTGTATGATAATGCGATACCGTTTAAGTCCAAGCTCAATGTCACACTGAAAATCCCAATATAGATAAAGTTTTACTGATAATTAGTTCAACATATATAAAGTTTAACTGATCATATATACTAAAGAATAGCTAGTATGTATATAAATAAGCCCTGATTGTATTTTTGCATTTGCGCGTTTTTGTTTATGTCTTAAGTTTTATATACTTTCTTCAAATACTTTTTAATGTTTTTCCTTTAAAAACACAACGCAAAATGCAAAAAGAATTTTTTTTTTCCCCCAATTTTGCTTTTGGTAGTAAAATTTCGAAGAATATTGATAAGAAAATTACTGCATATATACATTAAATGTTATATTAAATTTGATCAATAAACACAAAAACACACATATTTGAGTAAATCATATGATATATTTACATTTTTATTTTGTTTTAAATAGAAATAAATCATGATAACATATTAATTATTAAGGCAAACAAAAATATCAAAATTATACTTGTAGCATAACATACATACCCAAATAAAGAGAGCATGAAGATCTTGATGAAGGTCACAAATGAAAGAGGTGGAGCACTTTTCCTAAAGAATAAAAGGAGAGAATACAATTAACATTTATATATAGAAATTAAAGTTACAGAATCTTAATGTGCATACACATCTATTTGCGTATATATACATATAGATATGTACCGCTCAAAGAAGAAAGCCAGAGGAGCCAAGAAGATGGTAGCGAAAGCTTGACGATAGAAAACGAAGACGAAAGTGTTCATTCCACCATTGAAGACGGCTTTGGAGATCAAGAACATGATTGTATATATGACTTGTATTATAGTAACCATCATATATGGTTTCTTTGACTCCATGTCCATCGATCGATTTGATGGTTTTGGTTTTGAATTCCAGGAGATGTATAAATTGGTTACTGTTTAGGGTTGTTCTTTTTTCTCTGATAATCTAATGTTCTTGTTTTGGGTTAGAATAAGAAACTAAGTGGGTTATTATTTATATAAGTACAGACACAAGCACGCAAATTTTGATACTTTTATTACGGTAATATTACAAAGTAATAGAATAAATATTTTTAAAGTACGTAACGAAGAGTGGAGGAAGAGAAAAGACGTTACTTTTGTGTCACAATCTCACTATACCTACACATTATTTTGATGTTGACCTAAAAAAATTTCTCGTTCCGTCCAAATATCCCCACACCTACTAGATTTACTTTACTGTATGGTTGATTTATAGTTACACTGTGAGATCATATATTCGAAGAAATAAACATCATTATTTAACGAAAGTAAAAAATATCAACTTTCATAAAGAGAAACATGTGGACACAATGGTTTTAATTAAACAAAATAACGGTCATTGTTCTTGGATTTACTAATTACACAATTCAGGGAAATCACAAATTATGTGCAATAGTACGTTAGACATTAGGCAATTATGAAAGTTTAACGATTAACTAATTAAAACCATCTGTAGGCAAATTTTTACACCATTTGCAACAAAATAAAACCAAAATTTGATTCTTATTAATTATTGTTGTGGAATTGTATAATAACTAAACATAAATAACTAAATAAGGTTTCTCATAGTTTTTTACCAATTTTTTTTTTCAGAACAATTGTTTTCGCAATATAGTATAATTTAGCTTATCGAGTCTCTCTTGTTCCACTCACACTCTCAGACTAAACATTATCCATATATACATGTAAACTATATATATATATATATATATTACTCTGATTTGCTCATATATAGGGAACAAAAAATGTTATTCCGATTTAAAATATCTACCTAGAGTGTTGGTACACACCATTTTTTTCTGGACGGGTTCGTGGAAACCGTGACAGTGTGTAGTATACCGTCCATAATTGATTTTTCAAAAAGGTTCAAAATTGATACGTAATTTGATTGGTTAATTATACAATTCATGCACTTGAGACTTGACTAGTTGATAAGTATATATTGTAACAGTTAAAGTTTTATGATGCTTTTTAAATTTTTTTTGTTTGTTTGATAAATATGCTTTTTTAATTTGTGCCTATTGATTGAATATTTGGCTGTCTAGACTCAATCATGATCCATAAATCATAACATAGACGCCTAAAGAATAATTAAGTTGTCTTGTCCCTTCGGGGATATCTGATAAAATTAAAGAAGCTTGACGAAAAAAAAAAAAGATAAAATTAAAGAAGCCTAAAAATAAATTAATAATTATCTTGTTATAAAGATAGCGAATCAATTTAAAAGAAACCGTAAAAGTCAAAATATTAAAGGACCAATCAAACTAAGTGTTTGATGACCCATACACATGTGGTTTAGCCTTGAACGTAAAGAAAACAAAAGAAGATAGCGATCGTACAAACGCATACGTCCACGTCATCACGACTCATGGTCATGCAAAATAATCTAAATTAATCCATATATTATTGCCTTATAAATAATTTTGCTTCTATTGCCCTTTTTCCATTTCCTTAAAAAATCACATTTTATTAATTTCGTGCCTGAATGTAGCATGTGTCTAGGTCGTTGGAACCAACATAAAAAACCTGGAAAACATCTTTATTTTGTTAAATTTGTGGATACGTGGACTATCGTTATTTCTTAAGATTATTTTTCTGGTAAACTAATCAAATAATGATTGGCGATGGTATGATAATAATCTTATATATCATTATAGAACAATCCACGAAACGAAACATCGCACGGACCTTCCGCGGGAGGGTCGGCGCCGTCGAAATAAACATGTCATATTTGAAGACTGCTACACATTTATATAATTGTATCAATATTGAATATTAGTCTTTTTTCTAAATTAATACCTCAATATATATACATGTTTTTTGTCGCTAAAAATTGGAAAAAATTCACTTTCTATCAATAAACAGATACAAATGTATCTTCTTTAATTCGTAGTCTTATTGTTGATAAAATTAACCTTTAAAGTTTAATAAACATGCCAATTATGAGAAAGATGAACTCAAGGAATATACGCATCTCCCGATAATCTTTTTCTTCCTCAAAAATTAAAGTGAACTACCGTCTAAAAAAAGAAAAAAGACAATGAAAGAAGAGAAAGCAAAACAAATCATCAGTATATATTTTTACCAAAAAAAAAAAAAAAAAAAAATCATCAGTATATCGCAAATTTAAACGCTGCATTTAGCTTATTACGACGGTTGCCACCGTTGAATCTACCACACACAAAATAATCTCGCCAGTAAAAGTGAAAGACACGTGTCTCCTACATCGTAATTAAGTTGGGCCAAAACGAGTTAGAGATAAAAAGGACCCAAGGAAAATCTCGTTGGTTCGACATTATGGGCTTAACACAAAAGGGCCCATATTAAGCCTTTAAACACGTGACGTGCACGTGAGCAAGGGGTTTTAGTCTTACTCGTGCTTTTTCTCTGTTCTTCTTCTTCTTCGTCTTCCTCAAACTCCTAAAAATGCTAAAACCCTCAGCTTAATGAAATCATTTCCGCCATTATAATCACACATGAAACCTCTCATTCTTCTACTCATTACCTGAGAAAATCATGCAATTCGGATCTTCCAAATCACTCTTCTTCCGCCTCGCCGGTTTCTCTTCCATTTCCGTTTTCAAGCCCCGTAGCGTGATCTCTGTTCTGGTAACGAATTTCTCTTCTTCTAGCTCGATCTCCGGTCACTTCACTTCTCTGAGGCGTCATCAATACGAAGAGGAGTCACGGAGTGTTAGGGTTCATGTATGGTGGGATTTCGAGAACTGTCATTTGCCGTCGGGTGCGAATGTCTTCAAATTGGCTCAAACCATCACATCCGCCGTTAGAATCAACGGAATGAAAGGACCCATCACCATCACAGCCTTCGGAGATTTAATCCAGCTCTCCAGAACTAACCAAGAAGCTCTCTTTGCAACTGGAATCAATCTCACTCATGTCCCTCAAGGTCAATTCTTTTTCAAAGTCTCTTCTCCTACTTCATTTCTATGCAAAGCTTACTTTTTTTACTTAAGGATCTGTTTGAAAAAGTTTACATTTTTATGCGATTTCACTAGGTGGGAAGAACAGTACGGATAGATCTCTGATTACAGATCTAATGTGGTGGGTTTTACAGAATCCACCTCCTGCTCATATCTTCCTTATCACTAGTGACAGAGATTTCGCGAATGTGCTACATAGATTGAGGATGAACAATTACAACATTTTGCTCGCGGGGTACGAAGAAGCTACGCATGGTGTATTGTGTAGTGCTGCTTCGATTATGTGGGATTGGGATGCTTTAGTTAGAGGGAAAAATCCAACTGGTAAATATTACAATCAGCCACCGGATGGTCCTTATAATTCTTGGTATGGTCACTATAGAACTCCTCTTCTTGACCCATTTGCCACATCTTCCACCACTACCAACAAGCAAATATCTTGTACTAGTGTGAAAACCATAGAGTTGGTTGAATCGAATTCAAATGCGACGAATTCGGGTTCTTCTAAGGCTTGTCTTCCTGTTCCGAAAGGAGTTGTTAAGCAGATTGGTTTGATTTTGAGTTGGTATCCTAAGGGAGCACCCATTACAGAACTCCGTGAGCAGCTGAGAAAGAGGAAAGTACACTTAGATAGAGACTTTTACGGATATAAGAGTTTTTCGAGGTTTCTGTTATCTATGCCGAAGATCTTACAGGTTGTTCCATTGGGAGATGGTATGTTTTCTATTCATGCTGTTACCCAGGGAATGAATAACAAAGCCTCATCACCGAATGTAACTAGTGAGAATCACAAAGTTGTTAGTTTGGACAAGATGTGTGAGGATATGAAACAGAGTGATAAAAATGTCAAAGAGGAATCTCAATTACAAGAGAATTCTCAAGAGTCTGTTCAGGTAATTAAGCAGATAGATGTTAAGCCAAAAGAGGAACCAGTTAAAACAACTCAGCTAGCTTTAACTGTTGTGGATGATGTTTCTCCTTCCGAGGAAAAAGACGGATTTCTTAAGAAGCTAAATAGACTATGGTTTGGTTCACCTGAAATAGTGGAATTAGAGCATCTCGAAGAAAAGAAACATATTTCTGGAAATGGAGACGAAGGGAAAGGAGTTGTTGGTGAAGAAAAAGTGGTGAATACGGATTTAGAATCTCGAATTGCATCTTCTACCTCTAGTGAATCTGCTGAGGAGGTAAAAGCAGACACTGAAGTAGGCAACGAGAAATCTAAGAGTCCATGGCTCTTAAGTCGACTTCTGAGGAGATGCACGTTTTCTTGGGGAGGAAATATAGAGCTTAGCAATGCAACAGTAACTGGACCTCAAGTAGATGATGTTTTTGCTAAAGATTCTTTTTGGAAGGATATTGAATCTTTCATTAATTCTCCAAGAGGCTTCGTCCTTGTTTCTCACTCAAGATCAAGGTTCTTATTCTTCTCTTTCCCTTGTCAATGTTTCTGCATTAGCTATCAGGGAAATAACATTCAATTAATGATAAGCTGCTTACGTGTCCAGAGAAGCAATGGCTAAGAATCTTAAGGAAGAAGGACCTTCATCTCTCAAACCGCTCGATGTATCAAAAATGCTTGATTTAGTATCGATGTTAATAACAGAGAAGAAATGGATCCAAGAGAATCCTGCTGATGCTCTACCTTTTAGAGTAACTTGGTTCACCGCGAAAAGCTCTTGTCTTAGCAACCCTCCTGCTACGGAGGGATTGAGATCGATATTTGTGAATATGTCAAAATCATTGTGTGACAAAGCAAATGGTGAGAAAAAAATCAAGGACGTTGGTATGAGCCAGAAACCTAAAGAAAGATTGAGAAGCCAGGTAATTGCGGATTGTCATAAGCTGATAAAGAAGATAAGAAAGGAAAATCCTGGAGGTTATAACATGAGTAACTTCAAGAAAGACTTTTTGGTCAAATTTGGATACCGCTTAGAACATCATAACCTCGGTTATCCGAAACTGCAGTCGTTGATACAAATGATCCCTGAGGCTAGGATTGAATCAGGATACATTGTTCCTTCGTCAACCCCGGTTCCATATGAATCTGATTCATTATTCGAAGATCTTGGTCCAGTTTCCAAAAAGATTCATGAGAATGAGTCATCTGTTTCAGAGGAAGAAGATTATAACTCAGAGACAGACGAAGAAGCTTCAGTAAAACAGAACGACGAGGAAAGGAAGAAGAAGAAAGAAGATGAAACAGAGTGCGATTTACTACAAATTCTGGGTTCCTGGGACACTGATAAGAAGCAAAAGAAGTCTGCAAAAACTTTTGGTGAAGATAAGCTTGTTGAAGGAATATTGTTAAGCTTGAGGAAGAAACCATCAGGTGACTCTAGGATTCAAGATTGAAGAATGTTTAATTTAACCGGGAAACAAACAACGGTAGGCTAAACATTCCGGTTTAGATTATTTTTTGGTGGAATTTCGGTTTGGTGATTGGTTAAAACCGTGGTAATTGGCCAAAAACGATTTTAAGTCGATTTAGACCGTGATTAACAAAATTAAAACACTTTGGAAATTGGGGGAAAAAACGTCAAACATCTCTAAAAGTTGCCGATTCACTTTTTCAATGTGAAAATGTTAAATATAATTATATATTAGTTATTTGTTTAATTTAATTAAACATAAATCAGAAAATGTTCCACATATAAACGAAACATAGTTCAATGGTAAGAACACCGAAAAAGTGAACTTTTATTAACTTAAAATATTAAGGAAAGGCTATATCATTAATCAAGTCCGGGGTACGTTATCTCAACCGGAGACAAAGCCAAAGTTTCCGGCGCCGGAGACGGAGACAATTCCGGCTTCTCCGCTTGAAACTCACAATACTCTCTCAAATTATTCCCTTCCATAGTCGTAAGCCCTAAAGAAGTAAACATAACGGACCAACAATCTTTCACAACCAACCCAATGGCTCCACAACAATCTTTGTCAATTCCACCTTTAACCGCCGGGTCAGCCGTACCGGTTTGACTAAGGAAGAACTTGACAATCTCGTCGGTGCATGACTTAAGCTCCAACCCCGCGTTCCAACAATCCATTAAGTTTCCGGCGCCGGAATGGTCCTTAGCTAGCGTCGTGATCTGCAGAGTCCTTCCCTCGGCGACAGTAATGACATGAAAGGTCGATATGAGATATGACATCATTAGAAATGAGAGCAGAAGAGGCTTCGAAGTAGATTTAGTGGCCATTGCTTCTTTTTGTGTGTTGGATTTTTTGTAAGAGATTATGAGTGTGATGCGACGAATATATAGTGGAAGATTTATGAGGGAGACGAAAAGTTTTTTTGGTCGTTAAATTTTTGTTCGTAATTATCACAAATGATCGTGGTTAATGAATTTAATTACCCTCTATTGCTAAGCATTTACGCCAAGTTTTTATTTGGTGTTAATTTCAAATAAAACCGATCAAACCAGAATTTATTTCGACACTAAAATCGGCGGTAAAACTGCAAAGACCCCAACGTTATTGCCATCTAAATGGGCCAGATAAATTGGGCTATATGGAAGCCCATTAATATCAAATTGAACTATTTTAGTATAAGCCCGTTTCCATGGAAACGTGACTGTCAGTTTTTCAGGCGAGAGAGATGAGCGCGGCGGCGGAGCTGCCGACGAAAGAGGCACACATACTTAAAGGTCACGAGGGTGCGGTTTTAGCGGCGAGGTTTAACGGCGACGGAAACTACGCTCTCACCTGCGGTAAGGATCGAACCATCCGCCTCTGGAACCCACACCGTGGAATCTTAATCAAGACCTACAAATCCCATGGCCGCGAAGTCCGCGACGTCCATGTTACTTCGTAAGAAATCTACTCTTTCTCATCTCCAGTTATTCTCTTGAACTATTCGTGATTTTGATTCAAATTTGTGCAGTTTAAGTTAAGATAGTCAAAATTTATTTGATTCTGGTTCTGTGTACTTTTGATGTTGCTTTTAGCTTAAATTGAGTAAATTAGAGACACGATATTTCAAACCTTTAGGATTCTGTGTTTCATTAATGTATAGCTAATTGGAGTTTTTTTTGTGGTGGAGGCTAATATGATGATTGTGTTTGTTTATTCATGTTTCAATGACTTTTTTTAATCACAGAGACAATGCCAAATTTTGTTCATGTGGTGGTGATCGGCAAGTTTATTACTGGGATGTATCAACCGGACGTGTAATCCGTAAATTCCGTGGTCACGATGGAGAGGTAAATGTCTCAAAAACTAGGAATCTGGATCGCCAAGGGTTTGGTCTGCTTAGTTATATTGATGAGCTCTTGTTTTTTTTTAATGAACAATGATCTTATCAGGTCAATGCAGTGAAGTTTAATGATTCGGCGTCTGTAGTTGTATCAGCTGGTTTCGATCGTTCGCTACGTGTATGGGACTGCAGATCTCACAGTGTTGAGCCAGTACAGGTTTTGCTCCTTTCATGTTCTGGGAATTAGGAATAGTTTTAGAGCTAAATCTAATTGGTCTTTTTTTGTTCATTGATCCTTTTTTACAGATCATCGATACATTTTTGGATACAGTCATGTCTGTTGTTTTAACAAAGACTGAGATTATTGGTGGTAGTGTCGATGGAACTGTTCGCACATTTGACATGCGTATCGGTAGGTATGTATAAACTCATTACAAGAAATAAAATTTGGTATTGTTACTTTCTTCTGAGATTGATTGGGAATTTCTGTTTTAATTGTAATCAGGGAGATGTCGGATAACCTAGGCCAACCGGTTAATTGTATATCGATATCAAATGATGGAAACTGCGTTTTAGCTGGTTGCTTGGATTCTACTCTGCGTCTACTTGACAGGTAAAAGAAACAAAACCAAATTGTATGTTAAAAAAAACTTCAATTTCTCTTGCAGATTTGTCTTAACTCTTGTGAATATCTTTAAAATTACAGAACCACAGGAGAGCTACTCCAAGTCTATAAAGGTCATATTTCTAAGGTTAGTCATTAGTTTGAAAGAGAATGAATGGTTTTAGTTACAACATTTAGCGTATGCCTAATGAATGGTTTTTTCGTTTGTAAAACAGTCATTTAAAACGGATTGTTGCCTCACGAATTCGGATGCACATGTGATTGGAGGATCAGAGGATGGATTGGTTTTCTTTTGGGATTTGGTAGATGCAAAAGTGGTATCGAAATTTCGAGCTCATGATTTAGTGGTAAAGATTCTCTCTCTTCTTTTAACCCGTTTTAAACTTTTCTGAATAGTATTGGTGTTGATATTTCTTCGATTGTTATTTTTTTTTGTGGCAGGTGACAAGCGTGAGTTACCACCCGAAAGAAGACTGTATGTTGACTTCTTCGGTCGATGGTACAGTTCGTGTCTGGAAAAAATGAAGAAACACCAAATCTGGTACAGTTTGAGACTGTTGTTCACGTCTCAAACTCACCTTTCTTGTTCTACTATAGCTGGTTTTTTGGAGTTGAAAACCTGAAATATTTTGTAGAGTACTTGTATCATTGTATGTGAAGAAAACCAATTTTTGGCCTTTCAGTTTTTACTTTTTACAATAGCCAGTTTCTTGGAATAATTTGTATATTCACTTCCACTATGGGAGGAGAGAATTTTGTGCTTAGATGATTCCGAAAGCCCATTTGACAATAGGGGAGAAAACAAAGGAAAGGCCGTTTTACAAAAACAGGATGTGAAACAATCGAAAGCCCAATTATGAATAAAGGGGTGGAAAAAATAACGAGGTAAAAAAGGTGTGGCTGCTGGGATTCGAGCCCAGGTCTCCACGGCCACAACGTGGAATTCTAACCACTAAACTACAGCCACTTTTGTGGCAACTTTTAAAATATTATAGATATATATATTTGCTTCTGGGGTAACTTTTAGGTATTTTGATTGACCATCCGATTGAACTTGGAATCAAGTAAAATTTTTTCTTTTTGTTAAAATAGTCGCCCTACTTTACCTTTTTGAATCTACCAAATTAGGAATTAAGATTCTATTCTTCTCCCAGTTATTCTCACGTTTAAAAAGATAACGAAACTGAAGCTCTGATTTGATTTATGAATTGTTTTATAACTTACAAAAGAGAATCACATAGCTGGAATATATGGGGTAGCAGTGAAGAAGAACATGGCAATGGCATATTAAGAGTTAAGAACAATCTTTTGCATGTGTTCTTTCACGTATTATATTTATTTAATCTCTTATCCGCCGTCTCGTAATTTAATTTTCATTAGGAAGACAGATTCAACTTCACATTATAACAACATATATAATATACTTTCCCCCAAGTGATATATATTCTTTAATAAACTACAAATTGTTTTACTCTTGATTCAAATTTGACATTTTAAAGTCATCTTTCGATCATGACCTCTTAACCACTATTCATAATAAAAATAAAGAGTTACAAGACTTCTAAGCAATAGACGACATCTTAATATTTTTTTATTACATTCTCAATATTTTAATTTGATATTTATCATTTTACTATATAAAAAAAAGTTCAAATGTAATTTTGAGATTTTATTTTTCTTTGACGATTCATTTTTCAATTTTGCTATTTTAAAACATGATATTTCGTATGTAATACTACTGGGCTTTAAATAAAATATTTTTAACTCCAAGTAAAATGTTGATCGTTTAGACTTTAGCGTCTAACGACAAAAACCACTTTGACCTTAAATGTAATTTTACGTACGGTCCGAATCATCTCATTAATCTTACCCGAACAATCCTACTCGGTCGTCGGAAAGTAAACAATCTACTTCGGTCCGAATCTGATCATCAGGCGACGTACGGTTACAGAACTGTTATAACCAACCAATAGGCTCGCGAGTATAATAGTATCAAGAACTGTACTCGTGGAAGTTGAAACTGGCCATGAGCTGTCGGAAGGCAAAGACCTAACGTGACCGCTGCCCGCAAAAATCTCAAACGCTGCCCGAAATCTGAGAGAGGAGAGTTCCTTAATCCGGACCAGTTAAGACTTTTCTTTTTGTTGGTTGTCTAAAGTACAACAAAGCAATCTCACAGCTGTCCGATATTGTTTTATTCATCTTTATATAATTTCCCATAATTTTGTTCTTAATTATTATATAGAATATGACTTTTCAAATTTAATGCAACCACAAATATTTTTTTAAAAAACGTATTAATGGGATAGTCCATGTTATTGTGTTTTGACATTTTTTAGAGTGTAAGAGGATTATGGCTATGAATTATTGAAATATTTTACTGCAGCTATTATTTTCAATACATGTGTACCAATTTATTACTGTAATTTTTGCCGTATACATATACCAATTTATGAGACCATCTCCAATGTATTTCCTTATTTTTACCTCTATCTCTATAATAGAGGTAAATTTTCTCTATTTTTACTCCAATGTGTTCCTCTATTTTTTCCTCTAAAAAGTTAAACTCTATTTATAGAGGAAAAATAGAGATTCTCTATTCTCACTTCTATATATAGAGAAAAAAATAGAGATCTCTATTTTAGAGGTGAGAATAGAGGTGGGTTGGAGCAAATTAGCCTCTAAAATAGAGTTTAGAGGCAAATATAGAGGTGGGTTGGAGATGATCTGATACTTATGATTTTACCAATCTTAAATACCCCTTATGGACTCTCCACCGACAAGAGAATTACCATTTGACACGTGGCATTCACTATTTATTAATTAGTAATTGGAATTTAATTAGTATTCCCCCCTTTCATAGAGTATTAATTTTTGTTTTGAAATAAATGATGTTGTCTTTTCTGTAGTACAAACGAAAGCTAGTTTTTCTTCTATGCATTTCATAATTATGTTGATCATTAATTTTATTATTTTTTTTACATCACCAAAATCACCAGAAACAAAGTAGTACCCCCTCTATTAGTATAAGATATTTTAGAAAAACTGTTTTGTTATATAATTATGGATTAATTTAATATTTTATAATTATTTTTATTATGATTTTCTTTTATAATTGATTGAAATTTTCCAAAATTAATATTTTTTAATTTGCGTGTTTTCTGTTAACCATTTTTATTTGTCGTCATTGTCTTTGATTCTAAGGTTATAACATGTTATTCTTCTGAGAGTTATGAAAATATGGAATAACCACATTGTTACTTTGAGCTCACGTCGTAAATATGCACTTTTTGGTCGTCAATAATATATAAATATTGTAAAAAAAAGAACAACAAAAATTGCCAGCGTAGAAAAAGGTAAATTAGATATTTAAAGAAAGCTACTCATTGCGCACTATCTCGCAGTTATGATTACACTTTTACTAGAAACAAATTGTAAAATAACAACGGGTCAAAAGTCACCCATGAGTCATGTAACACGTGTTTAGATTAATCATATCGTTTTTAACTTTTAACTAAAATTCATGTACACGTAAAGAAATTTCCTACTTATGTGCTTCCACCATAATACATAATTACATTTGAGTTTCCGTTTAGGGAAAGAGCTTGAGTTTTGTTCGGATTAATCATCCGAAATCATATAAAATCTCTTCTTTTTTTGGGTGAATCATTGTTTTGTAGAGTCTTTAATTTTAAAGTAATGACATTATGTTTTTAATTTTGTTTAAAATGACACTTTGTTTATAAGGATTCTTATTTTGGATAGCTAAATTAAATTAACTTTGAAAAAAATAAAAATGGAAACAAAATGAAGGAATCAAGAAGGAAACAAACAACTATATATGTGATATAGCCTAGGTGGTATTTTTTGTTTTGCTTAAAGAAACAACACAACTATGTCGTTTATCAACACCAGTTTCGTTTTCAGTCAACTAGAGAATAAAATGTTAATGAATTTAATCTTTGAACTTATTTCTATCAATATTTAGCTTAATCCAACGAAGAACTGTTTTTTTTTAGGGTTTTTATTTATTTATCACAAATGTTTACTGTGTTAAGTATACTTAAGTGGTGAATATGTTGTAATGGTTTCTTCTTTGCCTAGGTTGATTATAGACTTGACCTAATACATCTATGTTTAATTGACACACTGGATATGTGCTACTCGAAATTAGACTAATTAAATATATAGCAAATATATCTAACTCATTACTAAATATATATATATATATATATATATAACTCATTACTCAATATTTACACACATATATATATATGTGTGTGTGTGAATTTGCTAATCATGAAGCGTAAATTTTTTGTGCAACCTAAGCCTATGCGTTCTGATTGCGTAATCTTAAAGTGAGAACAACTAAATTTTGAGAAAAAAACAAACTAAACACACAAAGAAAAAAAAAAGAATCATGTGAACGACAAACAAACCCCACATAAAATGGTGTATTCGCCACTCGTTAATTGGCTATGTTCCGCGTCGCTCAGCAAATGGATCGTGAGTGTATCAGTTACACAAGTGAAGCCGAAAAGAGGAAAAGAAAAAAAGAATAATAATTGTAGATTTGGTCACTAATTTATGCCATTTCATTGCTGTAAAAGGAGAAATTGAACATCATATTATAGATATTACTGTAATACAAGTTTTGTTTACACCAAGGTGACTACGCGCCAGATAACATTTATTGTGGTTAATATTCTTATGTATTTTCCTAATATTTGTTTTTATTAAAACAACACAAATTTGTGAAGCTGTGGTATGATCGAATCAAGTCGAAGTGCAAACCTATATTTGTGAATCGGCTATACATAAAATCTCTCTTCACGTTGACCAAATGCTCCAGCTCGATCTGCTAGTAAAAAGTAAAAACAGAAGCAATTTTTTTTTTGTTATGTACTTTAGTACGTACTTAGTTAGTGGTATATATATATTTGTAAATTGGGCATTTCCAAAGAACCAAAGTAATGTAAACTATAGATAAGCGTAAAAAATGAAATGAATTTTTCTATTCCATAGTCTTGAAAATTAAAATAATAGTAGGAAAAAGAAGAATATAAGGGCACCGACAGTTTCTATAAGAACATGTGGCACGAGGGTTTGGAGAGGACAGTACACAGCATTCAATCAATCATGAAAACGACATTTGATGTGGTAACCTACTAAAGTTCGATCTTTTTATATATAAGTTTCTAAATATTTCTATAATTTCCCGGCTATCTATTAACAAGTCAAAAGATTAATAAAATTCAACAAGCAAAATACTGGTAAAATATTGTTTATATATATCACGAACTATTTGTCGGCAAATGTATACATATAGTATAGACATCATACATGGGCAAATCGCATATATATGTGTGATGTGATACCATAGTCCCAATAATTGAACATTTTTCTCTTTTTTAAGCACAGAGGAAAAATTAGCGATATGGCGACTTGGCGAGTGGAGCCAAGATTAAAATTAAAAATAACTAAAATATAAACTAAAGCATGTTATCTTAAAATATGGCAGACATAACAAACAAAATATATAGCAAAATAGAGAGAACTGATTGATAATAGTGTGATCAAAGTTGAACAATAACTTAACTATCAAAAAGATAATAGCTATCAGAGGATAGAGATATGCTTTCGTGAAAGACTGAAAGTTTTAGTTACTTGACAAATAGGGTAAAATATTAAACTAATAAAAATGTATCACTCTTAAGATTTAACTATCATTTCTTGTATCTTGTATTCATTTGATATAGGCAAAATATTACAACAACAAGTACCCAACAAATATAAAAATAAAGAGAGGAAAAGTGAAACCAATGCAGTCAACATTCAAAAAAACATGAAACAGTCCGTGCGTAGAACATAATTAACTTATGCTATAAATTAAATAAGTAAAAAATTAAACGTTGTAGTTAGAAAGAACAAAAATATAAACTAGAATATAGGATATTGGACACGTTGCTTACAGATTGTTTTTTGTCTGGGAAGTAAATGCCCATATCTTTTTTTTTTTGTCGTCTGTTTTTATTAATATCACAAAGAAGGATACATTGTTAAAATACATAAGCCGGCGGAAACACTAGAAATCCCCGGAAACTTAAAGCCCAAAAGAGGGAAACGAAAGCCCAAAAGAGGGAACCGAACACGTGGAGAATACAATCCACAAAAACGAAACAAAAGTCAAAAACTTAAACAAAAGCTCGAAAGAAAACGAACTTGCCAATCTTACTCCCACACCATTGTGAACAAAGCCAGCCACAAAGGACAACACGCGTCCATCTTGCAGTTAACGAAACCTCCTATTGTGTAGCCAAGGTACCTCTCAAATCGATTGAACCTAGACTTCTATTCCGACAAGAAAGACGCGAGACACATAGACCAAATCCCACAAAACTTTCGGAAACGGCGTTTGTCGCAAACCACGACCTTTAGTCGCCTCGTTAGAAGACATGAACTGACCAGACCTCGATCAGGTCTTGAGTGTAGAGACAAGGAGCGAAACAAACCTCCAACCGGCAAACACTAAACTCAGGAGGAGAAAAGCAAACGATCGAACCGGAGAGATCACAATAAAGCTCAACAAAGGACAAAAGCAAGCTCAGCAAGACACGAAAATAAGAGAGCTCTAGCAAGCACAGACCAAAGCTTCGGGCAGCAAGAGATAACAGTGATCGAGGTAGCCATACCATAATCCCGGATTACCCGTAGAATCAGAGCCTAAACTAACCTATACAACCCCTTAAGCTACCTAAACCAACGATTATACAACCATAAACCACAAGAAAGAGACCAGAGGCAACTAATAAGCCATCAACACAAACTACAAAGACTACACCAAGCGTAACCATGGGAGAAACCAACGAGAGGAGCAGCCCACCCGACAAAGGCCAACACCACCACAGCCCCAAAAGAACCAAGGGGACAGAAACTCCAACAACCACCGCTCAAGCTCTCGTCACGTACCAGATCCACCATCACCCGACACCACTAACCAGAGCCAACACCTTTAAAGCAAAGAGAACCCGCCAAACCTTGCAAAATCCACCGTTGCAACCACCAAAGACCCACGCCGCGACCAATCCGCCACTCCAATCGTCAAGGTTTCACCAAAGAAAACACCAACAAGACTAAGAACAAGACAAAGGAACAACAACAAGAGCCCTCTCGCGGTGCCGGTGAGGAGCACCGACCACCGGAGAGGCGGATCTCAGATTCGCTTTTTTTGTGACCCTCGACGGCTAAACCTAATCGAGAGCTTTTTGAGAGAGAGAGGATATTTATGACGTTGATCAAAATGAATGCCCATATCTGTTTCTCAACATTTTGAAGTCTCCCTAACAAAAATACAAAATAATTAGAGGAATTAAGAACTTGATGGTGTAACTTTTTTTTTATTATTACATTAAGATAAATACTATTTCATTACAACTATTATTTTCCTGCACATGTTGCAAGAACGTGAGTGTAGCAGACAAATATTATAACGAAAATAAAATTATAATTGATTATATACAATCTCGGCTATGAATTGGTTAAAGTGGTTAATAGAGAAAATTGACTAACCATTCTGAACTGGCTCAAAATGTAGGTTATTCAATCAAACCGAGTTTTAATTCGTCTATATTAATTTTTTAATTTATTTTTATGCTAAAAATTTCAAGAATATATATTCAATAAACCAAATATGATCTAAAATAAATATTAAAAAATCCATCCAAAGGTGATTTGATTTAACTATTTTTAAAACCATATATAAAAACCGAAGCCAAATTACATTCTCTAAAGGCGGTGGTTTTTTTGTTGGTAACCAAAAGAAAACAAAAGACCTAAATTTTAGAGACAAAATAAATGTTAATGGGTGATACAATGCACATAACCAAGAAATATAAAAAATTAATACAGTATTGTTGATTATTAATGGCTAATAATAATGTGTGTTTGGAAGTTTTTACTAATCTCATATAACAAGTGGAGTGGAAGAGAGGTATACACACCGGTTTAATGGGTCCCACGACTCTTTTACTTCTCCTTCCCCACAGAAAAATTAATTAATAATCTCTAATTTTGGTGCTTTTTCCTCATCTACATAATTGCCTTTAATTATCTCACACCATTTAACTAATCACTCTCTCTCTCTGATTCTCTTCTTCCTTACGCGTTTGTACTTAACCCCTTTTATCATCATTTCGCAGGCTTGCGTCTGTCTCTCTCTCCACCATTGACTCTCTCTCTCTGGAATCATCCTTTATTTCTGTGACTGTGTGCACTTTCAGAGAGGAGAGAGAGCCCCAAACCAAAACCAAAAAAGAAGAAAAGGTTGTGGCTTGCAGCTGAATCAATACCATCACCATCTATACAATACACCTTCACTATTCCTTTTTCGTATTTTTCTTTTATATTTTTCCATCAAAGTCTGTTTTTTTAGACTCCGATTTGCCGCTTTGTGTGTGTGAGAGAGAGAGAGAGAGCTATCCTCTGTTTCATGGTCTCTGGATCTCTGAGAATCGAGTTCCGTTGAGTTAATTACACATTCCTCTCTTTCTCAATCGATCTGTGAAAATCCAATATTGTAGCTGTGTCTGTGTTCAGACAATATGAACACCGGTGGTCGGTTAATCGCCGGTTCTCACAACAGGAATGAGTTTGTCCTCATTAATGCCGATGAGAATGCCAGAGTAAGTTTCTGTTTTTTGATCTGGGTTTCTCTATCTCTGTGCTAAAGTGTCTGACTTTTTTTACTTTTCTTCTTCTGGATCTGGGTCTGACCTGTGTAAATCAATCAGGATTTAGGGTTTTTAGTGCTAGTATTGAGATTATGTACCTTTGTAGCTCGTTTTATCAAGAATTGATTGTGTCGGTGGGAAGGATTTTTGTCCTTCATTTCTAAATTCTCCGAATTTTGAGAGATTTCTTCAACTGCAATCATGAATCTGTCAATGTGAAGAGTAAAATTTATGTTATTGGGTTTGATTTTATATTGGCTAAGTGGTGAATCTGGTGTGAGATCCAGTCTATGTTGTTGATTCTTAGTAAGAGGTTTTGATAGTGTCACTACTATGATCTGATATCATAAAGTCTACTGTTTTGTGCAGATAAGATCAGTGCAAGAGCTGAGTGGACAGACATGTCAAATCTGCAGAGATGAGATCGAATTGACTGTCGATGGAGAACCTTTTGTGGCGTGTAACGAATGTGCATTCCCTGTGTGTAGACCTTGCTATGAGTATGAAAGACGAGAAGGCAATCAAGCTTGTCCACAATGCAAAACCCGTTTCAAACGTCTTAAAGGTTTGTTTTTTGTTAGACCAAATTCTTCGGTTTTGCAGTTTTGTGAATGTAAGAGATTTGCTGATTTTTTCGCCTATGTTGTTGTTTGTTAGGAAGTCCAAGGGTTGAAGGTGATGAAGAGGAAGATGACATTGATGATTTAGACAATGAGTTTGAGTACGGGAACAATGGGATTGGATTTGATCAGGTTTCTGAAGGTATGTCAATCTCTCGTCGCAACTCTGGCTTCCCACAATCTGATTTGGATTCAGCTCCACCTGGCTCTCAGATTCCATTGCTGACTTATGGCGACGAGGTAAACATCGCATAATGTATCAACATTTTATAACCCATCTTAGGTAGTTTTATCTACTGGCTCTCTCAGATTTCTCTTTTGTTTATTACAGGACGTTGAGATTTCTTCTGATAGACATGCTCTTATTGTTCCTCCTTCACTTGGTGGTCATGGCAATAGAGTTCATCCGGTTTCTCTTGCTGACCCGACCGTGGCTGGTAAAGATGTTTCGATTTAAGTTTAGGATATGAATAAATATCTGTTTTTATTTGTCTATGGTTACCGAGTTTTTGTTTTCTTTGCTACGTCTAATTCCAGCACATCCAAGGCCTATGGTACCTCAGAAAGATCTTGCGGTTTATGGTTATGGAAGTGTTGCTTGGAAAGATCGGATGGAGGAATGGAAGAGAAAGCAGAATGAGAAACTTCAGGTGGTTAGGCATGAAGGAGATCCTGATTTTGAAGATGGCGATGATGCTGATTTTCCAATGTAAGACAAAAAAAAAACGAAATTTTTGGTTTATGTCATGTTCCGTTGCAGTGATATTTATCAAGCCTTTTTTTTCTCTTTCTTTCCATTTTAGGATGGATGAGGGAAGGCAGCCATTGTCTAGGAAGATACCAATCAAATCGAGCAAGATAAATCCCTACCGGATGTTAATTGTACTACGTCTTGTGATTCTTGGTCTCTTCTTTCACTACCGTATTCTTCACCCCGTCAAAGATGCATATGCCTTGTGGCTTATTTCTGTTATATGTGAGATATGGTTTGCGGTTTCATGGGTTCTTGATCAGTTCCCTAAATGGTACCCAATTGAGCGAGAAACATACTTAGACCGACTCTCATTGAGGTACTTAAATCTTGTTGGTTATTACACTTGGAAATGTTAAAACTATGTTTTGGGGATATAATCTTTTGTTTTTGTTTGCAGATATGAGAAAGAAGGGAAACCATCGGAACTATCCCCTGTGGATGTATTTGTCAGTACAGTGGATCCGTTGAAAGAGCCTCCGCTTATTACTGCAAATACTGTCTTGTCTATTCTTGCAGTTGATTATCCTGTCGATAAGGTTGCTTGTTATGTATCTGATGATGGTGCTGCTATGCTTACTTTCGAAGCTCTTTCTGAGACCGCGGAATTCGCAAGGAAATGGGTTCCTTTCTGTAAGAAATATTGTATCGAGCCTCGTGCTCCCGAATGGTATTTCTGCCATAAAATGGACTACTTGAAGAATAAAGTCCATCCCGCATTTGTCAGGGAGCGGCGAGCCATGAAGGTTACTAGTTCTGTCTTTTTTATAAATTTGAGTTGATGAGAAAAGTTTAGGTCTTATTGATTCTTGCTTTTTATTTTTCATGAGAAAAGTATCGATATTTTGTTATATGGGCTCTTATGAAAGAAGGTGGCGGCTTTGAAAATTGATTTGTAAGGTTGTGTGTGTTTTACTGGTTTTGACAGAGAGATTATGAAGAATTCAAAGTTAAGATCAATGCATTAGTAGCGACAGCACAGAAAGTGCCTGAGGATGGTTGGACTATGCAAGACGGTACACCTTGGCCCGGTAATAGTGTGCGAGATCATCCCGGCATGATTCAGGTGAGTTTCAAATGCTTCTCATTTCTGAAAAGCCTTTCTATGTGTTGTGCTTCAAAAATAAACTTTACTTGTTTTCTTGTTAAAGGTCTTCCTTGGAAGTGACGGTGTTCGTGATGTCGAAAACAACGAGTTGCCTCGATTAGTTTATGTTTCTCGTGAGAAGAGACCTGGATTTGATCATCATAAGAAGGCCGGAGCTATGAATTCCCTGGTAAATGATATACTTTTTGAACCTCTAAAACTTTTTCTTTGTAAATTCATTTACGCCTTGCCATTTATTGAAATGGTTCCTGACTCTTGATTCATCTTCAAAAATTTGTTGAAGATACGAGTCTCAGGGGTTCTATCAAATGCTCCTTACCTACTGAATGTCGATTGTGATCACTACATCAACAATAGCAAAGCTCTTAGAGAAGCAATGTGTTTCATGATGGATCCTCAGTCAGGAAAGAAAATCTGTTATGTTCAATTCCCTCAAAGATTCGATGGGATTGATAGACACGATCGATACTCAAATCGCAATGTTGTGTTCTTTGATGTAAGTACAGCCACCACTTTCCTATTGTATCCCTTTTTCTTGAGATTTCTGTATACTTCCAACTAATGAATCTTTATTTACAGATCAATATGAAAGGTTTGGATGGGCTACAAGGGCCTATATACGTCGGTACAGGTTGTGTTTTCAGGAGGCAAGCGCTTTACGGATTTGATGCACCGAAGAAGAAGAAGGCCCCACGTAAGACATGCAATTGCTGGCCAAAATGGTGTCTCCTATGTTTTGGTTCAAGAAAGAATCGTAAAGCAAAGACAGTGGCTGCGGATAAGAAGAAGAAGAATAGGGAAGCGTCAAAGCAGATCCACGCATTAGAAAATATCGAAGAGGGCCGCGTCACTAAAGGTATAATACAAATCCCGTTTGACGTAAACTCTTTCGGTAGTCGGTGCATTTTACTAAACTTTTTTTTTTTTAATTCTAGGCTCTAACGTAGAACAGTCAACCGAGGCAATGCAAATGAAGTTGGAGAAGAAATTTGGGCAGTCTCCTGTTTTTGTTGCATCTGCTCGTATGGAGAATGGTGGGATGGCTAGAAACGCAAGCCCGGCTTGTCTGCTTAAAGAAGCCATCCAAGTCATTAGTTGCGGATATGAAGATAAAACTGAATGGGGGAAAGAGGTAAGCAGCCAGTTTTAAGCCTTTCTTGTGTTTGTGCAATCGATTCTTGATTCTGATGATGAACCTTGTGAAAAAAATCTCAGATTGGGTGGATCTATGGTTCTGTTACGGAAGATATTCTTACGGGTTTTAAGATGCATTCTCATGGTTGGAGGTCTGTTTATTGTACACCAAAGTTAGCGGCTTTCAAAGGATCAGCTCCAATCAATCTTTCAGATCGTCTCCATCAAGTTCTTCGATGGGCGCTTGGGTCGGTTGAGATTTTCTTGAGTAGGCATTGTCCTATTTGGTATGGTTATGGAGGTGGTTTGAAATGGCTTGAGAGGTTGTCCTACATTAACTCCGTTGTTTACCCGTGGACTTCTCTCCCCCTCATCGTGTACTGTTCTCTCCCTGCCATCTGTCTTCTCACTGGAAAATTCATTGTTCCCGAGGTAAAACAATCATCTTGAGTTCTCAAATGTTCTTTATTTCATGTTTTGTTAAAATTCATTGTCCTCGCCCCTCTGGGTAAAACATATCATCTTGAGCTCTCAAAGTATGAATCTTTATTCCAAGTTGTGTGTTTTAAGACCTGAAAACGATTCTTGTTCCTTCTGTTTGCAGATTAGCAACTATGCGAGTATCCTCTTCATGGCGCTCTTCTCGTCGATTGCAGTAACGGGTATTCTCGAGATGCAATGGGGCAAAGTTGGGATCGATGATTGGTGGAGAAACGAACAGTTTTGGGTCATCGGAGGTGTTTCTGCGCATCTGTTTGCTCTCTTCCAAGGTCTCCTCAAGGTTCTTGCTGGTGTCGACACTAACTTTACAGTCACATCAAAAGCAGCTGATGATGGCGAGTTCTCTGACCTTTACCTCTTCAAATGGACTTCACTTCTCATCCCTCCAACGACTTTACTCATCATAAACGTCATCGGAGTCATAGTCGGCGTGTCTGATGCCATCAGCAATGGATATGACTCGTGGGGACCGCTTTTCGGAAGATTGTTCTTTGCACTTTGGGTCATCATTCATCTTTACCCGTTCCTTAAAGGTTTGCTTGGGAAACAAGATAGAATGCCGACCATTATTGTCGTCTGGTCGATCCTCCTCGCCTCGATTCTTACACTTCTATGGGTTCGGGTTAATCCGTTTGTGGCGAAAGGCGGTCCTATTCTCGAGATCTGCGGTTTAGACTGCTTGTGATTTGATTGACCGATGGATGGGTTGGTGAAAAAGGTTTTTATTCCCACGGATCAAAGAGAGGTAAAAGAGATATTGTTTTACTTCTAAGACTCCTTCATTGTGTTCATTAGATGATGAAAAAAAGAAAAGAAAAAGAAGATTTAATTTTGTTACGAGATTGTTATTTTTGCAAGAATGTGTTGTAGATATAGAGATGAAGAAGAAAGTTGTTGTCTATTTGTTTTGTTCTTTGGTGGTGAGAGAAAAGATTTGTCAAACTATTCTTTAATTGAATATTTCTGATCTCTTTTGAATATTACAGAAGAGCAGTTTCAATCTGTAATCCTTATCTAATAATTCACAAGTCACTTTACTATTAACTGCAACTCTATCTATCTGACACGTGGATTAAGTCCCAAATTTTCTACTTTCACTTTTTAAAACAATTAAACTTTACTTTTCTCATTAAAAAAAAATACACGATCGAAAAAAAAAAAAACCTCTTTTACAACTTCTTTCTTCGCCTCCTCCACGATCTTGATATCTCCACTTCGCTTCTCTTTATCTTCTTCTTCAACAATGCAACAACAATTCACACAAAAAAGCTTCCAAATCTCTTCATTTTCAGATTCCGGTTTCCTCATAACTTTTATCGGGTAAAAATTGAAATTCTTGCATATTCTGATTTTAGGGTTTCATAAATCGCATGTCGCTTCTTTTTGCAATTTAGTCATCATTGTTTAATCTCATGTCTCAACAAATTCTCAGTTTATATTTTAACAACTGGAATAAGTTTGATAAGGAACTTGAATTATATCAAACGAATGGATTCATAACTTCAAAAGGTTGATTTTGAGATTGAATGCTCGTGTTTGCAGGGTATTGATCTGATAGCTTGAGGCAAGAACAAGAAGACCAAGAGGACAGCTCCAAAGTCAGATGATGTCTACCCTAAGCTTAATGTCAAGGTTACAAATTCAGCAACGATCTCTGTCCTTTGTTTTTTTCCCTCATTTGATAGGTTTTCTGGTAAGTAGAACTCAGAGCAAGTTCAATGTTGTGATATTGAAGAGGCATTTTATGAGAAAATCAACAAAACTTCTCTTTCTCTATATAGGCTTGTGGAATTCATGGCTGGCATGGTTCCATTTCGTTGATCCCTCTCTCTCTCTTTTGTATCTTTATGTTGAAATCAGTCTTAGATCTTGATTAATCTGTTTCATTTCTTTAGAACCAGTTTCCAATTTGTGAAACTAAAGTGGTCACTGATAATCGGAACTTAGTCTGCAACATAGATGTGTTCAATGTTCGGTTGAAATTTTGTTATCTAGATCGTATTTTAAATGTGCTTCATGTTCTGATATTGGTTGGAATTAAGGGTACACAAGATTCCAGCTATGAAAGTTACTGCCTTGTGGTTCCTTGAGGTTCACAAAGAGAGCAAGAAGTCGCATTGAGAAAGCTGGTGATGAATACTTAACCTTTGACCAGCTAGCTCTCATGATTCAACTCTCTCGGAGACAAAGAGCATGAGGTCGTCGACGCCGAAATTGAAGGACGAGAACCAGATTAGAAGAAAACTAGGATTTTATCAATCATTGTATTATTCTATTTGTTTGCAATTAGCAGTGTTAAGGTTATATGTTCTTGGTCTTTCGATCTTATCATTGTTAAAATCAATTTGTTAAGTTTGGTGCGTAATAGGCTAATAGCAGATACCACATCTTATTATGTACTCTTTGATTTCATCTCTTTTATATTTAATTCCAACTATTAAAAAGATTACTATGTTCGATAAGGCCGTGCAACGCACGGGTTAGTACACTAGTCGTTTATGATTAAAGAACTTTGATTTATTTTCATTAGTTTCTCTTATATATTCCGTGTTTGAAAAATTAATTTCCTTAAGGTTTGATTGGTTTGATTTTCAATCCGCATGAAGTATTTTTGCTTTAGAGACGTTTTAAAGCATTCATACAAATATTTGTTCATAAACTTAGAAAATTACGAACTTTAGCTGAGGGGCCCAAAACAAACTACACAGGCCCAATACGGCCTTTTATACTTGTGTTGGTTCTGTTTGACAAGTGACACGATGCTTTCATATCTGCAAGCTGCTGCACTCAGAATTGGTTAGTCTTTTTGGTTAAGAGAATTTTGAAATTTTTTTGCTTCTCATAATCTCATTTGTACGTGTCATTATCTTTTTGTATGTTCTAATTTTATCATATGTCTCCACATAGATATCAGAAAGAGAACTTTAGTTTCGAGGTATTTTGAAAAAAATGTTTCTAATTTGGTCACATTTCAGGAAAAATACTCGTGTGTATATAAGTCTACTGTTACTTTGGCGGCTGAAATAAAAATGTGGGTTCGTGTGTTTCAGTACGTAAGTGACACGGAAGCATAAGGATTTTATGGAATGTTACTAAGAATCTTAATACTAGTAGTTATTATTAATTACGATGTGATATTTTAGTTTGACTACTGACTATTTTGGGATTTTGTTTGACCAAATAAAGTAGTGGTTGACTTTGTCGGTGTTGCATGAGAGTTGTATTTTTTAGGCAAAGTCAGCCATATTCTGCCACGTCTTAGACACGATCTTAGTTTTCTGTCTTTTAAGTCGATTGCGAAATACAAATTGGAGAAGAAGATAATAATGTAACTAAACTAACTATTACTAGTTATTTATAAAACTATAAACTACTTCTGTCCTTTCTATATCTTTAAATTTCTAAAGCATTTATTTGCCGACCGAAAGCAATTCACAGCATTTATATTTATACATTTTTAAAGTATATGAGTAAATAGTAATGAGTTTTGTGTATGAGACTTATATGTCTCTTTATATGAATTTATTAAGAATTTATATGATTATAACGTAAACTTTGCATTTCCTTGATAAAAATATTGTTTAAACTTTAAAAGTCATGATTTTTAAAAATATACTATTATAACACGTAAATGTAAGCAAAATGCAAATAGTAACGCATAAAAATAAGTAAGATAGAGTGGATCACAGCATTTAAGTAAGAACACTATATGCTACTATTATTTATTTTATTTTGACGATAATATTATTTTCATTCGTAACAATTTCTTAAATGAAGACTTAGTCAGGTAAGATAGTAGATTAAGTTTTCCTTCCTGTAAAGACTTGGTCTATAAGAGACCACTAGACGAGAACATCTAGAAAATTATAACTTTCAAAAACCTTGGATTTTCTTTTACATATGCATGCGGTCTTCTAAATTGAAAAATATATCTGGCCTATTTGACGTTATAAAAATACAAAGATCATAATGCCGTACATATATGGTTAGAACTTTGTCAACTCAAATTCTTCGATTTAAAAGAGCATAATATCTTCAGATTAAGATTTACAGTAGTAATTTTTAATTTGAAATATAACTGAATATAAGGTTTTATTTAATATTTACTTACCGTATATTTTCTTAATAAGACTGATCTTTTGCAAGTATTTACAGGTGGTTTCTTACAATCAATGGATCAGGTTTTCATTTGTTAAATAGTTTAACATTAAAAAAACGTTACCTAAAAATAAGAACCCAAATTGGAATTCTTTTTCGTTCATATATCAAAAAAATATAAAAACACCGTGGTAGATACATTGAATCGAGTAATCAACATAATGTTTATTATATAGATAAAGAATCAAAGATGCAACGCTTATGTCGTGTCTCTTACACCTTTGGTAGTTAGTTATATTAATGGTTTATTATAGTAGTATTTGTTTTGGCTTAGTTCATACTGTCTATAGTAGCTAGCACTAAAAAGAAGAAAAGAACATAGTAGAATCCGATTTCATGTCGACACCACCTTTTCAAATCATATTTGAACTATTATGTGTATATTTTAATTTATTCAACGGAAGTAAAGTTTTTGTATGCTGTTTCCCATTTCTTAAATGTGATTGCGTCATCACGTGTTGTTTGCGACTAAGCGGGTGATTAAAGCTGTGTTATTTGTATCATTTACTTATCCGTACAAATAAGCTCTGATAATTAACGAGACATTAATTAATAAATAACGCATTACTAATCTTATTTATATAACTATTTCTAATTGTTTTGTCGTACATCATCTAGATAGACAACTTATCAAGTGGCGATACGAAATTGTCAATTGTTGATATATTTATATATACAAGTGGCCACAGTTTACAGAGTTTATTCCATTACCTCATAATCTCATATAAAACATAAGTACATAATTAAAAACACAACTACTGTTCTTTTGGTTGTCTCCTAAAATCATTAAAATACTTTAAATGTCACAATTTATGTGAATAAAAAGAAAAATTCCATTTGAAATGGATACGATTTTTAGTACCTTTTGTACATAAATTCTTCATTATTACACATCGCACTCGTGATATCAGTTTTAGGTACCTAGTTTGATACGATATTCTTCTTATTTATTTTCCTGAAAAAGGACAAGTTGATGAAAAAGACATTATCGTACGCCTTAACTTAATTTAAACTGATCACGCCTTGTTCTACGGTTTTGCCATGTTAAACTAGTTTTAATATTACAAGTAGGATGGATATTCGTATAATAATAATATGTAATTAATCCTTATGCTTAATTGACGTGTTGATGTGAACTTAATTAGGGATTAGGTTAGGCGATAAGCACACATAAACATGGTGAAAACATAAATTTATATAATAATCATTATGTTTTCGTATATGGATTGATCTTTGAATCTCTTGTAGATTCTATCTCTTATTTTTATTTTTTTAGTATTAACATTAAATATTTATATTATTTTAAAAATTATGACAAAAATTACAAAGCAAACAAGTAACATAAAACTAATAATTACATAAATAAAAATATAACATCACAACTCAATCTGTAAAGGAAAACAAGTAAGAGTTCATGGTTAAGCCGCATAAAGAAACACTGATTCTAAACTGTAAAACATAGAAATTTGCGTGATTTCCACAGATCAATTAACGTAGAATCCTCATTGTAGTTGCCACGAGCATCCAACTAAGACCGTTCTTAAATCTCGGGATAGAAATTTACAACTTCTCCGAAAAGTATCTCTAAATTTGTTTTGTTTTACTAATTTTTTTTATTTGATGGACGTGTTTAGGTGTTCTTATCGCCTAAGTGATTTCTACGGTATGTAGTGAAATATAACTAAACTGGATTAGTATCAAGCAGGGAATCTTATATTTAAAAAGGGAAATGACAGGTGAAAAGCTTTATCCAACATTTTTGAGAAAATAAACTGTCGCACTGAATGATTAGTTAATAGGGACTTGAGCATCAGGCTAAGAAAAATGTCACATCAGTAACAAAGTTTTTTTTTTTCGTCTTAGCAGTTTATATAATTTTCATATTAGTAGCTTCGTTAAATTTGTGACAGTTTTCTTAAAACTAAAATAACAAAGTGAAATTAAGTGCGAAATTAACCCTTGTTACTTTCTTCTAATAATACGAAAGTGTCGCGTGTGACCAACTACGTCAACTTGTGAGCACACTTGCTTAGATTGGTTCAAATTTCAAAACAAACGTCAAACGATGCCGTTTCGAGATTATCCTCAAGTTATGTCTCATACTAATTAAAATTAATATAAAACCCTAATTAAAATATAATAAATATGTTGTGTGTTCAGACTAGAACGTACGAGTACATCTGCAAGTTCTGAACCATCCTGAGCTTAATTGCAAATGTGGACAAAAATATGCATTTCTTAACCAAAGAAAAAACATACTATCAAATCCTTTTTTTTAAAAAAAAACAAGCGTTCCTATTATCTTTTTCTTTTTCCCTAGTCGAATATCATTTTAAAGCATTCTACATAACTCAATCTAAACATAGAATGATACCGAAAAAATTATATTAAAACATGAAACTACTGGAAGTGCCACAATTCCAACCAATCACTTCCATAGTTGTTTACAAAAATATGGTAATCACATTCTTTTCTTTTCCAACGCAACTATAACAGTTTAAAAGTCTTTCTAGGAAAAATTATACTATATACAAATTTAAACATAGATTGTGAAATGATAATTTTTTTTTTGGTTTTAATATTATGACACGACAATGGTATTAGACTATTAGACCACCATTAGACTACATATTTTCGAGTTTTTAATATATATTAAAAGAGTCCATTGGTTGGGAGAAATCTATTTATCTAAAGAGAAACATAATAATAATAATAATGATAAATGTATATAGTATTAATATATTACTCTCCATTCAAGCAAGAAAAATCGAAAACGAAGAAGTGGGTCAAACGGTCAAAGATAATATAAACACAAGAAGAAGACGAAGGTTGAAATAGGTGGGCCGTAGAGTGAGGCCCAAACGGTCACGAGCATTAGCCTTTCCAACACCGACACCGTCCACAAACGGAGCCTTTGACGTCGACCCGAACCGACACGTGCAACACACGCGCTTTCGTACGGAAGGGCTCATCTCTCAACTTGACCTTCAAGCGCACCGTTTAGACAAAATGCACAAATAATCTTATTTTAAATAATATTCCATTTAATGGTTTTACCTATATTTCAGCAATTCAATTTTTAATAGTAATTATTAAATCACCGAACCATAAATATAGTAATTAATACTCGTGTCTGGAATGTCTCCATATTTTAACAGTGAATTTATAACCTTTTTAAAGTTTTACTGTGCAAGTTGTCTTATGACTCAGAGCTAAAAATACATCTTAATTCATTACCATATTAATTTAATTTCCTAGGCTTTGTTAAACTATAGTAATTTATAGAGTATAGCTAGGTCGCATATAGTATATATAGAAAAATAATGACCCACAAGTTGCGAAAAGATTCAGATACGTTTCATATAAGATAAGACCCAATTCAATTTATACAAAATATGTTCAAATTGACTGAAATCATCAAAACCAAATTTTCTTCTGTTATTATAGATCAAATTTATAAAACTTTCTATTTGCTACTATATTTTGTATGTATAAAAAAAGAGTTATTAAAAAAACTGCGTGTTTCCAGTTCACACGGCGGTAACAGAGATAAACCGACTCTTTTCATTTGGCGGCGCTGAAACAACAAAAAAGAAATTAATTAACTAAATTTGTATATCTATCAGCTAAACCTCGTTCTTTGTCTTAAAAAAACATCTTCTAAAATCTCTGTCTTTCTTTCTTTCTCTTTGTCTCTGTTTTTTGTTTCTCTCTCTACATACAGAGTTTTCTTTCCCTCGAAGAAAAAGAATATTTTTAAATTTAATTCTCAGGGTTTATAAGCTTTAAGTCTCAGAGGAGAAGGATTCACAAGGAAGGATTTGTATGTGTGTCTTAAAAGTGGCAAATCAGGAAGATAACGTTGGCAAAAAAGCCGAGTCTACTAGAGATGATGATCATCGGACGTTATCTGAAATCGATCAATGGCTTTACTTATACGCGGCCGAAGACGACCACCTCCGTCATAACTTCGCTACGCAGCCGCCTCCTCCATCGTCGTCCTCGTCCTCATCTCTTATGTCTGGTTTCAGTAGAGAGATGGAGATGTCTGCAATCGTCTCTGCTTTGACTCACGTTGTTGCCGGAAATGTTCCTCAGCATCAACAAGGAGGTGGTGAAGGTAGCGGAGAAGGGACTTCCAATTCCTCTTCTTCCTCGGGACAGAAAAGGAGGAGAGAGGTGGAGGAAGGTGGTGGCAAAGCCGTTAAGGCTGCTAATACTTTGACGGTTGATCAATATTTTTCCGGTGGTAGTTCTACTTCTAAAGGTAAATTTTCTTGGTCTTTTTTTATTTGCCATCTATAAACACACTTACTCTATATCGAATTTAAACCACGGTAGCGGCAATAACATTAGTACAAACCATTTGCTACAAATCTCGGTTGTGCATCCACAAAACATAAAACTATTTAACACTTTTTGTTTTTAGTTTTTAATTTATAAGATCATATTTGATAAATGTTTTCAATGAATATATGATGTAATATATACACCAATGTATGAGTCACATCATATGTTTGTAACACAAAATCTAAATACAGTTGCGCTTTTGTTGTCCTCACGCAATCTACAAAACAACATGTCTTATATCGAAAAACCAATGCATATGTTTCTTAAAAAGACAACCAATGCATATATATCATTTTAGTTCAAATGTTTAGTTTTTTTTTTCTTTTCAAAAATATGGTGTAAGTTAGATATACTTTATTATAATAACTTAAATTTAAATAAAAATGAAGAATAGAAAATGGTAATTAGTGTAAAGATGTAATTAAATATCCGAAGTGTTGACAAAAATAAAAATAATAACGAAAGTGTACTTGATTATCCTAAGACATATACTTTAGGATTGTTATAAAAGGTTGGATATTTAATTAAGAAAATGATGATGATGATATGCCAAAAGAATTTATCTCTTTCCAATTGCATCAAGAGTCGTTTTCCACTTCCTTTTTTTTTTCCTACTTGTTCATTCCTCTTGTACCCAATTTGCCTCTTGTCAACATATCTTTCTTTATTGTAGACATTAATTCTCGATTCTTTTTTCACATGTAAAGAAATAGTGTTAATTCACGAGTCAAAACAAAAGTGTGAAATTTTATATGTTTGTTTGTTTATTTGCAGTGAGAGAAGCTTCGAGTAACATGTCAGGTCCGGGCCCAACATACGAGTACACAACTACGGCAACTGCTAATAGTGAAACGTCGTCGTTTAGTGGGGACCAACCTCGGAGAAGATACAGAGGAGTTAGACAAAGACCTTGGGGAAAATGGGCGGCTGAGATTCGAGATCCGTTCAAAGCAGCTAGAGTTTGGCTGGGTACGTTCGACAATGCTGAATCAGCAGCAAGAGCTTACGACGAAGCTGCACTTCGGTTTAGAGGCAACAAAGCCAAACTCAACTTCCCTGAAAACGTCAAACTCGTTAGACCTGCTTCAACCGAAGCACAACCTGTGCCCCAAACCGCTGCTCAAAGACCGACCCAGTTAAGGAACTCGGGTTCTACAACTACCCTTTTGCCCATACTACCTGCTTCAAATCAAACCGTTTATTCGCAGCCGCTGATGCAATCGTACAACTTGAGTTACTCTGAAATGGCTCGTCAACAACAACAGTTTCAGCAATATCATCAACAATCTATGGATTTATATGATCAAATGTCGTTTCCGTTGCGTTTCGGTCACACCGAAGGTTCAATGATGCAATCTACGTCGTCATCATCATCTCATTCTCGTCCTCTGTTTTCCCTGACTGCTGTTCAGCCGCCGCCAGAATCAGCTAGCGAAACCGGTTACCTCCAGGATATACAATGGCCATCAGACAAGACAAGTAATAACTACAATAATAGTCCATCCTCCTGATGACTTGCTTCATTTTTATTTGTTTCACTATAGAGTAATAGGAAAAAAAAACGATTATATGTTATAGGGTTACTTTTCCCCAAATATTATAGGGTTTAGGTTTGTATTGTTTTGCTTTCATCCTCGCATGTGTTCTTTTTAAATTTTTAATATATTTTTGCATTATAATTTTGTTTCGTTGTAACAAACACTTGAAAGACGACATGAAAAAAAAAAACGAATAGAGTTTTTTTGTATATAATCTTGCAAGGCTTCCTAAAGACCAAAGAAAAAAAAAGTGTTCGAACCAAGCAAAGAAACAAAACTCAAATGATGGATGATGTAAGGACGAGAACCTGAACACTGGTGTGTGTGTGTGGCTAAACAGGCTTCTCAAGCTCTTAGTGCAGCTTTATGAACCATTGTTTCTTTGTGAATCTGGTGACAACTCTTTTCAACAAGATCCAAAAGCTTCTCCAAGTTTGTTGCCCACAAGTTGAGAATTTCGTTGCTGTCTTTAACAATCTGGAAGCAGATTATTCCGGATGGTCTGTCGATTTTTGCTATCAAGGCTTTGGACACAACCATTTCAGATAGATGCTTCTCTGCTTCCTGAAATAAAATGAATCAGTATAAAGAGATTTAAACATATACTGGTTACACTTAGATTGTTTCGAAACTATATTTTACCTCAGTGGTTAGGCATAAAAGTTCTGCAAGTCTCTTTAAGGTAATCCTTGAATAATACTTTGAGACGACGAGAATATTCTGCAGAAGATGTGAAAAATTTATAAAGTTAAGAGCAGTAACAATTAATACAAACAAAGAGATGAAGGCAGATTAGAGCTCAAAGAGGCTTTACGTGTTCGATTATTCTTAGTTTGAGATCTTCACCAGCTTTGTCACCCAAAGAGCCTCCAATCATGTTTTTCTCACTCTCAAATTCGTCCTTGTATTTATTCCAGAGAGATGTCCACTGAATCACCTCCATTGTAACAATCTGTTTAAGAAGCATCCTGCAACATAATATAAACACAAGGATTGAGATTTTGTCTCAGATGGGGAAGAGGGAAAGAGAAGTGAAAACAAAATTTTTATCAAGACAAAGAGAATTACTTGAAATCAGGAATCTCTGATAATTTTTTATCTTCTAAGGTTGCATTAAGCAGGCTCGATTGCATCGGATCATGTGGTGCCAAGGCCAAAAACCAGCAGATCTTCCTCAGGACCTATGTTGAGAGGATCATAAGAGAAAAGTTAATCCAAGCTTAATAAAGAACGTAGACTACCAGAGCATCCAAACAACGATATGAGACTTACTGGAATCCATTGTTCTGGGTTTTCCTTTACTGAAGGAATATCAGATATCGCCTTGTAGCTACGGCATATCTCAATGTACTCATTGTTGTGAGAATAATACCTACACGATAGAATCAGCACATTATATATTTACTAATAAAGATCAAACAACCACAGAAGTACTGGTACGTCGAAATTCAGAGGAGCATATTCAAATATTTTGTCATCAATAACTGGCGAAGAATGTATTAGACCAAAACAGGATCTTACCGAATCATGAGCTCATAGTAAATTCGCTTTAGCTCCAACAATGTTGGTATATCAGCTGGAGCCTCCTCTACCATGTTATCACCTTCCTTAGGTTTCTTTTTCTCTTTCTTGGTGTCTGCATCAAACACTCTTGGGTTGATCTTCCTAGATAAAATTTGTGCACGGACAAAATCTCGTCGATCCAAACACAAGCGGACCTTCAGAAGTTTACATTAACAACAATCAGCATCACAATATACAAAAACGAGAACAAATCTCAAGGAATATGAAAAGATAACAGAAGGTCTTACTTGTTCAAGGATGAAAGCAATTTTCTCAGTTTTTGCCATGGCACCAAATGTCTCCACCTGTAATTCAGTAATTCATAATCATAGTCAACGTACATCGATTAACTAAAGAGAAACAATTTCCAAGAAAGTTGGAAACTAGAGGAACTGAGGATGAGAAGCTTACAGCAACTTCTTGCATAAGATCTGCAGCTTCAGCAATCAAACCTTGTTCTTCCTTAATCTTAGCAAGCTTCTTGGTCAAACGAGCTCTCTCGATTTCGACATATATCTACCCATGCACACACACACAGATTCATCAAGAAAAAACTTTCACGGAGTGATAAAAGATTCAAGCAAATATAACAACAACAATAGCCAACTCTAATCCGAACCTTTCCAGCAGATACATTGTTTAAGGTCTTAATAAGCTCAACCCGAGTTTCGATATCCGGTGTCTGATCAATATACTGCATTGCTTGTTGCACCATGGATTGCACAGCCTGAAAAATCAAGAGACGTTTCCACTTTAATATCTCCAGTTTCTTCAAATTCAAATCCTCAGAAACATTGAGAATTCAGTAGAAATCGTTCCAAGTAATCGAAAACCTTAAACTACCACAAGCAGGATTCAAGCTAAATCTATCGAGAGTAGAGTGACCTGCTTAAGCTGACCACGTTTCTTCGAGAGATTCAAAATCTGTTCGTTGAGAAGTTTCCAATCCTTAGCTTCGAAACAAAGCTTCAGAATCTCGGTAGCTGCTTTTCTAGTTCCGGCGACATTTTCCGCGAGCCTCATCTGCTTCTCTTCGTTCAGAAGCCTATCAATCGACGATTCGAGTTGTCTACTTTCTTCCTGCAATCAAAAGACGACAACGAATTTGACAACCGAATTCGAACGAAAGAGGAAATCAGATCTGTGAAATCGGAGACTTACCATTGCTAAACGCCGGGAATCAATACTCCGAGAGAGAAGAAGATTTGGTGAAACTTCCGGTGACGAAACAGATAAACTTCTAAAGGTTCACTGAGAGAGAAGGTAATCGTCGAAACCCCCCAACCCCTTGAACAAGAAAAGCTCAGACTCTGGGCCGAATTATAACGTTTTATTTATTGGGGACTTTTACGGAAATATTTGAAAACTATTGGTGTACATATGTAATAAACGTAGCTATTGAGTCTGCTGGGTAAATAAACGAAAATAACAGGCACATCTGTAATAAACAAAACGATCGGGCATATATATGTAGTTAATATAAATAGCTATTGGGTAATATGTTATGAACAAAACTATTGGGTCCACTGGTAATAAATAAACCTCTAGGGTCTATATGGCCCATTTGAGTAAGTTATTTTTTGAAAAGCCCATTACTCAAGCCTCGGCAACTCTAACAGTAACAGAGACAAGATTATTGTTTGTCGAACTACAAAATTAAGACCAATAATGAGTTTAAGTTCTATCCTTTTAAAATAAAGAAGTTTGGAGACTGAAAACCAATCGGGATTGTCGAAAACTGATCATCATTGATCTTGATCCCAAATATTTATTTGGTATTTTGCCGAATTTTTCCAAAGCCCTATTACTTTAAATGATAATCTATTTGATTATATTTTGGTATAAGCATATCTCTGATCAATTGAGTTCTATATGTAATTTCTCGTTTATATTTCTTAGCTTGGTATCAAATCTCCACAACACCATCATGATTCATGGATGGGATCTTCCGTAGGTTCGAATTCGATGTAATCAGCAAATACTCTTTTGATCGGTGTAATTTCATTTCTTGGAACTAATATTACAACTTAGCATTAAACTTAAAGAGTTGAAGAAGATATTTGTGGTAATTATAATATATTATTGACCTTTATTTCACAAACAGAAAACCATGATGCAATCCATATATAAAACACACACAAGCTAATGATTATTTTATAAAACTGTTTTCACTCGAGATAAGACTGTACACATATGCATACAAAGTCGTCTATATTTATATGAACATTATTTTACATTCTTACTTCTTTTTTTTATAAATACATTCTCACTTCTTCTTAGAGGCACTTCTTATATAATTTATGTCTAGTAAAAGATAAAATCTCGGGATATCTTTGGATCTCAGGATATCTCACAAGAATTCGACAAGCTCTCATGTGTGTTTATTAGCGATTGTGTATTGGTCTTTTCTTGTTCGCAGAATTATAATCCATATCCACCAATCCATCAACATCACTTCCTCCACCTTCGTGCCTTATTTTCCGACTCGCTTGACCCTTCTCCACAACCAATAGCGTTCTATTCCTCACGATTTCTCGTAAGCTTCGTGCTAAAGAAGAAGAAGACAAAAATACGTACATCAGAAACTCATTACTTTGGTAATATAGTTTGATATATATAAAAAAGGTCCATTATAGTTATATGAACTATAAACATGTGATGTGTGTATATCAGCTGTAAAATTACCTTGAGTAGGAGAACAAATGAAGAGTATGAGAAGAAGTGCGGCGAGGAAAGACTTGTAGGAAACCCTAATTGCCATTTTTGGAAGAGACTTTTTTTTTCTTTGGTTATATATCTATCTTTTTTGTTGAACCTTTTTGTGTTTATATATAGAGATGAATGATTCTATGATCAGTTTATGGTCCCAATTTTATATGAGAATTGAATAACGTTTTGGAAGTTATTGAGACAATTGGGCCTAAGGATTTGACATCGATATTTCTCTGTCTTCCCACATTAACATGAATCTATCCCCACAAAATTAATATTTCTTGTTTGCAAAGCAAATAAATGATGATAATTTGTGCAATCACGTCTTTTGAATGAGAAACAGAATTTCGGTTACAAAGTGCTTCATTTCACATTTGTACATAAACTTGTTTATGTAAGAAATTTAATGTAGAAACTTAAACCGAAACACATATACATGCATACCTTACCCCAGTTTAGCAATGAAATTTGTCAGGAATTTTTTGGGAATCAAAAGGTCGGATGAAATCACGATCGAAGATCAATTACTTGTCACCTTTGAAATGCATTTGCAGTTGATTTCTTGAAACTATCTCTTTAAGAACGTTTTTAGTCTCTTTCTCAACATTTTCCAAATATATTACAGGAAGAGGTAATGAGGTTAGGGGAGTTGGTGGGAGTAATAACTTTCCAAAATTATCTATTAACCAAACCAGTTTAGATGTTGCCAAATCATGGGGGCACTACCAGCCGACCTTAAACCAACAGTTTAGTTGTATTTCTACATGATGTCTGAATTGATATAAACCATCCAGATTCTATAACCATATTTCACACTATAATGTTGTCTACCTCATATAGTGTGACAAAACTTAAGGAGATCATTGGAGATCGAGTGGTCCTTTGATCATGGAGATGGAGTTGTGGTCCTTCAAAAGAATATGATTTATCAGAACATTGAAAACAAATGATTAATACGCAAGTCAATTAATATGTATCACATATATTATTTTAATAACCTAAAATTTACATTCAATATTGTTCTACATACATACAAATATTTGTATGTAGACAATTGTGGACGAAGAGAGATATTACATACTTCATATCGAATTGTAATAGATCATAGTTATGTTATTTAAATGTTTGAAACCGTTTTATTCATTATTGGTTTTGGGATCGTTCATAAAAGGATATCTCAGTCTTTTTTTTCTTTTTTTTTTCCTTCTGATAAAGGGTTAGGATATCTCAGTTTTACAGGATTCGAATACAAATACAAGATTAGGCTTAGAAAAATCCACTTAGCCAAATCATGAATGTGATTCTCGTTGATAACATGGAATTTATTTGATCCTAAACTAAGATTTGGATTAAAAGTAATAGTATAAACTGGACCACAATAGTAGAATAGAGGATGTGATTATTGGAGTAGGGGTCGGGGACATGCTATAGAGAGTGCTTAAATATGGCAAAAAGGACGTAAAGTTTGTTGTGTCATGTGTTTCCCATTTAGCCATTCATTACTATAACTCAATTTCTTCACCTATAATTTCCGACAAGAGTTGGTCTACTTTCTTTCTCCATTTATTTAAAATCAATCATCAAAAATTTAATAATTTTTTATTGATATTACTATTCCACGTGAACGAAATATGATTCACAATTTTATATTTCAGTCGTTAATATTTATTTGCTAGATCCAAATTCTAATATAGATGGGGCAATTATTAAAATCCTATAAATATTAAAGAAAATTGTCTTCTTCTTTTTTTTTTTAAATTGACAAAACAGTATACATCCAAGTCCAAAACCCTATACTCTAAATTCAAATACGGCGTTATATTTGAAGAAAATTGACAATTCTAGTAAAATAGTATTGTCATCCGATTTGATCGATAAGATTTATGGACTTTTGAACTTATATTATATTATGACCCGTTTTGATACCCCATTGAAATGTATATGGACCTATGACCTGAATCCTGAAATAATTATGTGTGGACCTAATTATTTATAAATTCTTTGTGACAAGTTGTTTCTAACACTTTTTAATTTTATTATAGCTATAGTTTATATGATTAGCTTACATGAGTTGATTAGACTTTTACGTTTCAGAAAACACCGTGGCAAAAAAATAAAAGGAAACAAAATTTGGAAAAATCTAGAAATCAGCCAAAATGTCATTGTGCCAAGAAGCAGTGACAATCTCCAGACAACCACCTTGATGAATGTCTTGTTAGTACAGATAACACCATGACCAAAAGAAGAAGAAAGTAAGATTCTGTAACTTTTGTTTTTATCTGTCCATAGATTTTTGGACGAGAAGTTTCTTCTGAGGATTTACATAAACCACGTAGCTCCTTGAAGATCAACATCAGGGCAATGTTTTTTTGCAGACAAGTTGTATTGAAAGAGGGACCATGAGAGCACATGGAAGGTTTTGGCTTCAATTTTGATCATTAGTCTTTGTCTCTCTTTCATCACTGTTAACAAGTCTACATTTAAGTCTAGAGAGCTTTAGACAAGACATGAAATGATCATATCGCCTCTCGACAAAATCGTTATCAGAGATTTGTCTATCTTAGGGGTCAATTCATATTCATCCAATTTCTTTGAAAGATTAGGAACAAGTGTTTTGTGTATTACATGAGACAATACTTTACCACACAAACAATTGAGACTTTACAATGGAATGATTTTGTTTTCATTTTTTGTTGGCAAATGAAATAAGATTTTTTCAGTAAGATAAGTCTTCACCTGTAGAGATTGGATTGTGGTTATTACCAGACTCAGCCTCACACAAGTTGAATTCCTGAAGGGTTCTTCGAACCGGACTTGAGAGACCATTTGGTTGAATCAAGATTTTCTCTTGGTTACAATCATAGTATTGTTGTGCTATGGGACTTGAAGGAACATGAGCTACTGAAGTATTTACGTTTGGTGGAGCGAATTGGTGCTGATGAAACTCTTGCATGGGGAGTGGTATCGACGTCTCCTCAGGTTCATATTCAAGCGCATTCTGCATAAATGGTTTTAAAAGGTAAACACGAATAACTTTCGGATCAAACTAAAGATCTTTGGGACTTGTATGCGTAGCTATTCAAAAACAAGGAAAGATTCAAGAGAGGTATAATCAATCTGAATTCCAATTACACTGCAGGGGATTAAAGCAAAGTCAGAGTATAAAGCATAATCACAAACCAGATACTGAATCAAAGGAAAAGAACCTGCAAGTAGGTAGTAATATCAACTGTGGATACTCTAGTTCCTTGTTCTTCTTGTCTCACGATCCATTGGTAAAGTTTCTCCTGTAAGAAAACGAAAAAAGTCAATTCATTCGATCAATCAAACCTCAAAATCTCATACTACAATGTCATGAAACATTATTGAATGACACCAAGAACATTGAGCTGCCACCAAAAGGGAAAAACAATCCTAGTTCATCAATCTAGTCTTTCTACCTTAGCCTGAGTAAAAAAAAAACAAAAGTAGACTCTTCAAGATCAAAAGGCCAAAACTTTTATCAGTAAGACTGCTTACTTAGCCTCATATATAAACTAGCTTGATCGATCATAACCAATTTAAGAGTGTCTCTCCAATTAAATCAAGTACGACAATCAATCGAACATAAACAAGCCAAAGACATCAACTTTACCAAAACAAGACAAGAAACAAAATTGAATATCCATGATTCATTCTGTGACTCTAAAATCTCGAGATTAAATAGTAAAGTAATCAACTTTGTTTTCCCCTGAGAAGAATCAGACATCTTCTATCGAACCCAGAAACCAAAATCGAAACTTGATATAGAACAAGGTCTAGAAAGAGCAGAGACCATGCCGCGACGTTCACCGGCTAGGAAAGAGACGTTCTGGTGATTCATGGCATGTGTATAGAGCTGAGAGAGCGAATTAGCAGCACCTCGAAACGCGCCATACATGGTTCGATCAACCTCATCGAGCCGCGTGGCCTCGGATTTTCGCTTCTTCCCCATTAGAATCCGAACGAATCACAAACCCTAGAAATTTCGAGGTCCTTATCAATTTGTAAATTAGGGATTTTAGAAAGAATAAAGGAGGATTGTTGGTGAAGGGAAGAAGAAGAAGAAGAAAGGCTTGTGGCATTTACTCTAGAGATTCTGCCACGTGGCTTTCATGCACTTTATGGGTCCCACATATCTTTTAAACCTGGGTCCCACTTTTGGCCTTTCAGACAAAAATTTGAAGCTTTGGACTTTTTTTTTTCTTTGGTCCATGAGCTTCTACTGTAGAGGCAAACCTTTCATAATTTGTGGATCTTCAATGAAAATAATAGCTAACACTACATGAGATGAGAGTCATGAGACGCATGAGTTAGAAAGCGAGGCTACATAAAAATTTAATGACTACTACGATTATCGTCATGTTTTAACACTACTTTATAAGGTTTTTTGGCGATTGTGAAAGACACGATAAAAAATAGGGATGTAAAAAGTGGCGCGATAAGAGATGGAAGATTCATATTGAGTTTAATTTGTGAACATATAAGAAATTTTTTTAATGTTGAATCAATTTGCAAATGTGTATTTTGTGCTTTAGTACTCTTCTGTTTGAGTTATATATTTTGAATTCAAACTACATTTATGTACCAAAATCAATATAAATAAACTGCTATATCATTGTTTCAAGGGTAGATTATTTTCTTTAAACAGCAATTCGACCAATTATTAACAGCGATATACTCTCTTAACCAAAAAAAAAAAACACTAACTGATTCCGAAAAAAAACACACACCTTTATAACTTGTGATTCTTTCTAAAAATAGAAATTTATTTTAAGCTTAATCTATCACTAACAACCTAAAAACATTCCTATTACAACGACCACCCAACCCAAAGACACGAAAAAGAAATTCCCTGACTGGAAGAAGAAAAAAATTCAATCAAACAAAAGAAAAAAGAAACACAAAAACACATCTTCGAGATCAAACAAACCCCAATTTATCATTCATCGTCGCCTTCTCAATATGGCCGGAAGAGCAGCGATGCTCATTAACGTCGGGACGGTTATAATGACCGTTTTGACCCTGGCTAGTTTGGTCGGAGGCTTCGGTGTGAATTGGGGCAATATCGCATCGCATCCGTTGAATCCCAACATTGTTGTTCAGATGCTTAAGGACAATAAGATCAATAAAGTGAAGCTTTTTGACGCTGATTCGTGGACGATGAATGCTTTGGCTGGTACGGGCATGGAGGTTATGGTCGGAATCCCTAATAACCTTCTTGAAAGTCTCGCTGATGATTACGATAATGCTAAAGATTGGGTTAAAGAAAACGTGACCCAGTATATGCGTAAGGGTGGCGTCGACATCAAGTAACCTTCAAAACTTTTTCTCTTTTTTCTTTGTAAATCATGTTTGTCGATATTTGACCAATAAATCATTCATATGACTGCCATATAGGTACGTAGCCGTGGGGAATGAGCCGTTTTTGTCTGCATACAACGGATCGTTCTTGAAGACAACATTTCCAGCGCTAAAGAACATTCACAGGGCGTTAAAAGAAGCTGGACACACTGATAAAATGAAAGCCACGATCCCACAAAACGCAGAAGTTTACCAATCAGCAAACGACAAGCCATCAGAAGGTGATTTCCGCAAGGATGTGAAGCAAACGATGCTTGACATCGTCAATTTCTTCCACGATAATGACTTACCTTTCACCGTCAACATTTACCCTTTCCTTAGTCTTTACCTAAACGAGCATTTTCCCGTTGAATTTGCTTTTCTTGACGGTAATGGTCAGACAATGACTGATAAAGGAAAGAATTATGATAACGTGTTCGATGCCAATTACGACACACTCGTTTACGCGTTGAAGAAAGCTGGGATTCATGATATGAAGATTATCGTTGGAGAGGTAACTTGACAAGCAAGTTATTAATTAGATATATTTATCAAGAATGTTATTGAATTTGGTTATGTTTTTCTTTAGGTTGGATGGCCAACGGATGGTCACAAATATGCGACCCCGAAGCTAGCGGAGAAATTCTATGCAGGGCTTATGAAAAGACTTGCTAAGGACGGTGGGACTCCAACGAGGCCTGAAAGATTAGAGGTCTATCTCTTCGGTTTCCTCGACGAAGACATGAAGAGTATTCTTCCTGGGCCCTTTGAGAGACATTGGGGAATCTTTAGGTTCTAATGTTTTCGGTATTCCATCATTTTGATTTTTCTACTATTATTTATCTGACTTTCTCATTATATCCAATATTTGTCCAATAGATACGATGGGACACCGAAGTTTATGCTAGATTTCACCGGACAAGGACGCCAAATGGTGCCCGTGGCAGCTAAAGGTGTGCAATACTTGGAAAAACAATGGTGCGTAGTAAACAACGACACGGTCAATCTAGACGAAGTTGGTCCTGATCTAGACTATGCGTGTTACCACGGGGACTGCACCGCGATGGAGGCCGGGTCAACGTGTAGTAAGCTAACCAAAGTCCAAAACATATCATATGCATTTAACATGTATTTCCAGATACAAGACCAAGACGTTAGGGCTTGCGATTTCAAAGGAGCTGCAATGATCACCAAGGTCAATGCATCCGTGGGAAGTTGCTTGTTCCCTGTTCAGATCGTTAGTGGAAGTGATGATTTCAGGATCAACTTTGTGTTCGGAAGATTCGTCGTTTTTGGACTTGTTCTTCTTGGATTGCTCACGGTTATATAATTTGTTTTTTTTGGTTTTCTTTTTGCATTTTCGGAGGGATTTATTCTACACAATTAATTGTTATTTGTTATTCGTTTTAATAACGTTACTTTGAGTTAGTTCATTTGTATGTGTTTTATTTTATAGATCAGTATAATCAAATCATACGACACTCGATCATTTACATAGTTGTTTTTTCATTTATATTTATGTTTCAGTTTTAATTTTTGTCTATGTTCATTATACATGTAATAATAAATTATAACATATTGCGGTTCGAGAGATACGTGAAATTTTGTTTACTTAACAAATATTTCGTCTTATTTTCTACAATTCTTTCAATTTGTAATGTTGTCCGTCAAAATCATTGTAATTTTTACACCCAGTATGTTTCTAGATAAATTAAACATATATTTTGCAGGGTCTGCGTCTCCCGGCTAATGACATGGACATGACGATAAATGCAGTTGGTGAGAGTACTAAATGCACTTTCACAATGAAGGATGTCTATATATGCCCCAGTGCTTTCATATCTCTTTCATGTTTACATAACTTGTGTTTGCATATATACGACACATGTTCACGTATTATTACTTCAATCTTCAAGCAATAACAAAAAGAAATCAAACTATCTATATATATATTTTTACTAGATTAAACGTAGTGGATGGGGTTAAGGATGTTGGAGTTTGTAAACAAAAAAGTAACTTAGAAGTTTATGCAGCTGCCTCTTATATACGATGATTGGTAACGAATGCATTTGTAGAACAATCCTGATAGCAAATACATAAAAAATTATATATAGTGTATAATCTGTTTTTTTTTTAATTAATACACAATTATTTATCATTGTTGTACGAAATGATCAATTATGATAGTAATTGTGTAGTCATATCACTGGCAGATTTTAATGTAATGAATGCTGCTGACCATTCTATTTCCTTCTCTCCTTATTTCCCTTTGCCTCCTCCAACTTTTACTAAATTCCTCTTAAGCTAGGAGAGAGAGAGAGAGAGAAGAAGAAGAAGAGTAATCGAGATTTCTAGAGAGATTCAAACATATTATTTTGTTATTTTTTCGATAATAAATGTTAATTTTATCTTCACGATATGCAATGAAACGAGATGTTGTAATCATTGTAATTTTTACACTGTTAGTTTTGATCATTATCTCCCGTTCAAGTTCGATCCAAGCTGGAAGATTCTTGACTACAAGAAGAAAGCATAATTTGAGCGTTGCTCGATCACTATACTTCAAGAATCATCACAAGGTTGTGATCACGGATATGTCAAATTTTAATAAAGTCAGACGAAGATCGTCTAAAGTTCGGAGAAAGATCGACGGCGACGAGGAAGAAGAAGAGAAGCGATCTATCCCCACAGGTCCAAATCCTTTGCACAACAAGTAGAGTAATTAAAGAGAGAGATGCAACATACTCGACTTCGTAAATTTGTTTGTTTGGTGTATATATGTATAATTACGAGTTAGTTTGATCTTAAAGATTTATAGTCTTTTTAGGTTGGGTTGGAAAATTTAAAATATGAGATAAATTTCGATTGTTTTCTAGCATTTAAATTTTGTATGCTCAAAGTTGCAGGACCAATATGGCAAACAGAAATCATGGAATTGAAAAAAAAAATATCGATATAGAATAAACTGAGGAAAAGTGTTTTTGTAAATTTTCTTTTGTCATTGTAAACTTTTTAAATAAATACAGTATTAATTTTTTTTTTTTTTACGTACTAATTATACGGTATATTGTTGTAATGAACCTTAAGTAAATTAGTCACTGTAAATATAAAGATCAATTGTAAACTCTAACTTTTAATTCAATATTTTTTTTTTTTTGCTTTAGAACTTTCGTCTTAGTTGGATTTCAAATAATGTCAGTGTCATTGATTGTTAACTTAAAGAAAGAAAAATGCATTTTTATTTTTTTGGCTGATAGGTGGTAGGTGTTCATTAATAAATGTCCATATATCACTTTCAAAGCAATACATTCAAATATAGATATGTAATTATTTTCTATTTCTTCAGATTTACCCCTATAAAAATGGGTTATCTCAATTAGGACCCCACACTCCTTCACTTTTGACCAGCCGCCCTTCTCTTTCAGTCTTTCATGCCTTTTTTTATTTATTTATTTAATCTATTTTGTTGTTTTTTCTTCTCCTTAATTACTTCAAGTAATCATAATAACTAAACACTATCTGATTTCAAAATTCTTAACCATTTGCATGTTATCTATCACTCAAATAGGTAATATTTATATGATTTCAGTCATATGTGTTTTGCCACCCAATATGTTTCTGTTTTATTGTCTGTTCGTTAGTTTTAATGTTTGTAACACAATAAAGAGAAAATATTATTGTGGTTACAAAAACAACAATTAAGAGTGGCACCAGGAAATTTCGTCTTACCTTTTAAGACAAGATTAAAAGACCACTTTGAATAGTTGACTTAAGAATAGACTTAGCAAAAAGATTTGGTCATATATGTAATGTGTGGGTCAGTGGGTGTAATTATATACAAGATGAAGATGATACATTGCAATGTGCCAAAAGTTCTGGAAGAAAAAAGGATGACTGACAAGAAAGAAAGAATATTATTGTGGGCGTAAGTATATAATTTTTTTTGTCAACAATAAATTTGCTGTTTCCCATCAACATATAGATCTATTATAAGCTAGTTAATCAATATTTTATTTGTTTTATTTTAAGTGATATTTATGGATTTTGGACAAAAATTAAGACATTATATAAACTTCATCTAATTTAATTTGTTTGCACAAAAAAATTGTTAACTAAAATTAATTCAACCAACAAAAAGCGTTGTAAATTTTTTTTTTGGTGAAACAAAAAAAGCATTGCAGAATACAAATGATCAAAAGCTCAATTACATTAATTTTTTTACATAGAAATTCAAAAATATCACTTAAAATGAGATTAAAAAATCTTTTAAACATTAAACGAGAATAATATGAACTAATCTTGGTAAAAACGAATCGGATTAGAAAGTATGTAACTTTCGAAAACATATTGATCCACATATGTGGATTCACCGTACCAGACCAGATATCAATTCTTTTATTTATCTGGATCGTTATGATTTATGAATATGAAGGATTGGTAAATAAAGTTAGGCCAAAAAGAAAACGATAAAGTTTTGTGACAATAATTACATTTACAAAATTCAATAAGTCAAATCTTATTGTGTCTTGGTGTGCACTGTAAAGTACAAAGAAGTCCTGTCTGCTTCAAACGCAGCAGAAGCAAACATACAACTTAAATCCTCAGCCGTTGATCCAAAAACCAAAATCCAATTATCAACGTTAACTTCACCAGTGTTAACATGGACCTTAACGTAGACGATAATGGCTCTTAGAATGGGCCCTTAAAGCCCAAGCAAAAAACTATTACTTTAAGTGGAAGCTCACTTTTCGCCACCCTTATTAACGTCTGGCCATACGTCATTACAATGACGTCATCATCATATTCTTTTTCACACGTGGCATTGAGGCACCTTCCTAGTATCTACCCTGAAATTGCTTGTCATAACTCATAAGTAGTAATTGTTTAATAATCTTATCTCTTAATTATCATCTTTCTTTACAAAAACTTCGTACAATAATTTTAATTTTATATAAATAAATGACCATTAACTCTTTATCTTCTCTTCTTCACTTGCTCTATACTAGTTCTTTAGATAGATGCTATAAGATCTCTCTCTCTCTCTCTCTCTCTCTCTTATTTTTCTCTATTGGAAGAACAAAAAAATGAATATCTCTCAAAACCCTAGCCCTAATTTCACGTACTTCTCCGATGAAAACTATATCAATCCGTTTATGGATAACAATGATTTCTCAAATTTGATGTTCTTCGACCTCGATGAAGGAGGTAACAATGGATTAATCGAGGAGGAGATTTCATCTCCGACAAGCATCGTTTCGTCGGAGACATTTACCGGTGAAAGCGGCGGATCCGGCAGCGCAACAACGTTGAGTAAAAAGGAATCAACGTGAGTTCCTTTTAATTATTATTGTTGGCAAGATTCTTAACCAAGCAATTGGTACTAATTATATATAGCTTTATCTAATAATTTTTTGATAATAAATATTGTAGTAATAGAGGAAGTAAAGAGAGTGGTCAGACGAAGGAGACGGGTCATAGAGTTGCATTTAGAACGAGATCGAAGATTGATGTGATGGATGATGGTTTTAAATGGAGGAAGTATGGCAAGAAATCTGTCAAAAACAACATTAACAAGAGGTAACTAATTCATTTATAAATTACTCATTTCATCTATTTGTTGATTAGTATGTTTTATCAGTACTTACTTGTTTTTAAAATAACATATGGTTGCTTGAGAATTTTCTATGACCATCTAGTAATCCTGTTGTTGTAGAATATATAGCCACTAGCTAGACCATATAGTGATTTGAATACTATTTAATGGACCCGTATTATCCAATTCCCACTTGGAATAAAATTTAGCTTCAATATATCCATCATGCATGTGTGTGTTTTTGTTTATACAATATATAAAAGGTCCCTATATAAAATTGATTGATTAGTGGTATATGGATCAATGAATCCATGGTTGATATATAATCATTCATCGTATAGATTTAGTTTGACTCATATTATAGAAGAATTAGATATAATGAAGTCATCATCTAAACATATCACTTTCAAAACATGGTTTGTAAGAAAACTACACACTCTGTAATGGGTTAATTTTCCAAATTCAAATGTAAGGAGAAATATCAGTATTTATCTTGGTGCGAAATTTTGTAAAAGTGATTAAATTAAAGTTTAACACATGGTGAATGAATGTGTATTATATAGGAATTACTACAAATGCTCAAGTGAAGGTTGCTCGGTGAAGAAGAGGGTAGAGAGAGATGGTGACGATGCAGCTTATGTGATTACAACATATGAAGGAGTCCATAACCATGAGAGCCCCTCTCATGTCTATTACAATGACATGGTTTTGTCTTATGATCATGATAACTGGAACCAACACTCTCTTCTTCGATCTTAATGCAAATCTCTCATCCTCCTTGAGATTGTAAGATACCACCAATATTATAATCTCAATGCTTTGTATAATTTTATAGGTGTATAATAAATTAAAGGAGTTATTTCGTGGTTATAAATGTTTAATGTATTTATGTATATGGCGGCTATGAATACATCTTGTAGGTCACTGACTCACTAGATATAAAATCTTAGCGTATAATTAAAAAATACCTGTTGAATCTATTATTTTTTTTGGATATCAGGGTAAATAGAATACAAATGAAACCAAGTACATCTTCAATATGTAACAACTGGTTTATTCAATCCGAATTACCCAAAACTGTATGGATAAAAAAAATATATATATATTATGAAGGTGTGAGTCTAATTATTTAGAACTAAGTACATGTTTAGTTTGGTTTAAATAATTAAATAATTTCACAGTTGTCCAAAATGTACTGCAATCTGAATCCAATCCTTATTCGATTTAGTAAACCGACATTTTACCCGAAATGCGTCAGACTAAGATTGTACCGGAAAGGAAATGTGAAAATGCAACTTTACAGAGCTGTCAAGCGTCAACGAGGTCAACTGTTTCGGTTTACTTGTTACCGGTTATTTGGTTTATAATAGATTTTGATCGGTTTGATTTATGATCCGGTTTTGGTGGGTGTTTGGGTAGACAGTACCGAACCGATATCATCTTCTACCTTTCAACAACTTCAGCAAGAAAACGAAGTCGTTTCATATTTGTTCTTCCGCCCAAATCTCAAACACTAGCAAGTAAAATCGAAGAAGTTTTGGATCTCTCTGATCTCGATCCAGATTCTCTCTACTTTGCTTATCTTCGAGAGAGAAATTTGTATCTTCAGATTTCTTCGAGGAGGAAGACGAACCCTACTTGATTGATTTCTCGGTGGAGGAGAGATCTTTCTAAAGAAGAAGTTTGATTCTGTTTGTAATCCGTAGATCTGCTGCTTCTTTCGATCGATTTGGGAAATCTTTAGTATTGATTCCATAGAAATTGTCGCTCGAGGAAGGTGAAGAATTCTGGGGCCCAGATTCCGGAGATTTTAATTAGTCTTGGTGGTCTGTTGCTTCGGCAATGTTAGATCGTAAAAGTCTTCCATTGTGAGAAAACGGAGGTTGCTTTGTGGAAGCTGATTCTTCTGGTTTTGGATTGGAATCGGGACTATGGAAGTTGATTGAAACAGTGTTGGTTTTCTTATTTGTTACCTAATCTGGTTTCGCTACTGGTTAAGCAAAAATGAAGTTTTGGAGGGAACGTGAAAGGGAAAATAAGGAACAGATCTTAGCTCCATTATGTGGGCAAGTTCGAGTATTGGTTGTTGGTGACTCAGGTACTATGACAAGTTCTAGTTTCATGTGGATTGTTAGATTTGATTACCTATTTTACGGAACCAAAACCAAGTTAGAAATGTTACCATAGTTTTGTTGAATTGGGTTTTATAGGAACTGCAGATTGATGCACATGGATACTTCTGCTATACCTTGATAATGTGTGACTCAGGCAGATAGATTCTCTGCATTGAATTGGACCATTTGATTAGGAGTTATGGTTCTGTGGTCGTTGAGCTATATCATTTAGATCAAACCTTAGAGTCTGTTACTGTGTTTTTTTTGCTAATAGTCATTGAGTTAATTTTCATCTCTGAATTTTAAATCTTTTTGGTAGGTGTTGGAAAAACATCACTTGTACACCTCATCAACAAAGGTTCTTCTATTGTTCGCCCACCTCAAACCATTGGATGCACAGTTGGTGTGAAGGTAACTTAATCGTCTCAAATATTCTCCAAATAGTTAGGGAACTGAAGTTTAAACCCTTTTATATTCTCTTACTTTCTCACTGTTCAGCACATAACCTACGGGAGTCCAGCTAGTTCTTCAAGTAGCATTCAAGGTGACTCAGAGAGAGATTTCTTTGTTGAACTCTGGGATGTGTCTGGGCATGAGAGATACAAAGATTGCCGGTCACTGTTCTATTCACAAATCAATGGTCTCTCCCAACCTATCCACATTGTTGATCCTTATTGTGTCTGAAACAATGTCATAAGCGAGACATTTCCTATGCAGGAGTTATTTTTGTTCACGATCTATCTCAAAGAAGAACAAAAACGAGCTTACAGAAATGGGCGTCTGAGGTTGCAGCGACTGGGACTTTTTCAGCTCCTCTTCCCTCGGGAGGTCCTGGTGGTCTTCCTGTCCCATACATTGTAGTTGGCAACAAAGCAGATATTGCTGCAAAAGAAGGAACAAAAGGAAGCAGTGGAAATCTTGTTGATGCAGCTCGTCATTGGGTTGAGAAGCAAGGTTTGCTTCCTTCTTCAAGTGAGGATCTTCCTCTCTTTGAAAGCTTTCCTGGTAATGGCGGTCTCATAGCGGTAAGTAAACCATATTAGTAAGTAATATTTTCTGTTATTAGTGATGGTGGTTGCTTTTGATGATTATATGATCTAACGTGGATTTTTGCATAGGCTGCCAAAGAAACCAGATACGATAAAGAAGCTTTGAACAAATTTTTCCGGATGGTTAGTGTGTCGTTAACACAACTTTTTTTTTTGTTTTCTTGTCACATTGCCAAGATATCCGTCTCTAAACTGAAAAAACATTTTGTGAACTGTTACAGTTAATAAGAAGAAGATATTTCTCAGATGAACTGCCAGCGGCTTCACCATGGTCTGTTTCATCCATTCCAACCTCATCATCCCAACGGTTAGACGAGATTACAAGTGATGATGATCAATTTTACAAGCGAACAAGGTAATAACAATGCTAAAGAAGCTAAGTTTTTTCCTTTTTTTGTTGGGTTTGGTCTTTTACGGTTGATTGTTGCAGTTTACATGGAGATCCATACAAATACAACAACACATTACCGCCACTTCCAGCACAACGCAACCTAACTCCGCCTCCCACGCTATATCCGCAACAACCTGTGTCTACCCCTGATAACTACGCCATCCCGAGATACTCTCTTTCCAGTGTACAAGAATCAACCAACAATGGCAATGCCCGAGCTAAGCGAATGGATATTAACGTCTGAAGTCTCTCATCTCTTGTTTGCTCTTCTCATTCCAAGAAAACTTTATGTTATCTCTATTATTCTTTTTGATTCTTCTTTGTAGGTTGGTAAAGTGAATATGTGTGTAAACCCTCTTTGGTTTGTACATTGTGGGGTTTTGACCTTATAGCAAATTCTTTCAATGTTTTTTTTTTTTTTGTTATCATATGTATTACAGTGAACGGTTACAAAATCACAATAATGTTTGTTATTTTTTTACAATCTAAGCATATCAGTTTGTAACAGGGAAAAGGGGATTTTCATACCTGTACTATCTGCACCGTGGATTTTCATACTTGGACAATTTCGTAGGGTATTTTACATCCTAAACTTCAATAAAATTTGAATCTCATACCTCTACTTGATACAACGTGCAAAAATCGGAGTCAATCTAACGGGTGTTAGTCAACTCCGTTACGGTGCTGAGTCATCGTACACATGTACGCTGACGTGTATCAAAACGACGTCGTTTCATATCCGTACTGTCTGCGCCGTGGATTTTCATACCTGGACAATTTTGTAGGGTATTTTACAACCTAAACTTCAATAAAATTTGAATCTCATACCCTATACTTGATACAACGTGCAAAAATCGGAGTCAATCTAACAGGTGTTAGTCAACTCCGTTACGGTGCGTATCGAAACGACGTCGTTTTGATATGTGTTCTCAAAGTTTTAAATTTTTTTGCAAAACTGGGGACTCGAACCCGCGAGCCGTACTCACATGGTAAAACTTTGTTCATGCCTAATTTCTGAGAAGAAGAAGAAGAAATGAGAAAACGATTTCTCAATTCGAAACCCTAGTATTCATAATTTTCTCCCAATTTAAAACGATTGACTACGGCTCGCAGGTTCAATGAACGTTGTGGGATCAGTTGGTATTCGGTGCTTCTCATGTGACTACGGCTCGCGGGTTCGAGTCTCCAATTTTGCAAAAAAAATTAAAACTTTGAAAACACATATCAAAACGACGTCGTTTCGATACGCACCGTAACGGAGTTGACTAACAGCCGTTAGATTGACTCCGATTTTTGCACTTTGTATCAAGTATAGGGTATGAGATTCAAATTTTATTAAAGTTTAGGTTGAAAATACCCTACAAAATTGTTCAGGTATGAAAATCCACGGCGCAGACAGTACGGGTATGAAAACGACTTCGTTTTGATACACGTCAGCGTACACGTGTACGATGACTCAGCACCGTAACGGAGTTGACTAACACCCGTTAGATTGACTCCGATTTTTGCCCGTTGTATCAAGTATAGGTATGAGATTCAAATTTTATTGAAGTTCAGGTTGTAAAATACCCTACGAAATTATCAAGGTATGAAAATCCACGGTGCAGATAGTACGGGTATGAAAATCCCCTTTTCCCGTTTGTAACATTGTATGATATTTATAACCAAATTTCATGTTTTAAGTTTCAAAATCTTCTTCCACATTACAATAATGATAAGATAAATTGGAATATTAATTAATTTGAAATAAAACTATTTAATGGAGATAGAGAGTTACAGAGGTACGACAAGTTCAGTTCATAGCATCGAGAGAAGAAGGCAAAGGAAGGTATGTAACTTTTGTGCCCTCGTAGTTCCCATTTCCATGGAAACTTCTTCTCTTTGAACCCTCTGGATTCTGGGTTGCTACAATCAGCTGAAAAAACCCTAATTTCTGTCTCTCTTTCTCGTCTTGCAAAAACCCTAAACCCTGGGAATTGTGAGATCTCATGTTTCAGTAACTTGTTTAATCTGTACCTCTTTCTGTTCTTGAATTCTGCATTGATTTAGATTTCGATTTCAATTCAATTTCTGTTTCGGAATTGTTCAAAGTGAAAAAGTGGTTATTGGATTTCCTCAAAGGAAAGGTTGAATTTTTAGTTCAATTACGATGATATCAGATTCTAATCTTCCCTAAAATGACAAGTTTTGTTTGTAATGCACAGTGTAAAATTCAAGTCTTTAAGAAAAAATGGTGGAGGTGTGGTGGTCACTGATAGGAGCAGCAGTGCCTGCACTGATTGCAGGTCAAGCTTGGAGGATAAAGAAGAGACATGGCGAAGAAGAGAGGATCAAGAGTGCTCGAGGTAGAGAGAAGAGCTCTGATGAAATCTTTGTCTGTGAAAGAGTTTGCACTTCTAAAAGAATGCTGAAAAAGGTTGGAGCTTTCTCTAAAGATCCCATCCCCGACACTTGTGTTACTGTCTGCGGTGTATCTGAGCTCGACGCTTGCTCTGATGCTTGTGCTCGAACTGTTTGCGTTAACCAGCATCAAGTTGCTAATTGGAATGACATTTGTCTCAGAAGATGTCAAAGTGAATGTCTTAAGCTCTCTTCTTCTTCTTCTCGCTCTTCTTGAATTTGAAAGACTATGGTTTGTTGTTGTTATCTTTTGAAATGGAGATGGTATTTGAATCTGAAGTTTTCATTAGTTTATATAATAACATTATGAGCAAATTTGGTTGATGGTTACATTTCATCATGTGAGGTTTGTTTGGTAACTTTCTCAGCTGTTTTCTGAACTACTTCACCTACAACATCTCCTGCTAGTTTTGCAGACTCTTCAATAGCTTCTTTGCTTACTTCGAGACTCCTCGTCGCTGCTTCTTTCACTTTCTCTGCTTTATCTTCTTCCTCTCTGTTGTTTTTGTCGCTGTTGCTTCTGAAACTGTCACAGGAAAACAACACATGAGCTAAATAACCAGACATTAGCGAAATTCCGAGATTATAGGATATGTATGCATCTTTGTTTACTCTAGATTTGGAGGGTAAAGCTTCATTTGGATCTTCTGCATTGCACCTTGAATCAATTCCCATGAACTCGGAGGAAATTTCTTGCCAAAAATCCCACATATGGTCTTTAGTATCGACGGATTCTCTTCTTTCTTCGCGACACCATCACTTTCCGCTCCATCTGCAGATACCGCTAAAATCCCCCCAGAGATTAAGATGATGGTGACGAAGAAGATCGAGAAACCGAATCTGATTCTTCTTGATCCATTCATGTCTGTATATCAGTTCAGAAGTTACAGAGAAATCAAGAAGGGGGCCAAAAGAAAAATGATAGAACAGAGAGAAGGGAGAAAGAGAGAGATGCGAGAGAGTTGGCGCCATGTTTCTCGCATCAAAAAAAGCAGAACACATTTTTGGTTTGAACGGTTCTTGCATTTGACTTTTAAGAGAATTAAATCGAAACTAATACAAGCATCTGTCATTCTGTCTTATAAATCTAACATTACATAAAGACTAATCCTTTTACAAAACGAAAAAATATTCTCTGTCTCGCATAAAAATGTATTTTTTAAGCAGCTCCCTCTTCTTGAGGACCTCTGTCCTGAAACGACTGAAGAAGATATTTCCATGGCGCATTTGACTTCTTGATCAAAATCTTAGCTTGTAATCACTTCAGCAACATCTTCTTAAGCAATCAAAAGAATCGCCGGGGGAACTTTTCATTTGAAGAAGCTACCATGATCAAGATTCATCGGTTTCTCATACTGTACTGCTACACACTCCTCAGTTATAACCCAATCACCATTCACAGCGTTTGCGCAGTTCTACAAATAGTTAACATTAAGCTATGCTTTTGAAGCTTTACTTGATTCATTGGAATATGTGAGAAGATTTTATAGGAATAATACCTTGGAACAAGTGTAGACAATAAGTGTCATCCAATCCCAATTATCCAATGATTGCTTAAGCCTTTCATCAACAACACCTTCATGTAGAAAATATATTAATGGAGGCATGAGTTGCATTTCAAAGTGCCTTGGAGAGTCACAATTCCTGCATTTATCGGGAGATTTCATGTCTTCAGTGGCCAGTATCGGCTTACCGCCATACGAGTACCTGACCATTGCAAGAAATTACATAGCAAAAGTGAAGATTTGAAAATAAGGCCATTCAAGAAGATCGAAAGTAGAGATTTTTCCACCATAGAATACAAGTGAATTACAGTTACCTGAAACATTGTTCCGGATTTGCATCTAGCCGTTTTTTGAACTTAAGATAAGTCCTATCTGCATTCAGGGCTCTGTCATATTCATATTTCTCATCCTCCCACGTTTCTTCGGATTCACTCTCATCATTGTTGCCGGTTTCTTTATCCTTGATGGACAAAGACGAGTAATTCATCGAGCATCGATCGACTTCTTTTGATGGGATCTCTTCCTTTGTATAAATGTAGAAGCACGGAACCACGGCACCAGTCTCAACTTTAATTTGATCCTCAACTCTTGTTTCAGATTTGAAAGGTGAAGGCTTTGCTTTAGTCCCTGAACTAGCATTGCCATTTAGTTTACTCTTTTGTTTCTTCGAATTGGAAGCCGCAGCAGAAGAAGCCTCTGCGAGCGCCTTAGCTAAACTCTCAAAATCAAAATCTTCATCATCATCATCATTATCGTCGTCTAACCAATGAGTTTTAGAAGATGTATCTAGAGGCGAACGAACAGGTAGATCCACTATTTCACTTGATGATTCTTTCTCTTTTTCAATAGCTTTCCAAACGCTAAAAGCTCTCCAGCTGAAACGGTAAGGAACAAATTTCACACCATGATCATTCTCTCATATAAGTGATTGAGAGTGATCACAGAATCATAAAGAACAAAAAAGACAAAACCTTTGTTCAGAAGTTCCACATTTAGGCATCAAGCAACCGAATATATAGAGCGTACGCTCTTGGATGTCTGAAATTTCAGTTGAGATTGGGGCATACACCTAAATGCAGAGAAAGAAAGAAACCATAATTTGTATAATCTACAATCCAAATTCTTGTAACTATTCAGGTTCTTAAACCTTGAACTAAAAAGAGTGAAGCTTTGGATTTGAGCAAAAACCTGAGCAACGAGAGAAAGTTTACTTCCACATGAACAACAATTGAGTAGCTCTGGTTTCAGTGCATCATCGGGTATTGGTGGCCAATCCTAAAAGAACACTTGGGTCAATAATCAGAACGAAAGAATTGAAATTTCTATGAAAAAGAGGAATGAACAACAGAGAGCTAGGAAGGAGTTACTACCGGAAGACCGCCGATTTTTGTTGTGTAGTGATCAGAAGACTCAAGCTCATCTTCTGCCCACTGCCCAGGTAACCCCAGAAGAATTCCGACCATGGTTACAGTTCTCCGATCAAAGTAGAACAGAGCTCTCCCTCTTAGGTGAAACGATTTATCAAAGTCGATGATGACGACGAAGAGAAGAGTAGACCCCGGTTAGGGCTTTGAGATAACCGGTTTTTTTTTTCTTTTTTGAGTCTCCCGGTTTCCAATGGTTTAATTGAATTGAGCGAATTCAGTTGAGCCAATAGGTTTTGAACTTGAAATTCAACGGTTCGATTCGGTTCAGTTCATAAGAGAAAAACTTATTTATCCCACTATAAGAGATTTGGATTGAAGTCATTGAACTAAACTGATAGACCTCTAATCCATTTTAGAGACAATAAAGTTTCTTAATTTAACCCAATGGGGCTCAAGTGTTGTAGAAACATTAATACTCTCTCTGCATTTCTAAAAGTATATCTATATACATTCCACAATAACGATCTTGTGAGACTGTAAGAAGCCTTTTTTTATAAATCTTGACTCCTTTCAGTTTTCATGTTGTTCAGTTCCATCTCTTGGAGTTCTTGCTAGCCTTTGATTTCTGTTTAGCTTGTTGAAACGCTTGCATCTTCTGCTTCTTCCTCGCTTCTTTCTCAGCTTTTGACATCTTTGACTTTGCCTTCACTTTTGGTGCTTTCTCTTCTAGCTCTGCTTCTCTCTCCAGCTCTTTTGCTCTAGCATCCAGATTCTTCTCCAAGTAATACTGACACATTCACACATTCCAAAAAGTTAGTTATACAGAGACAATATTATACTGGTTAAAAAGTAGCGATAGTGCAATCTGAAGTATACATTGTAGTCGCCTGCATAATCTTCTAAACAACCATCTTCTACTTCTATCACTCTGTTAACGATTTGTTTGATGAAGTATCGATCGTGGGATACCGCAATAACTGTTCCTTGGTACTCGTTTATCGCTTCCTGATTCAATTAAACAAGAGTAATTAGCATATCTCCAGGTCCAAGAACAGCTATTATCATAGTATCCAACGATCTCAACAAAGCAGAGAAGCCTACAAACCTCGAGCATTTCTTTTGAAGGAATGTCTAAGTGATTGGTTGGTTCGTCCAGAACGAGAAAAGTTGATGGTGTCACCATGAACTTGCAGAAAGCAAGACGCGCTTTCTCACCACCGCTTAAAAGAGAGACCTTTCGATCCAGCATATCTGCTTTGAAGTTGCAGCGTCCAAGAAGACCTTTTATATCATCACTTCTCCAGTCTTCTGCAGCTTCACAAACTGTTTCAAGCACTGTTTTATCCAAATCAAGGACCTCGGCCTAGCGGAAAAAAAAACAAAGGGTTGAAAACCAAATCATGTCAATAAAGTGAGCAAACCTCTCTCCAGTTGTTTAGCTCTTTAATTGATGGAGCAAGTGAAAACTGACCTGATTCTGTTCAAAGTAGTTTGGCAGTACATTGTGCTCTCCAAGAATAACTTCACCTTTCATAGGCTTCGCTAAACCCATAATTAGCTTCAATAACGTACTTTTCCCACACCCATTCGGGCCAATAATGGCGATTTTCTCTCCTCTTTCTATTGATAGATTAGCCTTCTTAAATAGCATCTGGTTTTACAACAATACAGATTTTTTCACAGGTTAAACATGAGCAATAAAGGATTTATCCTATTGTCATGAGTTTGACTCTAGTAGCTCACCTTATCCTCGAAACCAAAATCAATGTTTTTAACATTGACTACCGATCTTCCACTTGTTCCACGCTCTGGAAACCTAATCTTCATCTGTTTCCGCTGAAATGGCTTTTCTATTAGCTCCTGTTCTTGAAGCTTCTCTAGTTTCTGTTATAAACCACACAAAAGAGAACATAAGCTTAAACTTCTCAATCCAATTCACAGATAGAAGAGGAAGCCAGACTAGTGGAATAATAATTATGCTTAGGACACCGAAGAAACATTTCAATTATGTCACGCCGCAGCAATCACGGCAATGGTTATACAAATTAGCAAATTCTTTTTGTTTGCTAACCTTTTCTGCAGTAGAAGCACGACCAGAATTGGCACCAGCACCAAGCCTGGCGATCAAGTCCTTAGTTGAATCGATCTCTTTCTGTTGCTTTTCCCAAGCTGCATTCTGAGTTTCGATCCACTCTGCCTTTGAGATCACATACTGAGAATAATTACCCTCAAATGTCCTCGACACACCCATCTCAGTTTCCACAATTTTAGTACATAACTGATCAAGAAAGGCTCTGTCATGTGAAATAATAACCATAGGCACATCTTGCTTCTGCAAATAACCTTCAAGCCACTCAATAGTATCAAGATCCAAATGGTTGGTCGGCTCATCGAGTAGCAGCAAATCTGGATCCTACTCACAAAAAAAATACACAATTCAAACACTTTAGCTTTCAGTTCAAACTCATTGAAAAGGATGAAACTTTACGGAATCAGATCACTCATATACCTGAAGCAAAATCTTTCCAAGTGACATTCTCATTTGCCATCCACCACTAAAGGAAGCCACAAGCCTATCAGCATCCTCTGGAGCAAACCCTAATTCCGGCATCAACTTACTAATCTTAGCATCAACGGAATCTAAATTCACAGCCTGAGCTCGTCTCTGCAACAAATCAAATTCATCTAATAACCTTCCCATAAGATCCAAATCATCAACAGATCCTTCAATAGCCTTCTGAACTTTCTCAAGCTTCTCAGTGATCTCCATCTCTTCCTTAAAAGCACTCATGAACTCTTCCCTCACGGTCTTACTCATCGAAACCTCAAATTCCTGGCTCAAGAAAGCTATTTTCATATTGGGTTTGGCCTTGATTACGTTACCTGAATCAGGCTCTTCTTGACCAGTGATAATCCTGAGCTGAGTCGTCTTCCCAGCTCCGTTCACTCCCACTAACCCTACTTTCTCACCCCTTTTCACTTCCCAGGTCACATCTTTAAGCACAGTCACGCCTTTGTAGCTCTTCCTTATGTTCTCTAGCTTCACACCTGACGAAATCCCAGAAGCTCCGTTTTTCGAATTCTTACCGTTTCGTCTCCGGTCGGAGTCTTGTTCGGAGGTTGGTTTCGAGAAAAGCGATTCGATTTCGTCTTGACGCTCTTTAACGGAGGTCTCGAGGCTGATAGTGGAAACTTGGGCTCTGATGGTGGAGATTTCGCGTCTAAGGTTGGAAATGGAAGAGATTTTGATGAAATTGGAAGGGATTGGAGATGGACAAGGACGGAGACCGGTGAAGAATGTTGAACGGAGGTCGAGGCTATGGAGATTCGTTGATAAGCCCATGTTGTAGCGATAGAGAGAATGGTGAGAGATGTTGAGCAATCTCTCGCGAGAGAATCTTCCTCTACCGAAGAAGAAGAAGCAGCAGAGTAAGAGAACTCTCGAGAGAAAAGCTTTGATAAGAGTTTCTCTCTTACGTTTGAGTGTGAGCCACGAGATTTATTTCATTTATTTATTGGTTTGTATTTTTATTTTTATTTTTATTTTTGTTATTTTTTCATCTATATCTCAAATATCATTATCGTAAATAAAATCAATAGAAGATAACAAAAAATTTGAATGACAACAAACTAAATGATATTCTCTAATCTCTATGTCTTAAAATGTAATATGTTTTAGTTTAAAAAATATATATATTTTTTTAAAATTAAAAATTTAACTAATGATTTAAAATATTAAATAAAACAAATAGTTATAAAATATTAAATATATTTAAAAATTACATATAAATTTGTAAAAAAAATTCTAAAACATCTTATATAATAAAACAGAAGAAATATCAAATTAGTTAAAATCGAAATACGTAAGGAGCATGAACAATGTAGTATTTACAACAAAAATGTTTGGTGGTTAAAAAATATAAATTTCGCAATTTTTTTGTAAGTATTAGTGGTAATTGTATTTCAAATTTTTATGAACGACAACCAAATGCATTCTATAAAAGTTTTTGCTATAATGCCAAAAGAAAAAATTGATAGCCAAAACTACAAATCGGAATATTCATTTTTATTATCTTTGAGTTCTCTGCCACATGCAATGATGCAATATTGCAATGTATTACACAAAGTCAATAAACGAGTATGAATGAGAAATATAACACAAAAACAAACGAAAGAATCTAGTTTTGTGGTGTGGAAGAAGATAACAATCCGGTGAAGTTACTTACCTCTTTGTGGTTCACATAACTCCTTTGAAAAAACAGACACTTCTAATATTCTGCCACGTGTCCAACTATATCATCAGCCACGTCAGTTTCTCTGTGGATCTCTTCACGCCACGTCGTCACGCAAGTTGTTTTTTTAATCCTTTTTTCGGATATCAGTTTTTTTTGTTTGTTCAGTTTTTTTGTTTGTCTGTTCAATTTATAATCTTCTATCAAAGATGCTTCATTTTTTTATTAGTGTCCGAGTTTACTCAAAAGATTAGCTAGCAAAAGGATTTAATAGTTTGGTCGAAATATGATTAAACCTGTATTTATATGTTAATCGCCTCCATGACTATAATTCGCATTTGTTATTAGCCATAAATTTATAGTTGACGAAGCAAAGTCGTACTTATTTATAACTAATTGTAGACTTTCTTTTGTAAAGTAGATAATATTAAGTGGATACAGAAATACAGATTCGCTAACGATATATAGTCGGTTAGGTTTGATTTTATTTAACATAATACACAAAATGATGTGACTTTTGGTGGATAATTTTAGTACATATACACCACTAGAGTATTTTTAGGAACAAACCAAAAATTGAAAATTAACTAATCAAATCCAAACAAATTTTGCTTAATCTATTAGAAAATTATCAGATTAAATTTAATAAATTAGTTGCCGGCCTTCAAATCTCTCTCTACCCGTAATCCATAAACTTGTTTATATCATAACTTTAGGTTATTATTAGACCAGTTATAAATCGACAGTACTAAACGACGTCATTTAACAGGAAATGAGAGCAAAGCTGACGCGGATAAAGCGTGTGTGCGTGTCGGAATGAATGGCATTATCGTAATTACCTCACAAAAGCTAACCTTTTCTCGGAAGCAAAAATACAAAATAAAATATTTTTGATATACAGTGTAGTTGTATCACCACCAATCGACCTGTTACTTTGCTGTATTAAATTTTGGTATACTTTTTCTTTAGCTTATATATATTGCTCTGTATCACCCATCTTTCTCCAAAGATCATCTCTAACTTTAAATAGAAAAAAAAAAAAACAGGATTCACTGCTAGCTAGCTACAGAAGGTTTGATCACATGGAAGATCGAAAAGAGGTTTTTATTTTTTTATTTTCTTGTCTAATCCATTCGTCTTCTGTGTTTTTGTTTACAAAATATTAAAGTTAAGTGATGATGCATGATCAAACAAAAACTCGAGTTCTTGCACTAAAATTCGAGTTTAGTGTGAGAAATTAGTCTGGGTTAATCCATAAAAGCTTGGTGAAAAAGCCCTTTCTTAGGTTTTATTCTTTTTCTTTTTTGGTTCTTGAAAATCAAAGTAATTGAAATGGATTTGTTTGGCAGAACAAGAACTCGCCATGGCTATCAGTACCACAGTTTGGAGATTGGGATCAAAAAGGAGGATCAATTGATTACTCAATGGATTTCTCAAAGATCAGAGAGATGAGGAAACTTAACAAGAGAGATGCTTCTCGAGCCAGTCTTGGTAATGAGGAAGAACTCATTAACCCTTTTCATAATCAACCTCCTGTTGATACTACCAAGCCTAAGAAGCTAACTACGGTTCACAGTGACAACAACAACCACAATGAGTTCTCTCACCACCACCCACACTCTCCTTCTGTAAGATTCTTGTTTCTATCTTAAACATTCATTGTCTTGATTCTTGATTTGTTTGACTTTGGATGATTGGATTGTGTCCTGGATTAGCTGTGTGCCATTGATATAAGTTATTGAATCTGTATTTGTAGGCTCTATATATATCCTTAGATTTTGGGATCACACATTGTTTGTTTTAATTACTTGTCTTGCTCATACTTACTCTTTAGATTTTTAAAGGTTTTGATTGAGTTTATTACATGTTAAAATATTACACTTAAATGTCCATTGTATATGAATTGGTATTAGCCCCTGCCTTCATTGAAACCGGTAGGTAGGTGTTTTGACTTGAATTTAGATTTTGATTGCATTTACATGTTGAAATATTTATGACTTACACTTTGAAATTTTGAATATCCATTGTAAGATTCATATTTGCTTGATGAATAGGATGATAATGTTTGTGAATTGGTCATTGGATGTGGACCTTCTTTGGGTTGGTTAGGTTTTGGAATCTAACATTGTAAGCATTATATGGCTACTTCTAGCAATTGGGTAAAATGTGGTCCTTCAATGTTTGGTCAAGTTGGTTGCTTATTGCTGTTTATGACTACACATGATATTAATATTATATACCCCACCAAACTTCACAACTTTAGATTCTGAGTTTATATTGGATTTGGAACTTGATTGGATATGATTGTGATTGTATCATTAGAGAATCACTAGAATGCATACAATATGTTTTATATTCATGATAAGATATTGAAAAGAATGTGTAAAACTATATTTAAAAACAGAGTAAAATCAGAGTAAAGCATAATCCTTTATATCGTACCTACCATCTGAACTGACATAAATAATGCAGTATATGTGTTACTTTTGGATAAAACATTCTTAATCTTACGTGTAAATGACTTGGAACAGAGGAGGAGAGGAATCTTCAGCTGCTTCAACTGCTGCGTTAAAGCTTAAAGGTGTTTACTTATTTATGATAATAATAACAAGGGATGATATTTGAAGACAGAAATGAGAGATGGTAGTGACACCTTGTTTTCACATATGTTTCTTCGGATGCATCAATTAAAATATGTCTGTTGTTTACTTGTGTATCTAACTATGTTTGCTAAAATATTCTTTTTGTAATTTTGTTTGATTTATGTAGACACTGATCATTTTCATTATTGTGTAATGTAGGGAAGATTTGTGATACATTACAATAATGCATCTAGATTAATCAAAAAAAAAGTGGTGTTTACTAAGAGTATTCAAATATGGTGTTTAATACAATTATCATCCTCTCGAAGTTGTAGCTCAATAGCCACCTTAAAGATTAAAGAACTTGTCGAGGTATGGATTTGGTTATAACTCTCACAGTCCCCACGCATTTAATATGATTATCAAGATGGCCTAAACAGAAGAATTTAGAAATAGCCAAAAACATCAATGGAGAAAGAGAACACAATGAAGATGAAAACGGCCTTCTCTGTTTCTATTGGCAATGTTTAGTAATATTAAAAGTGGAAGAAGAACAACAAAGTTGATATGGCCGAGTTGGTCTAAGGCGCCAGATTAAGGTTCTGGTCCGAAAGGGCGTGGGTTCAAATCCCACTGTCAACAATTCTTTTTTTCTTCAAGATCATTTTGATCAATGAACAAAATTTATTAAGGAACGGTGAGATTTAACATGTCCATCATCATACATCATATGATATCATCGATCCACTATTTCAACAACATGCGTGATGCTTCTCTCGTCTTCTTTACTTTATTTTGCTTTTATAGCTTTTAGCCTTTTACCATTAGCAAAGTTACAAAAAAAAACGAAAGATTCTTCCTCTTATCCACCTCAAAAGGTTTCCTCAAAGCCGTCCGTACAATGACAAAAGATCTCTGAGTCTGTCAGATTCAGTTTTCAGATTATCAAAGCTCGTTGAACTCGGAATCCTCCAACCCCAATTCCCAACCTTTTTTTTGTGTACAAAACCAAAGTCACATTGTTAAGAGACAATTTTATCATAAACCAAATTACTATTTGCTATCAGTTAGAAACCAATAAAAAACAAAAATGGTAGTGATAGAGAGCAGTGACTAACCTCAGTGGCTGGAGTGTTCATCCTGGCAGAACTTCCAAGTCCTAGAATGTCTTGCATCGGTATGATTGCGGTTTGAGCGGGTGAAGAGAATGCAGCTTGGATCACTGACCATGATATATCGTCTTCTCCAGCTATCGACAGGTATTTCATTGCCTGCAACCCGGGGATATATCCATTGTGAATATGTTACAATCAAAAACTGAGAGCAAAACATGGTTTATGGTGTGAAATTAGTGAAATGACCTTATACTTTTCTTCTTGGTTTAGAGTGTCCCACCAACCTCGAATCTATTTACCAAAGAGAAATCAACGAGACAGATACATTTCTTCCGGTTTCTTTTTATCAGTTTAGTAAATCAACTTACAGTGTCGTTGTCATGAGTTCCAGAGTATACAACTTGGTTTACTTCATGATTGTGAGGTAAATGTGGGTTATCGGCGCCTCCTCCAAAAGCTGAAATTAGACAAAATAAATGTAGAATTGATAAATATTTGAAGACAGTGAAGAACATGAGGAAGCCAAAGCTGTTTTACCAAATTGGAGGACTGCCATTCCAGGCGCTCCGATAGATTTCCTCAGCTCAACTACATCTTTAGTAATAACTCCCTGTCTTATAGCAAAGTGTAGCCTCTATTAGCAAACAATCACATGCCAGATTCTCAAAATGTAAATTTGCCTAACAGAAACTGAGTATATGATTCTACACTCGGATTATTGAGGAACACAGGACTTCAAGAATTTCTACTGGTTCAAGATGATATTTCACAGTCAAATGGTTGGCCATCAATTATCTCTGTATGACCATCTCATGCTCGATGTAAACTACAAGCAAGTTCATTATAAACTCATAAATTGATGCACATCTATTATAAAGTGTTTGCGTAATTGAGTCTGATAGCTTACCAAATCTTCAGCTATGATTTTGATCTTCCCAACGCCTCTGGAAATGGCATCAAATAATGACTTTCCAGGTCCTACCTACATTAATACAACTTTTGTAGTTCTTAGTTTCTTTACCTTATTTTCTTTTACATCAATGAATTAAGCAACGCACCTTCCATCGTCCAACCATGGCTACTTTTGCTTCTGCAGAAGAATATCACAGCTGATCAATCCTAACAAAATACTAATCCAGTATGTACCCAACATATATGATCAGTCACTCTTTTCTAGTTTGAATTTAAACTCACCAGAAGGGACCGCCCAAAACCCTGCAAATCCTCTGAAATGATCAATCCTGCATTCGTCATACAAGTCCTGTGCGCGTCGTATTCGATTAACCCACCAAGAATATTGGTCACTCTCCATTGCTTTCCAGTCATAAAGAGGGCTTCAAATCAAAGAATCGAAAAGATCAGTAAATACTATGGTGGCGAAGAAAAATAAAAGAGATTGAGAGGTAACAAGTTATGGATATGGAACATTTGTGAAGTACAACAAATTGTTTAGGGAAAGCCAGAAACTTATTCACGTTGAAGATGCTACAGTAACACTAAATAAATATTGCCTACATCGAGATAATACATAACTAAAAATAAACAGTGGCGTTTCCTACTTATTTGAGTGAAAAGATAAACAAAACATCTTATCAGTAAACTAAAGTAGTAGAGTGAGTAGCATCAATACCTTCCCCACAGTTGACCAGTTTCACTGAACAAGTCAGGAGGAACACCGCTAACAAGAAGAGGAAAGCCTTTCTTGTTCTGTGTAAAGCAAAAAAAAAAAGAAGAGCGACTTTCAGGAAAGACTAATCTTCTTCCTGGTACATATGATAAAACTGTTTGCCTTCATATGTTAAAATTTACTTGCCAGTAAGAAATGTTTCTTATTTGCCCAAACGTCTGCACTGTGATATCCTACATAAATGGGCATATCTCCCATTATATCAACTCCTTGCCGTCGTGCATACTCACGAACTTTCTGCCACTGCCTTTGGAACAAAAATTGCTTAGCAATGAACAAGTCTATCTGCAGCAAAAAGAAGAGGTTACTCTCAAAACATTAATTCATGATGAAATGAAATCCAAGAAGTTAGCTAGAGCCACCAAGATCTTACAAACTCCTTTTGACTTTCATATATAGCTTCCAAGGCCGAAAGATGACGGTTTTTAAGGGGTTCAGGCCATTCAAACCAACTGTATGCATTTAAAGTATTGTCAATAGCTGCAAAATAAGCAGCATCTTCAAGCCAACCTGTAGATAGTGAACATGAAAACCTCAATAAAATTGTGTTATCCATATTAAGCCAGCACATTGTTAGAAAATGAATCTTTAAAAAATGTTTATTTCTCACATGATATAGAGGGGTCGTTACGGAAATCTTGTAGTTTGCTCTTTAGTTCACCATTGCTATCAACTAGCCTTTTTGCTGCCTGAGAAAAGGACAAACAGTGATCAAACTTTACTTCTCAAGCAAAAAAAACTAACTTGAAAATGAGAGTAAGTTGCTGAATTTGTGTGAACTAGAGAGTACCGAGTGAGAGGGTTAGCAGCAAGGTTGTTTACCTTAGTTATCAAGGGACTCTTTAACTTGTTGGCAGTTTGATAGTTCACACAGTCGGCATCACTGGTTCATATAAGATTACGGACTTGAGAATGAGACAAAACAAAAAAAAAAAAAAAAAAAAAGAAATTTGAGTCCACTTATAAAGTTATTAAAAAGAAGGTAAGTACATTTGTTGTGGGAGCTCATCCTTCATTAGCAAGCCGTCCTTGACAAGCTCATCCAGAGAAATCAACAATGTGTTCCCACAATTTGCATCCTAGAAGTAGCCAGGCACAAGTAGTTAGCAATAACTAAACAAAAAGGTAGCAGAAATCAATTTGGAATCCATGGAAAAACCACAAACCTGTCCTGCATAAGGAGATCCTCCTTCGTCTGGTGGAACCAGAGGAAGAACCTGCGATTTACTAGTAATATATCATCAACATTGCTCTGTTAATTTCATCTAGTCTTGAGATTAATTACTGACCTGCCAAACGGAGCAACCAGTAGAATGAAGCCAATCGATGAAACGGAAGGCTTCATCTCCGAGATCACCAATGCCATGAGGACCGCGAAACGACGTCGGGTGGAGCAAAACGCCAGCTCTTCTCCTGCTCTCTGGATCCGGAACCGGCAGCCACTGCTCATACTCTGCTGGAAAATCTTCGCCGACGCTGATACATGAAATAGAAGTGGAATTACTCGAAACGGCCTCCATTCGGAACGACTGCGACGGCTTTGTCCTGTTCCCGAGGAAAGCTGCGTCCGATAATGATACCGGAGAGGATAATCGGAAAAGCTTGAGAGAAGAACAGAGTGGAGGAGACGAGCTAAGAATCGACATGATTAATGATCATCAATTCAAAGCTCCACTCCCACTCCCACACACCAGAACCAGATGACAAAAAAAACAAAAAAAGCAGTCGAGATATTTTTGTTGCTCTTGAGAGAGAGATCACGTGATCATCACGTGCGGTGTAAGGAAAGGAAATCTCGTGAATGGCGCCATTTTCAAGGCCCGTATTTTGGGCTTTTTAGGCCGACGAGATCGGATCCTATATATCCCTTAAAAGTTAGAACCCATGATCCAAAATAATAAATCACATTTCGTCATTATTTTACAGCTAAATGTTTTTTTTTGGTAGAAATTTTACAGCTAAATGTTTCAGCTATATATCCCTCGACTCAAGATTTTTATAAATATAATTTTAATTCAGTGTTATCTACCATCCTGGCAGTTTCACCGACTGGTCAATATTCACTAGTATGCAGCTTCCGTAATTGATACTCTTTGCTAAAAAGAGGAATTTGCAGTTCACAGAGAGGTGAGGACCATTCTTAAAGATATTCCCATAGAGGGAAAACATTATTGGAGCATGGTCCCCTGAGGCATTAAAAAACAGTAGCCATCATAATAAAGTGGTAGGTGTTGTTGAACTATTTATCTGATGGTGACAAATATATGTAGATATAACTGGAAGGTCCATCTATCTACACAATTGCATTCAACTATTGAAGCAATCATATATGTTTATAATCCCTTCTATTTATTTAAGTAGATTACTAAGCAAGTATCCAGAGAGAAGAAAGGTAACTTCAACACGCGATAGTAAACGAAACACTTGAAATTTGATTTAAAAAAGAACACATATCCTTCGAAATCCCTAGTCAAAGTCACATTTGTCAGATATTATTGTTTTATCTTCAAACGCTGACTTCCAAGTTCTCTAAAACATATAAGAAAACAAACCCAAAAGCTAAAAAATAATAAATAAAGAAGCAACAACACTTGAAATCTCAACCTCTGTGTTGTTGAGCCTGAAGTGACTGTTTGGGCTCAGCACCACGCAATGTACCAATCCAAGCTGGTGGCTGCATCCCGGTCTGCTCATAAACCGTGTCAAGAACCGGTGGCAACATCTTGTATAGTCCAGCAATATCGTTCATCGGACCTTTACCACCACCGTTCATCCCCTGCTCGGCACCACCATGGTTCCACACACTGATCTTAGGCTGCAGGTCCCTGATTGCAAGAGCATTGGTTTTGGCGATTTCTTGATAAATGCCATTGTTGATCATCAAGAAGTCTCTCATGGATGAGTAATCATTGTTAACTGCGCCTAAGAGGGTCTTGAGATATTTCCCCTGAGCTTCGGCCATTGCCACAAGCCCCTCTGCATCTTTCTGTTTCGAATAGAAGGCAGCATCAGCTGCTGCTTTCATCGCCTCCGCTTGCTTCTGCTTCTCGTAAAGAACAGCTTCTGCTTGCTTTTGCTTATTGTATAACTCCCAGTTCGCTTCTTGCACCTGTGTGTATAAACAACAATGTCATATTGTCATGTCATGATCCAAAAAGAGAGAATGAATTCAAGCAAAGTCTAATGATTGAGATGTATATGCATTACCTTAGTTTCATACTCAACACTGGCTTTACTGAGGAACTCAGCTTTAAGCTTCTCTGTCCGAGTCAATGCATTCATTTTCTCGACTTTAGTCTGAAGCTCAGCTTCCCTCAAAGCAACAGCCTTGGATGCTTCAACCTCAGCCACACGAGAGTTTTGGGACAAAGCAGCCTTTTGAATCGCCAGTGCTGCATCAGCCTTAGCAACAAGAGCCTCTTTCTCATTCTGAAACACTTTGACTTCAGTCTTCACCTTGATCTCCTCTTTTGTCCCTTCTCCTAGCCTCTGAGTGGAGATGATCTTTGACTCAGCGTCAATCTTGGCTGCATTCTGGATTGTGAGCCCGTTCCGTTCTTTGGCACCAACCTCTCCCTTCATCTTTGCCTCTGCTACATCGATCTTGGCTTGGTTTGCTGCTTCCATCTGAGTTTTCTGGCCCAAGTAAGAGAAGTACTCATGTCCAGGCACATCAACGAGCTGCTTCACATTGGCGTTGTAGATCACAAGACCAAACTGGTTTAGCTCCAGTTGAACCTTGTCAAACACTTCTTTCTTGAACTCCTTTGTTCCTACAATTCCACAATTAGATGAAACAAGGATCAATAGGTTATACATGTACACAAACATAACATCTTAACAAATCAAACAAGAATCCGCAAATAAGAAGTAATGAAAACGCGTAAGTTTGGTTACCTTTGAAGACCTCTTCCATAGTCATGGAAGCAACAAGAACACGAGTCTCTCCTTCGATAACACCCTGAACAAGCTCATTGACGTGATTCGAGTGTTTATCGTGTTGAGACATAAGCATAGCGTACAACAAGAGAGCGTGAGGGTCATCAACGCGTGGGCCGATCGTGAAAACAGCCGGAATAACAAAGGGAAGTTTCTCGGAACTCATAGCTTGAACCTCGAACGTGTAGTTGACGGGAGAAACGTCGAAGACGGTGCAAGACTGCCATGGAAACACCCATGACTTCTTTGCAAGCTTGATGTCTGTGATCCCACCACCGGTGATGGCAAGATACTGCGATGCTTTAGCGACTCTGTAACTCATTCTTCTTCGTCTTCTTTGAAATTAGGGTTTTGTTGAGATTTAGGGATCTTTCTGATACGAGTTTATTTGTGTGTGGAGAGATCATAAAAGAGGGTTTTACTTATATACAAGTTTTTAATACGCGTAAATAGGAAAATAAAAGGGAAAAAAACAAATATTCTCTTAAATTACTTTTTTATTTTATTTTAATATACACGGACTATTTATTTATTTTTCTATTTTTGTCAACATTTACTATATTTTCTTGTAAATCAAATCCTATACTATTATTTGGGGAGTACACTTTATAAGAAACTCTTAACTAACCTTCTCTTTTGTAAAAAATTACATGAGAATGCCATTACAAATTTTTTCTTTTAGAACAAATTTATTCAATTTCTTAAGGATAAACAAGTAAAATACTAATTTATGTCATTTAATTAATTTAATTAAATTATAAAACGAAAATCTGTTATTAATTTTTTTTAAATGACCAATCAAAATGAATATATAAGATTTGATATCTAACTTACCATATTAATTTGTTATTAATCATTAAACTTCACCTCTCATCTTTATATGATTATATTTATATGAAACAAATAAATCATCATATCATCTATATAATAAAAAAAAGTAATTTTTTTCTGCATATGCCAAGATTTGAATTTTTAAAAACGCATATAAATTGTTCAATCTATAAAGAAAACAATTAAACGGGTCAAAAATTCAGACTTGAGTAATATATTTCTTTTACACAAAAATAAATTCAACAAAAATTTCGACTTAGCAACGGGTAAGAATTTGAATATTTATATTCGATTTCATACATTTATTTTTTTAAATGTATAATTTTATATACTTCAATAATAAATTAAATATTTTAATTTGCAACATTTAAAATAAGTTTTACTTGATATTTTTAGAGAATATCATCAATACTTAATAGTTCAAAAAATTAAAAATTATAAATACTCTAATTTGATTAATTAAAAAAATATTTATAATAGGTAGCGGGTTAAATATAATATATTATATGATGAAATGAGTTTTGATCCTTATAACTATTTGGATAGTTATATTTAATTTCACATAATTTGTTTTTTGAAATTCAAAATTTATAAACTACAAAAAAAATTTAAAGATTTTAATTAGGAATATTTAAAAATAGTGTAGAACATTTAAATATGGTTTGACACCTCTAAATATTTGAAAATTTGATTCCGCAAGCAATTTTAGAATTAACGAATAATAGATTGTGTACGGAATATTTTAAAATGAAATATTGAGATTCTAAAATAAAAATATAGACTCCACACACAGGTTGATTTTGGTATTATTATATACTAAATATATGTTTATAACATATTCGATTATGCAAATAATTGGTAAATTCCGTAATTATAAATCTCAAAAAAATTCTGTAATTAGATTACCTCAAACAAATCTCTATTTCAACAACCAAAGAATTATAAATTGAAAAAGAATTTTCTAAATTAGTTCAAAATAATAGCTAATTTCTTAATTAATTCAAAATAATCTATGTTTTATATGCGATTCATTTATGATATTTTAATTCTAACTAAAATATATGCAATCCTATTTTGTGGTTGTTAACATAAATTAACTCATTGTTCAAAAAATATTACTTTTTAAAAAATAAAATTATTTTCCATTTTCATGTCTTAAAAAAATTATTATCCATAATTGAGTATTATAGAAAAAAAAAATCTATATTTATTCTAATATTGTATATAGGAACTGACAAGAAAATTAATATTTTTTGACTTTGTAGTATAATATATTAAAACTTAGTTCTAATATATATATTATATAAATTTTGTAATAAATAAAATTTAACCCGTACTTTAGTACGGGTGATGATCTAGTCCCTTATATATTAATAGAGAAGCACTTTATAAAATAAACCTTATCTTGACGTGTTATTAACTAAACTGCCATGCTGACATGTCGCTCTCAGAGTGAATTTTCACCCATTTAAATTATTACACAAATTTTACTAGACTATTTACAGATTTTGCCATTAGTCTTAATACATACATATATCATACAAATAACAAAAAAACGAAATTATAATTAAAAAGCAAATAATTAGGCAACTGATATCATATTTATATTTAACAACAAATCACGGGTTCTTTGTTTATTTATATTAATAATCTATTTTCAATAATTAAAAGGAAAAAAATTGTGTTTATCTTATATTAATAAATTTTTATATTTATATTTTTCTTTATATACATTTATATAAATCTTCTCTAGCCGATGGGTAAAAAATCTTTTTATTTATATATATATATATATATATATATATATATATATTTATGCTTATATTTAAATGATAAAAGATATACATTTTGTTCAAGAATCTCGAATTCAAAACTACAAAATCTCTAAATCTTTCATAAAATTTTATATATATTGTACTTAAATAAATAAGATAATCTCTTTTCTATACATGTTACGGATATTTAAAATCCGATTTTTTTGGAGTGGTTCTAACTTTTCGAAGAAAAACATTATAACCACATTTATATATAAACCAAAATCTGGCCACATTATAACCTCTTTTTTTTGTCAAACGGTCACATTATAACCATTTCGTAAATAATCCATTCATAATATAAGAATCTTATATTTGGAACACTACAAAATCTTAACTCGGAAACTATCAAATATCATCTTTGCTAAATTTTTGGATTTCTTATACTTAAATAATAATAAAAAAATTATTTTTATACTACAAAATCTCGAAATCTTTAAAACATACGGAAAGACATATTGCCATAACTGGTAACATTTCGTCAATAATTTCTTTATCACGTTGAAGCTTTATTCAAGGTTCAAATATTCCACGGGTAAAACGTATTCTTATATAAATAGTCCCAAGTTTGAATAAAACAAAAAAAAATTATTACATGTTACGTTTTACACAAACGGATCTTGGATCCCGGATAATAATTTTAATCATAATAATTTTACTTGAATCACTTCATCCCGCACATAGTGCGGGTTGTTATCTAGTTAGTGTTATACATAGAACTAGATTCTTTTGTACTTTCTACGAAATTTCATTGAAAATCGATTATTTTACAAGATTATATAACTTTTTTGGCTAAATTTAAATGTTAAAAGATTTTATTATTGATAATGACAATTGGATTATGTGGGAATCTTATATTTTGATACATACCTACCTTATTTATTTATTTATCTAATGATAAATACATGTAGATTTTCTTTATAGTTGAGATGGTATTTTTATGTTTATCTTTAACTTTATTTATTTGTATATAAGAAAACTAATAATATATGGTGGATATAGTTGAAACATCCAAGAAATTTCGGGCATCTATATCGCATGTAAATTTTATATAGAAATATACCAGATCCAAGAGATTATTATAGCTAAATTTTTACGTTTTTTAACTACTAAATTTTTACATTTATAGCTAAATTAAAAACATTGACTACAACTCATAAATCCATCATATATGAAGAATACAGGACAAGTCCACCAATCGCAATAAATTTATTAGATAAGTTTTCTCACAGCAAATTTAATCCAATAACCAATAATGACTAATTAAATTAAATTATATTTTTTTCGACATCGAATTTTAAGAGATTATCTAAACACTAAAAAAATTACATAAAATCAGGGATAATTCCTTTAAAAAGATTTACAAAGATCACGTGTTTTCACCTAGTTAACCAATTAACGCGTTACGCGTGGACTACCAAGAAAAGCAAGATTTTTGCCGTTATTTTCTCTCGCGGTGACCTGAATATCACAGCTCCGTCGTTTTATCCATTTTCCTTCACCCAACTTATTCGTCTGATTGTCTTCTTCTTCTTCTTCTTCTTCCTCAATCGTTTCCTCGAATCTCTCTTCCCGGGAAAATTGTTATCTTTCCATAGAAAATGGTAGATTCCGGGAAAGAGTTTTTGATGTTAGATAGCTACAATAGTATCCCATGGTTAATTTGGATCCAAATGTTCGTCTTCGTCCTCCTCTTACTCCTCCTTTGCGTCGTCGGAATCTTCTCCTTAGATATCGGAGATAACAATTTCTCATCTTCTGATTCTGTTCCTTCTACATCTGGTTCGTCTCTTTCTAAGCGATTTCTTTCTGGAAATCCGATTCCGATCAGCCACCATGGTTTGGGGTTTTCCGTCAATTCAAGTCTCATACAGTCTCATCAGGTACTCTAAAACTATCTGTCTCTTTCAATTTCTTCGACGATTCTCGGATTTAGTCGTACCTGCTCTACGTTGACTTACTGTTCCCAAACTGAGATCTCTTGAGATTCGAATGCTGAGTTAGATAATTACTAGTCTGAGACGATTTCAGCGACAGCGAGATCGATGTTCGTTCAATTTCTTCATTGTGGTTTCTGGGAATGGGAAACAAAAGTAATGGGGAATTTGCAGGAGTTTTATGGAACTTGAGGGGTTTAGATTGCAATTAAGAATTAAGTGGCAGCCATAATTAGCTGGAAAGTAGCCACATTTGAATGTTAGTGTTAGCTAAAAGTTGAAATGATGGTTTCTTTTCAATATTCTGGGTTCTGAAATTAGTAAATAGTGAAAAGTTATCTAAACATAGGAAATGTAATCATCCTAATTATGGTTTCTAGATCATATTAGTTGCGGTTAATAGTCTTTGTTCTAGGTTTTTGACATTAACGCCATAACAATCAGGGTTTACATGTGTATGTATGTATGTGTTTTGATGTTCTTGGATTCTTTGAAATGTCTCTCTCCAATGTTGTTGGTTGTTGCTTTTAGGTAACGAACCAAGGTTGTTCCCTTGTTTTAAAAGCTACTTGCTTGCTTAGTTTTCACAAGAGATCGATATGTCTAGTTTTTTCTTTAAGCAACAACTAGATTCCTCTCCTGGCTTTCTTTACACAGAGATGTTTAGTGTTGATTCCAGATTATATGACTCAGAGATTCTTGGATTCTAAAAAAACATTTAGATTATGGATCCGGAAAATGGTTAGAACCAAACAGTCCTCTTTAAGTTTGTGTGGTTTATCTGTTGACTGGATTCATTGCATTGGTGTTGCATTGTTTGTTAATGAACCTATCGGTTTTTGTAATCACACAGATTGGAAGCTCTCAAAGCATAAAAGGAGAGATAACACCAGCTGTAACAAGGAGAGTGACAAGAACAGAGGAAGCAGAAGGTTCGTTGGACAAAGATTCAAGTCATAGTTTGCAACATCCATGTACTTTGTTTAGGCTGGCAGGATCTGCATTTCTAAAATGTTTCGGGATTGACCGGAGTACAGAAGAAACCGAGGATTCTTTGAGACAAGAATCTAAGAAAGAGAGATGATTGAAGCTCTTTGTGAATAGAAGAAGAGAGAACATACTATAACACGTTTTTATTATGTGTTGATCGTAGCAATCGAGTAGGAAGAGATTGAAGAAACTTGTAAAGTAGTATATGAAAAAGGTGATATTGTTGGGGTAACACGAACGAGTTGACTCAACGCATTCGTTTTCTTTACGTGTAACGATATTGTCACCGTGGTTAAATTGTCTTAAATGCGGTTATTTTCGGTTAATTGCATCTGTAACGATATTATGTCACCATTCTTAAGACACCCTTGATAATCATGCTCTAATGGTGCTCTTAGTTACTTAGTTGCATGCATGTTATGTCAATCTAACTTTTTAGTTAAGAGTTATAATTTTAGCCATTTTAAAATCACGAAAAATGATCAATTAAATGAAACCAAAACACACAAATTACGAATTTACGATCAATGATTTCTCAGAGGTTTTGGTTTCATTAACAAAAGCCAAATTGTTAGCCCAACAGTCTCGTTGCAACTAATTTATTAGAATTATCTTTGGAATAAACTGGTTGTGTCCACACACATCGAAAGTCAGTCAACTATTTAGAGTCATTATTCAAAGCCACTTGATTATTTTTGCTGATAATACCAAATTAGTTTATTTTAAATGCATGAATTAATTCATTATTTTGTCAACTAAGTAATTAAAAACTCAAAAGCTGACTAAATAAATCATAGTCCAAAGTCTTTAGGAAACTGTATTCTATGTTGAAGACTCATACCAACTACCGAAATGAACTCACTATAAATACAAAGTTGTCTCTCTTGATCACTTACTCACATCTAGAGATACAAAGTTGTCTCTCTAATCTAGCTGCTCGATAACTCACCAAACTATCGGATCTCAATGGAGAAATCAGATAGACGAAAGGAAGAAGAAACTTATCTATGGATTCCATTACAATTTCTCGACCAAACTCTCATAGCTGTCTTGAAATGTCTTGGTCTTCTTTGCCCGACGGCGAAGAAAACGGCGTCGCCTCCTGTGATTCTTAACCAGCCGGTAAGCTTTGTTTAACAGCATTTATCAAATTTACAAGATTATAGTATATATTAGTGTACTATGCGATTATTAATTAAAAACAAAAATTGTTGTTTTATATGGTAAAATGTTTTTGCGTGGAAACTAATTAGAAGCGTTTGTGTGTGTAGGTTTATTAATTCTCATTAGTGAGGACTACTATTTAGCTATTTTTATTTTGAAATGAAAATATTTGAAATCCTAGTTAATTAATCTGATTTAGTTTGGATGACGATGTAGATCATATTAGAAGTGTTAATATTCAGTCAGACAACGTCATATATATTTTGAGTTGATTTATAAAGGTTATATAATTAATTTGGGTTTTGATAGCTGCCAATATATGTTATACGTACTAATATGAATCTAAATGTACGTAGGAGGAACAAGAGGAAGACGATGGTGTTGCCATGAAAGACGATGATGTCGTTTTGTCGTCGAGTAGAGGCAAGAAGGCCAAAGCAAAGAAAAGGGATAAAGAAAAGCCTAGTTCAGGTCGTCCTGGCCAAACTAATGTAATACCCAACGCAGCAATACAAGTTTATGAGGAGGGTTAAGAAGTCTTTTTTTTTTCCCTTTTTAACTCAAACTTCAAATTTCCATTGATTTATGAAAGAGTCGTACGTGATCTATTTTTGTTTGCTCTTTTGTCAAGACAACAATATTTGACCACACGGCGTCTATTTTTATAAACGAGTGACTCAGAACAATTGGTTCCAAACTTCCAATTCAAAAGTATATATAGTTCTGGTCCAACATTCGTCATCGGACGACGACGAGTGAACTGCTATCATTATTGTTTGTAAGGTTTATTACAATATATTAAATACTAGTTGAGTCATCAACCTACCTAAAGCCAAAAGCCACATGCTTATTTTCGCTAATAACAACAACAAAAAATTTAATAATTATGCATGAATTGATTTCATTTCTTGATTATCTTTTGTCAACTAATTAATCAAAGACACATAAAAGGGACTAATTATTTTATAATATAAAGAGTCACACCAAATACCGAGTTAGCCCACTATAAAAGGCAAAGTTGTCTCTCTGCTCAATCACTCACATCTAAAGAACAGCTTCACTCCTCTCACCAAAATCAATACGAGTAATAAAAGTTTTATTCATCTTATCAGATCTCAATGGAGAAATCAGATAGACGAAGCGAAGAAGAAAGTTACCTATGGATTCCTCTTCAGTATCTCGACCAAACTCTCAAAGCTATCTTGAAATGCCTTGGTCTTTTTCATCAAGATTCTCCGACAACGTCGTCTCCGGGAACTTCAAACCAGCCGGTAAGCTTTCAAGTGTATATTTTGGATTAATATAGGATTATTAATTTTTTGTTGTTGTGTATACACTACAAAGTGGTTATGCATGGAAAAAAAATAAATGGGGTATCATTTAATCTCTTCCTTAAACAAAACAAAAAAAAATGTTAAAATTTTGGAAGTAACATTTTTTTTCTTAATGAGCGCTTGTATGCATTTTTAATTTATTTCCAATCTTGTTTGACTTACTTTGAATTAAATCCTGATAAAAATATCAAATAAAGTTTGGATGAGAATAAAGGTCAGGTTGATATTTAGTGACATAACATCATATTTCGAGTAGTTATAATTTGGTTTTAAAAGCTACTAGCATGTTTTGAGGAATTTTATAAAATGAACACAATTAAACATTGTGTTTCTAATTGCAGGAGGAGGAAGAAGAAGATGTTACTATGGAAGAGGAGGAGGTCGTTGTAACGTCAAGGGGCATTAAAAACGGCGTCGTTGTGGCGAGTAGAGCCACAAAGGTCAAGGCAAAGACAAGGGGGAAGGAGAGAGTTAGCTCAGGCCGTCCTGGCCAACATAATTAGCACTTTAAATTACATTTTTTAGTTCAATTATTTGGAGTCAAATAATGCTAAATTTAATATCATTGTTACTGTATTTATTTTTTTATGATATTAACAATCTACCGACACAAAAAAATTCACTAAGTTCTTGTTTACTATAGTATATATTTGATGTGATATTTGGGTTTAACAAAAGTAAAATGTTCGAACATCACAAGTTCATAACCATGTATCAATATTAATTGAACGCATTTAATATCCATCGTAATTGAACGTATCCGTCCAATGTTAAAACATTAAAGACGTACCTAATTGATTATTTTGGATTTATTTAGACAGTCAACAGCTATTTGGTTCTACCTAGCTAGCTCACATAGTCACATTAATTGTATTTAAATATCTTCACTCATATAGTCACATAGTACATGTTTGCAAAATGAAAAAACGAAGAAAAAGTTTTAACTTAATTATGGAATTAACAAAACGCAGTGACGATGCAGCATTATATTCAAATATTTTTCATAGCACAACGTGCATTATAAGTGGTATTATTAAATACAAAGTTGACGGGTGCTCTCAATCAGTAACGCATGATCGCTCTATAATTTAATAAAAATACATACTCCACGAGGAGCAGCAGCAACACCAACTTCAAATATATAACAATTTAACATTCTTCACTGTGACTTTAGACATCGTGATTTTTTTGGTTGTCTCTTCATATTTATTTTTTTAAAAACATTTCATAAAACTCGTAGGCTGGTGATAAGTCTTACTTCATCGAAGAACCATAATTACACAACAAGGTATGGTCTGATTAAAGTTTGGGGGTCTTTGTAATCAGGCCTACAATAATCATTCCCAATTTGAAATATTACAACTTATAAGGGACCACAATAGTGAAAAGGCATAAATGCATTGAGCCAGTGGCGACGAAAAAAGTGCATTAAACCAAAGGAATATATGTTTGATTATTATTTTAATGTGGGATATACAAGATTACATGTGTGAAAAATGAAAACTAATAATATACTATTTATTATAATAATGATAGTATCTGAAAATGTAAATCTAAGTACAAAATTCGATTATCAATTTTATATTCTTATGCAAGAAAAATAAGTCATTTGTCAAATCATTTGGCTCTTAATTGTTAATTTCGAATCCAAAAAACCTAAGATTTAGCATTTATTTGAATAATCAAAGATCTTCCTTTGAATTCCCTATTCAACATTTGTTTAATAACTTAATTCAAACAAAACTAAAGAAGGAGCGTGAATTGACTTTGACCACACGACCAAATTCTCAAAACATCCACGTATTTGCTGCCATTTTTTGACCGCGTGCCACGTAGATTAAAGTCAAAATTGTTATTTTATTCACTTCAACATAAGTCAAATAAGCATCTCGGTTTTCAACATACCGGCACCAACTTTTCCAAAGTCTAATCATGTATGTACCTAACAAACCCGGTTTGTCATAGACCCGGTCAACACATAAAAATAGTTGACCAACAACCAAGTGATACCCCTTTAAAAGGAGTCGCATCTCCGTTACCAAGTTCCATCATCAACCTAACAACACACAACACTACTATATCTCTTTCCTAAAAAGATTAAGAAATCAACAATGGAGAATCTGAGAAATGGCCAAGAAAACGGTTCTCACTGGATCCCATTTACGTTCTTTGATCAATCTTCAGTGACGATTCCTCTCTTGAAGTGTTTCGGTCTCGATAGCTCTTCTTCATCATCATCATCATCATCATCATCATCATCATCATCATCATCATCATCATCTTCTTCTTCTTCTGGCGATCTTTCTTCATCGCACAGCGAGGAAGATGACAGTATCGATATAAAGGAGGACGAGGAAGAAGAAGATGACACGAACACGACCATTGAAATCAAAGCGCGGGGGAAGACCAAGCCTACGCCAAGTTCAGGAAAAGGAGGCAAACACAATTAGAGTTCATATACAGAGGAAACAAATAAATGCATTTGTATAAATATACTTAGCTATAACTATAATATAGTACTAGATCATAACCCGTGCTGGAACAGCACGGATGAAATTTTAATTTTTAAATATTTATATAAAGTTGGATTATTGTTTGTTTTATTGTACAATTTTAATAATTCTTTACATAATACAATGACATATAAGGATTTTTTATTTTATTTTATTTTGATGAGAAAATATTAGGGGTGGGGTACGGTTTTTCGGTTTAGTATCGTTTTTTTTGTTTTGTAGAAAGTGAAACCATATAGAAACCGTATGTAATTCGGTTTAGTTACAGTTCGATTTTTAGGTTTTTTACGTTTTTTTGATTAAAAATAAAACGTATGTATTTGATATATGCTAGTAATAAGTGAAAAAAATTGTGTATATAATAAACATATTTTGGTATATAATAAGATTAAATTCCACCTGTGCGTACCTATATTTTTATTTTAGAATCCCAATAAAAAAATTGTGTGCACAATCCATCATTCATTATTTTCATATATACTTATAGAATCAAAATTTTAAATATTTAGAGGTGTCAAACCTTATTTAACTCATCTCATCATATAATCTTAACATGGTTTCGGTTATAAAGATCATACCTCTTTTTATCATATAATACATTACATTTAACCTGCTGCTTGTTATAAATATTTTAAATATTTATGCTTTGAAAAATAAAATTAGAGTATTTATAACTTTTATCTTTTGATTTATTAAATATTTATGATATTCTTAAAAATATTATATTAAACTATTTAAAAAATTTTCCAAATTAAAATATTTTTTTATTTTTTATTGTAGAATATAAAATTAAGAATTTTTAAAAAATAATTGTAAGAACTTAAATATAAATATTCAAATAGTTATAAGGATCATAACTCATTCCATCATATAATACATTATATTTAACCCACCGTCTATTATAAATATTTTTTAAATATATTTGTTTTAGGAAAACCAAATTAGTGTATGTCTAATTTTTAAATTTTTTATTTATTAAGTATTGTTGATATTTGTTTTTAAATATCAAGTCAAACTATTTTTAAATATTCCAAATTAAAATATTTAAAATTTTATCGTAGTATATAAAATTATATATTTTAAAAAAATATATGAAATTGAATATAATTACTCAAATTATGACCCGTTATTCAGGCAAAATTTTTGTTGAATTTATTTTTGTTTAAAAGAAATATATTATCCAAGTCTAAATTTTTGATTCGTTAATTTTTTTTTTTCATAAATTGAATAATTTATATTCGTTTTTAAAAATTCAAATCATGGCATATGCGGAAAAAAATCTATTTTTTATTATTATATGGATGATATGATGATTTATTTGTTTCACAATAATATAATCATATAAAGATGAGAGGTGAAATATAATGATTAATAACAAATTAATAAGGTAAGTTAGATATCAAATCTTATATATTCATTTTGATTGGTCATTTAAAAATAATAATAATGTATTTTTCGCTTTTATAATTAAATTAAATTAATTAAATTGTATAAATTGACTTGTTTATCCTTAATGAGATGAATCAATTTACTCTTTGAAATTTTATCTCTAATGGCATTCTTAAGTAAATTTTTACAAAAGGGAAGGTTAGTTAAGGGTATCTTATAAAGTGTACTCCCCAAATAATAGTATAGGATATACTTTTTTTATATAGTCATTTGTTTTGAATGTGAATTGGATTAATAAAGATCGAGTTTGATTTTATTGTTTTGGTTACCGAATAACAGAAGTTAATTACAGAATCACTGATATATCAAAAATTAAATGCAACTTCAGCATATATGGGCCTAATCGATTAGGCCCATTAATAATTTGTAAAGACCAAATTGTCGACCCATAAATAGTGTCTTTGAAGTTTGAACTTAATAGTGACGACATCCTTGAGAGTAAATTTCATCTATTGGTTAATGCCATTATTCTCCGGTTTTAGAGATAATAATTACTATCCAGCCTGTCGAAACAACATTTTTCATTGGTGCAACTGCAAATTAAACAAAAAACAGCTTTCTATTTTTCCATATTCATAATACACGATAACCGATAACATTTAGACGTTGGATGTATGACACGTCAGCGATAAACAAACGTAATCAAGGTTTACGATCATTTAAATAATTACGATTTTACCCCTTTAGTAAGCACCCGCGCTTAATTGATTTTTTTGAGGGAAAAGTTAAAAAAGAAAAAAAAAGAAAAAACTATAACAAACTCTTAAATTCCTCTACTTACTGGATGGGACGTTAAAATCACGCAAGAAAGGACGACTGCAAAAAGGAGAGGTACAGTCCAAAAAAACCTCTTCGTCTTCTTTGTTTTTCGAAATTCTCCGATCCTAACCGCCATTAAACCCTAGCTTGCTTTTTTTTTCTCTCTTCTTCTAGCGAAAGCTGAAGATTCACATTCGCATCTTCGCGCTTATATCTTTGTTGTTTCTTAGAATTTTTTTTTTGGTGTAGTTACACTCGAGAATGAGGAAAACGAAGCAGAGAGGAGGTTCGCGAGGAGGCCGTAAAACTGGTGCGTCTTCGTCGGCGAGTAAGAACGATGATGCGGTGGTAGCGACCACGACGCAGGAGACTCAGCCTACTCAGGAGACAGAGGAAACAGAGGCTAAGGTGGAATCTCCGGCGCCTGAGGAGGAGGGGAAGAACGAAGAAGAGGTGAACGAGAATCAGGAAGAGGAAGCGGCGAAGGTTGAATCTAAGCCTGCGGAGGAGGGAGAGAACGAAGAAGAGGCGAAAGAGGACCAGGAGGAGGAAAATGAAGAAGCGAAACCTGATGAAAGTGCGAGCCAAAAGGAGGAGGCGAAAGGTGCGTCGTCTTCACAACCAAAGCTTCGTCGTGGTAAGCGTAAGAGACTCACAAAGACGGAAGCGGAGAAGAAACCGACTCCGAGAGCCAAGAAGCGAGCCAAAACGACCAAGGCGCAAGCAGCTGAGCCTGAGTACTTCGAAGAGAAGCGTAATCTGGTATTCTATTTTACTCATCTTCGGGTTTGGATTTACGGTTTATCTGAGCTTTAGATTTCTGAGTTGATTCTGTGTGAAACGATTAAGGATTTGTTATTCGTCTTTCGTTGTCTTGTTGTGTGTGTGGTTTAACGATTACGAAGTTAGATCTGAGATGTTTTCTTACGTTTTTTTGTTCTTGCAGAATGTTATAGTTATAGTGTCTTGCTCAGAATTATTTGGACATTTTGAGTTCTATGAACCTTTGTTTTTTTTTCCCATATCTCTGATGTATAGTTTCCATGTTTATTGTGTATAACAGGAGGATTTGTGGAAGGATACATTTCCAGTGGGAACGGAGGTATTTAGATTCAAGAAGTTTGGCAGCAACATTGCCTCAGGAGCTTTTTATCTTCATGATTAAACTGTTGTAAATGTGGCTCTGTAAATTGTGAATGCAGTGGGACCAACAGGATGCAGTTTATGATTTCAACTGGGATTTTAAAAATCTTGAAGTAAGTGGCTTCTATTATACTGTTTCATTGCCCATTGTTTATAATTTATAGTTCATTTAGTATCTTAAGAAGTACTCTTTGCATTGTATGACAGGAAGCTCTGGAGGAAGGTGGAAAGCTCTATGGGAAGAAAGTCTATGTTTTTGGCTGCACTGAGTGTAAGTTATTTGTAGATGGCACTATTTGTTTCTTGATATTAGTTAAGGTGATATTTATCTTGTTAACTGATTTGCTTGAAAATCCATCTAGTACTGCAATGTGCACCTCTCACTCCCCCTTTTGATTTCCTCTATCTTATCATTGCAGCTCATTCAGTCAATTACAAAAATGAGAAAAAGGATGTCATTGTTCCTGCTGTTGTTTGTGTAAGCTTTGGTTTCGTTTTTATATATCATGCCACTGGTGTTTGAAAAATAAGCTCGGCATTGGGATTTGGTTTTAGGTTCCTTGGGAAAACAAGATCATATTGTTTATCTATACCTGATGGTTAATTTTGGTTCTTATCTATTTACAGATTGAGTCATCTATTCCCCCGTCTGATAAGATAGGAGTTGCATCGGTTCAAGGAGAGGTTGGGGAAATTATTCCAATGAAAAATATGAAAATGGATTGGGTTCCTTACGTCCCACTTGAACAAAGGTATATAGACATCCCTGAGTATTACTCTTAATCAATGAGTAGAGAAACAAATAGTACATTTGTGTATTTTTCTTCTTACTTTTGATGTTTATGGGAGTTGTTGCTAATTTCATCTGCTTTTGTTCTTCCGCAGGGATAGACAAGTTGATAGAAAGAACTTTCCAGTTTTCATCTTGGGCTGTACTCAGAGAAGGTAAATAATATGTGGTATCTTTTTCTCTCAATGTTTTATTACCATGCAAGTTATAGAAGACGTGATTTGTTCATTTGCTTTGTAGATGAAAAAGAATTACATTACATATGGTTTTGAAGTAGATATCTTTATCTGAAAATGCAACACTTTGCATTCTTAGCTTATTCCCATTCACATTCAGCAACTTAGAGTGCAGAATTTGGTGTATTCAGCCTAGCTTTATATATATTCTTTGCAGGTCTGCTCTCAAGCATTTGCCGGAGGGTCGTGCTAAAAAATTCAACTATTGCCTTCCTTGTGAGCTTAAAATTTGATATGCTTAGCTGGTTATTATTGATTATATATATTCAGTACCATATTTTCATTTGCTTGAAATTTGTTTTCCCTAGACATCAGACTCTTAATATTACTGTTTTGATTTAATTTGCAGACATCAACAACCCATTTAAGGTAGATGAATCTGAGCAGAGCACTGTGGTTCAAATAAGTTTCCCTTCTGAGCCACTAGTAAGTTATATTTGTCTTCCTTATTGGTACGACAATACAATTTGGTCGTTTCATATTAAATCAAACTTACTATTCCTTTGTGCAGGTTGAATGTGAATATGACTGGGTGAAAAACAACGTTGAGGTGCAGTAACTGACTTTTCCAATACAACACCTTACTTGAATTACTTCTCATCACAGTTTTATTTTAGGATTTCACCGACAATCTAATCAATGAGGAGGTATTACTACCGGAACAAAAGGATGCGTTCGAGGTAAGCAAGCAAAAACTGGAATTGATTTGAACAATTCATTTAAGGGTTTTCTCTAAAATCACTCACCCATATTGTTTCATTTTTCAGGAGTTTGTCAAAGAGCAAAGTAACATAGCTATGGCAGCTTATGACAGGGTATTATGTTTCATACCCTCTGCAACAGAGCCGCACATATACTTAACAATGAATTCTACAATTGGCAGGCAAAAGAAGCCCGAGAGAAAGTAAAGGAAGGACTGAGCAAAGAAACAACAAAAGCTTATCAAGAAATGAAGTTGTACAAGTTTTATCCATTGCCTTCACCAGACACACCCGACACTGCAGGAATTGAGAAGGTACAACTCAAATCCAACTTAGGTTGTCAATGGAACTCTGAATATTAGACAAAATCTGATATCTTTGTTGGTCTTTGTGCAGTCCCCGTTCATAAACAGGTACTTTGGGAAGGCTCACGAAGTCCTGTAATCGTTTCTCCAAACCCAGGAACCTTTTTGATTCGGCAAACATTATGAACAACTGAGAATCAAAGAAAACCACTTTGGGATTGTTTAGGCCAAAGATACAACACACTTACAAATAACAATTGTCTTTTGGAGCCGGATTTTTTTTTGTTCTCTGTTTTCTTACTTCCTTGATGCAACCAACCAAACAGTGTTGAGAGACTAAGCAAAGTTTTAATCTAAAGAGAAAGAGTAACAACAAAGGAACAACAAATAGTGGAGACCTTTCCTCCGCATTTTAGTGACGAGAAGCCGATGAAGAAGAAGCAGTAGCAGAATCTGACAAGGTAGAAGTTCTTTTCTTCCTCTCTTCCTCATACTCGGCATCATCAGTCTGAAGCTGGAATCTACAGACAGGACAAGAGTTTCTTGTTCCTAACCATGGCACAATACAATCTCCGTGGTAACAATGTCCACACGGTAACTTCTTACCGGTTTCTCCCATCACCATTCCATCTTTACACACAGCACAAACCATAATCGTCTCTCCCTCCGACGAAGTAACCTGAAAAGTCTCCAACGCTTCTATGGCCGATTTTGCAGCCGGTGGTGCGCCTCTCCTTCCACCGCCACCACCATCTCCTTCTGCTAAGTTCTGTAGCAAAGCTTCGTATCCGGCTGCATCGTCGATGTAATCAGCCGGATTTCCTGTGTACCGTTCTGATTCCATACGGAACTCAATCGAATTGTCTTCGATTCCCATCAAAATCTCAGCCCAATCGAGAATTCTGTTTCTTCCGGTTCTCGACCGCGTCGTCGTGAGAGGAAATCGATTTCTCCTCCTCAGATCATCTTCTTCCTCTTCTTCGTCGTTGACGGTTAAATTCTCTTCCTCATCCTCTTCTTCTTCTTCATCTCCATCATCTTCATCTTCATCTTCGTCGATTTCGGTTCTACTATTGAGCTCCAACCTGAAGAAATCATCTTCGTAAGATAACACATCAAGGTGTCGTGGTGGTGAACGCTGAGAAGGCGCGTGGGCTAACAAGCGGAGCATCTGGAGGAAATGCGAGCCAATACTGGAGTCTTCCACAGTCAGATCTGGGGAAAGTGGCTGCGGTGGCGCCGGCGATGAATAAGCGGCCGGAATCGGCTGAATTGACTCGACGAAACCTTTGTTACATTCGCAGCACACGACCAAGTCATCTAAGGTTTCAACGACGACGCGTTTGTTGCAGTGATAGCACCAGTGCGACGCCGGAGAAGACGACGGAGCATCGGACATCGTGCTATATATCGTCGGGTTATCGGGCTTTCGGGTCCGGATTCGGATCCGATAAGCCGATTAAGAGGAGGATGGAGAAAACAAAAAAAGGTCTCTGTATTATTTTTATTATCGAATTTTAAGACATTATAGTATCCTACTCATTTACCCACTTGACCCACCCACAATATTATAGTCTTTTCTTTTCTTGTATATGTATATATCACCATCATCATAATACTTACAATTTAATCAAACTGTTGAATTGCTGTCAAACATATATTCAAATTGTTCAATCCAATTTGAAACCAGCTTCCAAATCAAAAACTGAGTTGCACTTTTATCCAAAAACTTAAACATGATAAAGAAGTTAATTTGACCCATAAAATTTGTCATATCGAAAAGCATAATTTTATTTCTTTTGACAACAATAATATAACTCGAATACATTATACATAAACTTTGTAATAGCCATACAATTGTTTCAACAGCACCCATACAATAAAATAAGATAAAAGAAAACCCCAAAGAGAAAAGATCCCAAAATCCAAATCCAAATCCAAATCCAAATCGTTACAATAAGTTACAATACAAAGAGAGCCTAGTCTCAAACCTTAAGAGTCTAACCCACGAAGAAGCTGATACATAGCGAGGTCTCTCCATTCACCAAATGTCGCAAATGGCAAAAGACCGTTTATGGCTGGAAGAACAAACAGAATCACCACATACAAGACACTGCGCCTTGCCCAATATGGAAACATACTGTTACAACGGCTCGATTGAGTCACGTTTATACGACCGAACATTAGACCATGCAAAGCCAATGCGAAGACATTTGCAACGAATTGGAAAAGGCAAAACACTTCCCAAACAATTAGCCAGAGTTTGCCGTTACCGCCCAGTGTGTCCACACACAACTTACCCGATATACCGCAAAATATACCGAGGAAAAGAACGATGAAACTTATCGGCATTGTCTGCTTCGTACCTGCTGAGCGTTTGCTTATAAAGTATGTGAAGAAAATGATCATTAAGACACCGAAAAAGATCTGCACCCAAACTCGAACCCGGCAAATGAAGATGTTGAAGCCTGAGTTCATCAATGAAACTTGTTTAGGAACCCACCACGATGAACTTTTCTCCTCGGATGGCTCGCATACTGAGGTTGCGTCCTCGATTCTCTTTTGTGAAAAATTGTAAACGCCAAGTAACATAGAAGCCAACATGCTACAGACACTTACGACGAGCCAATCCATGATCCTTGTGACCATCTCGGCTTTTCTTGTATCTTCTAATTCGGTTTTGAATTTCTCCGCTCTGAATGCAGCTTTCAAACCACCCATCTCTAGCTTCGATTTCCCCAGATTGTTTGATTCGTATTTTAATGATAGATCCATCTGCTTCAACATTAACTTTCTCCTTGTAAGACCATTCTCCTCGTTCTTTAGGTCGTTTGCTCGCTTTAGCTCTTCTACAGATCTATCGAATGTGGTCAAAGACATTGATGAACTGCTAGGAAGGACACAAGAGAGTTGTCGAGTCTGTTCGTACAGGACAAGCTCATTCACCAAAGAGGTTGCTCTTGCACTGCCTTGTATCACTTCATAAGCAGACGTAGCAGATGAAGTCTCCTTTTCAAATTGCTCGGTGTCAGAGCATCCGTCTATTGTAGAGCAATCAAAATTACAACTCCTAACATCATTATTGTTTAACTGATGTGGATTTGCACATTCATTGGTCAATTTAAGGATCTTTAGAGTACTGTTGAATGATTGCTCAAACTTGGTCGCAAAGGAACCAAGCTTATTACCATAAACCTGTAATCACATCATTATGAATGAGAGAGTCTATAAATTGAAGAATGCGAAAAAAAAAATAGGGGGATTTTAGCTTACATTGGCTAATGATTCTGTGACAGCGGTAGCAGAGATCTGGAGAGCATAATCAATGAAATTCGTGTTTCACTACCAAAACGAAGAAACTATGGCAAAAGAGAGATTGAACAGAAACTGACAAGTAATCATTTGAAGTTCATACTACTTACCTCAGCAAGATCATCAACATAAACATTCTGACCCGCGGCATTCTTTCTCGCAAGAACCTAGAGAAAAAGAAAACAGAGTTAAAACTACAGAGCAATGCAAGTCAAAGACTTTGGCGGCTAGGTAGGATGAAATTTGGTGAAATCACAATTAGAACTACAAATTCGTGTAAAGGCTCAAGCTTTAAGACAAGTGAGAGACAAGACAATTTAACTCTGCAACAGTAGATTCAAGTATTGCTACATTGAAGCTCGATCATAGACCCACTAGAAGAACTTCAGCTTCTACTGATTGAATCTGATTCAATTTTGAGGAGAAGATCCTCTCTTCGATTCAGGGTGAGAAGACAATTCAGATTCAATCCTTTGTCTCTGATTCAGATTTTAAACAGAAGATCCTCTCCTCAGTCCAGTTATGAATCAACAAAACCTAAATTGAAAGACTTTGTATTTAATACTCCCTAAAGATACAAACTTTACGCACATCAAACCTAGTATTCACGCAAGGTCAACTACAGGAACAAAACTGAAACAACCCGTAACAGCAAAGCCAATTTCGTATCAAAAGAGTCGTGTGATGCAATAAAGATAGAGAAAGGGAGATAAAGTTTGGAAATTGATCGAACCAGATTAGCTAAAGCCGCAAATGAAAAGCCCAGAGGCTTGGCCAAGGCTTCAGCTTGTCGTTCACCAACGCTTCGTCGAGCCATACCTAACCGCACCGTAGGGTTTCGTAATCTATGAACCACTCTCGTAACCCTTTTAGTAGAATTGGGGTTAGAGATAGAAGATGTGGAACATGAGGAAGATGAAGCTTCGTCGTTGTTCATAATCTCTTTCTTCTTTCCCTTGAGTTTTCTCTTTTCCAAATTCGATGGATTCGTTTCCTTCTTCTTCTTCATCATCGTCTCGTCTTTCTGTTCTTCATCAGATTGATGATTTGGCTTTGAATTCGCCGGATCCGTGATGGGATTTTGGGGTTCCGGCGAAGGAGGGAGGAGGAGGGCTTCCATAGTATTAAAACATAAGTTATGGGGTAAATTTGCAACTTTGAGAAAGTATTTAACTTGCAAGACTTTGGTCGCTTCGTGACGAGTGAAAAGTTTCGAATTTCGAACTTTTTCCTCTCTTTTCTTTTTTTTTGATTAGCTTAATATAGAGAAAAAAAAAATTCTTAACCTAAATATCTGAATTGATTTTGGGTTAAAGACTTTTGCGTTCAATGAATTCTTCAAAGTTTATGTTCTTTATTATACAATGGATATGTTAATGTCAATTAAATAGGTAATAATATGTTATATGTATACTCTATTTGTAGCGATGATGATTCGATGTTTCTAGTTAGACAGGTCATGCTACTTTGTTATATAATGTTAAGATTAATTTGCACACAAAGTATTAAATCATATTTTGAATTGGTTATTTTTCTAGAAACCATGCCAAACTAGACACAGTAATTACACAAGTGTGAATAACAATGAGTAGGTGATTGTGTTGTGTTCAATGAATGGAATTGGTTCTCAGTACTTGAACAAAAAGTCATAGTAGTACATAGCTAGACCGACCGGATTACATACCAAGTAGTCGAGTTTAGTACCGAACCAATCAGTTTGGTCTGGAGATGGACCATAAAAGTTTGTGGCTCCGATAAATAACACGATGATGTGTCTAAACACAACCAATCAGAACACACGAACATCTTCTTCACGCATCTCATCTAATGCCACGTGTCCTTTTCATATCCACCCCTTTTATTTTATCATAATTGTTTATTTCTTTTAACATTCTCTGGTTCCTCATGAACCTCAAAAAACCTCTCACTGCAAAGTGCCAACAAACAACAAGTCTTCTTCTTCTTCGAAATCTCTTCCACGCACATAATCCATGAGAAATTAGGGTTTTATTTGGGATCTCTCTTCCGAAATATTACCATCAATGGCGACTTCTTCTTCATCGTCGTCTCTGCTTTTACCAAACATCAATTTCAACTCCAGACAATCTACAACAATCGCCGGAATTTTCTTACCCAGAAACCGATTAAGCTACAATCACAATCTTCATCTTCGTACGAGAATAATCAGAGCTTCTAAAGACGATAATGTCGCAGTGGAAGATCGTGGGAATGCAGTGATCAATGGAGATTATAATAACGGAAGTGCCCGTTTAAACGGTAACGGGTCTGCGAGAAAATCTGTCAACGGTGATTATAACGGAAGTGCTCGTTTAAACGGTAACGGTAGTTTGGTGAAGTATGTGAACGGAAGTGTAACGGTGGAAACGGAGGAAGTGACAAAGAAGAGGAAAGAAGAAGTGAGGAAGAAGAGAGTAGAAGATATTGGTCAAGAGGATGCTTGGTTTAAGAACACTCAACAAAAACAAGTTGAGGTATAACACTAAAACATAAAGTGATTAACTTTTTTAATCTAAATCGTTTTGTTTAATGAAAGTTTGCGACTTTAATATTTGTACAGGTTTCTGTTGCACCTGGTGGTCGATGGAATAGATTCAAGACTTACTCAACTATACAAAGAACATTGGAGATTTGGGGATTTGTTGTACAGTTTATTTTCAGGACATGGTTAAGCAATCAGAAGTTCTCATATAAAGGTTGATACTTGTTTTTGTTTTGCTTACGTTTATGACAATTCTCGTTTGTCTAAATTCTTGAAAAATCGTGTGTGTAGGGGGAATGACTGAGGAGAAGAAGGTTTTAAGAAGGAAGATTTTGGCTAAGTGGTTGAAAGAAAACATATTGAGATTAGGTCCGACATTTATCAAAATTGGGCAACAGTTTTCTACTAGAGTGGATATTCTTCCTCAAGAGTATGTTGATCAATTGTCAGAACTTCAGGTTTGATTTCTTCTTATTCTATGTGAATTGTACTTGTGACTTGTGAGGCTCTTCTTTGTTGCATTTTAAGTTTTTATGTTCTTATGCTTTGCAGGATCAAGTTCCTCCTTTCCCTTCTGCTACAGCATTATCCATTGTTGAAGAGGAGCTTGGAGGATCTGTTGAAGACATTTTCGACCGTTTTGATTATGAACCTATTGCTGCAGCTAGTCTTGGTAACGTCTTTGTGATAATCTTCTCATAAAAAATTGCAAGAAAATGATGATAATATTAATACTGGTTTTGGAACTAAATTCATACAGGGCAAGTTCACCGTGCAAGACTTAAGGGTCAAGAGGTTGTCCTTAAAGTACAGAGACCTGGTCTGAAGGATCTCTTTGATATTGACCTTAAAAATTTGAGGGTTAGTGTGTCTCTGCCACAGTCAATATAGAGCTCCTCCATATTCCAAGCGTCCTTGTCTCATGATTTGCTGAGTTATTGACTTTGTTTTGCTTCTGTTCAGGTGATTGCTGAGTATCTTCAAAAGGTGGACCCAAAATCAGATGGTGCAAAGAGAGATTGGGTTGCTATCTATGATGAATGTGCCAGTGTATTGTACCAGGTACGCTGATGTGGTTTAATGTTTCATCACTTATGAATAAGTTTGGGGCTATTTTTTTGGAGATTAAAACGGGAAAAAATCTATGATTTGAGTGACCTCTGATTAGTAATAACAATGTGCTATTTTTTCAGGAAATTGATTACACAAAAGAAGCAGCTAATTCGGAATTGTTTGCTAATAACTTCAAAAACTTAGAGTATGTAAAAGTTCCATCCATCTACTGGGAATATACTACACCTCAGGTATTATTATTACCTATGACCATTAGTTCACCATTTATGAAGCCTTAAGTTCAAAAGCAATAGTTATACATTAAGTTCTTTGCAGGTCCTGACAATGGAGTATGTCCCTGGGATTAAGATTAACAAGATACAAGCCTTAGATCAGTTAGGTGTTGATCGAAAAAGGTTTGTATCTTGTTCCCAGACTTATATTTGTATTTCTCTGAAAAGCCAAAACAGTTTTCGTTGTTGTTGATTTATAACCTGGTACAATGCAGGCTAGGGAGATATGCTGTTGAATCCTACCTGGAGCAAATCTTATCTCATGGATTCTTCCACGCCGACCCTGTAAGTCTCTATTGTCAACAATCTTTGATTTGGTGTACCAGTAGGAAAAGACTACATTCTAATTTGCTTATGTATATTTCTGAAGCACCCTGGGAATATTGCGGTTGATGATGTTAATGGTGGGCGGCTGATATTTTATGACTTTGGAATGATGGGAAGGTACTACATTTTCTGCTATCACAGGACTGTTACTATGTGAAAAACTGCTTCAGTTCGATATGGTGAAGAAATGTGATATCCTTTATCAACTTGTTATGCTTATGATTCTGTACAACTTGTTCTTCATTGTTTCTTGCAGTATTAGCCCAAATATTAGAGAAGGTTTATTGGAGGCATTCTATGGCGTCTATGAAAAGGACCCAGATAAGGTATAGCCTCTAAGGTGTTCTCACTTTCAATCTTATACCTCCATGCTGCATACGACCTGAGCTCATACTTAAATATATACATCGATAAACCTTCTTGTGGCAGGTCCTTCAAGCTATGGTTCAAATGGGTGTGCTTGTACCAACTGGAGATTTGACGGCAGTTAGAAGAACAGCATTGTTTTTTCTCAACAGGTAATTTACCTGATCCTTGTACCCTTGCTTCTTATCGAGCTAGCTTCCTATTTCCTTGTTTCTTGTTTGGTTTCTCTAAAGTATGTGTGAGAGTGTGTGCACAATAGATGCCAGTAGTATCCCTCTGATAATATTGATTAGCTGATTGTGTTACAGTTTCGAAGAGCGGCTTGCTGCACAAAGAAAGGAGAAAGAAGAAATAGCAGCAGCAGAAGAGCTTGGGTTCAAGAAGCCACTAAGCAAGGAAGAAAAGCAAGAGAAAAAGAAGCAACGGTTGGCTGCAATCGGAGAAGACTTATTAGCCATTGCAGCTGATCAACCTTTCCGGTTCCCTGCCACATTCACATTTGTTGTTAGAGCCTTTTCAGGTTTGTAATGTCATTTGAATTCGTTCCGACCATTCTTTTCATGTCTTTTTTTGTGTTCAACCTCAATGAGTATATTAATGGTCACTTTCTCTCTGCAGTATTGGATGGCATAGGCAAAGGTCTTGACCCCCGATTTGATATAACGGAGATTGCGAAACCGTGAGTCAACACACACTATGTTATATCTTCTTGTTAATCAGAAGAGTACTCAAATACTTTTGTTGCCAGCTATGCTTTGGAATTGCTACGGTTTCGGGAAGCTGGAGTAGAAGTTGTAGTGAAGGTACTTGCAAGGCTTATCTCTACTCTATATATGATATTATCGCATAGCTTTATATTCATCTGCAATCAAATATTGTAGGACCTGAGAAAGAGATGGGACAGGCAATCACAAGCATTCTACAATCTATTTAGACAAGCTGATAGAGTTGAAAAGCTAGCTGTAGTCATCGAACGACTTGTAAGATACTAACAGTCTCACTCGCCCCAAACTCCCATTCTACATGAATTTCTTTCTAATGAGTTTATTTTCATCCTCAGGAGCAAGGTGATTTGAAGCTGAGGGTCCGAGCTCTAGAGTCTGAGAGGGCATTTCAACGGGTTGCAGCTGTTCAAAAAACAGTAGGAAGTGTAAGTAGAGCTTTCCCTTCTCTGTATTGTTTACATCTTGTACATCACAATCTCGTCAATCCTTTCTTTCAAAACAAATTTGAGAGAAAGAATCATATGTGAAGCAACTCGAAAACAAGAATCTTTCTTCGAAAATTTTGAAAGCATGTCATGTGTTCTGTTTTTATGTGCTAAAGTTGATTTCTTTTTCCTCTTTTCTTTTAACTCAATGTGTTTCCCTACAGGCTGTTGCTGCAGGAAGTTTAGTCAATCTCGCAACAATTTTGTATCTGAATTCTTTAAAAGTAAGTTGTTACTCATCAAATTCAGCCACTCTTATTTTTTTTCACCTATAAAACTCTTTGTCTGCTCAAATTCACCAATGTTCTTGTTTCTTTCTGTTCTCAGACACCTGCAACCATAGCATATACGGTATGTGCTTTCTTCAGCCTCCAAGTTCTAATCGGAGTCATAAAGGTTAAGAAGTTTGA